CAGATGTTTCTGTCGTATGCTGTGTGGTGTGCGACGGAACGGTACCCGGGCCGTGACTACGATTTGCGATATGACCACAATCGTGACTCTTATACTCGAGTAAAGACAATAGCTTTGGTCCATAATCATCGTTCTGCTGGCACACATCTTGGCACAGTCCATTATCTGTTGTATAACCGCAGCGGTACAGCACATGCCACATGCCATATGTCCGGCGGGAGGTGACTGGGCCAACGGTGTATGGAGTACATAGTTATTGGGACGTGGACGATAGTTTTTACAAGGGTTTGTTGCTAGGGAGGGTTTTGGATCTTAACTTATTCAAGGGTTATAGTCCCTCAAGAAATGATATTGTGGAGTGTGAGAAACCTTCATGCTGATAAGGAGGTTAGCTGATTTGATTGCTAAGGTTAGGTTAGGTACTCTTGTAGCCTAGCCCACGATACGTGTCCGAAAACCTTTTACTTTCATGATCCTCGCGATAACGTCAGGTCTCTTCTCTTTTGTCTTATACCATTGACTATAGTCAAAGCTTATACTGTACTGATATATATAAACGTTAAACTTTAGGCCCTTCAACTCCTTGATTTTGCAAATGCCTTTTCAGGGTACCCAAGGTATATAGTAGTTTTTAAAAGAGTGCGTCTGGTCTAGTGTTTATATTGTGGGCATTCTGTCCTAGAAGTGGTGTTCAAATCGCCACCAGTCACAGATGACTTCTGGGCTACGTTTTATATTTCAAACGCTGTGGTTCTGAGCCCACCAAGAGTTCAACCTTTTTAGGAACAGAAAATAATAAGTTTCTTAAAAGAGCACAATGTTCCATGTGGTGGAGGACTAGCTCCCTCCTAGAAAAAATGAAAGTGTTATCACTAAATGCTGTGTCACTAAATACACCTTTCATGATAATCGTTTTTTTTTTCTTTGACACTAAATATTATCTGAGGCGTTTATGGGTAACCAAGTGGTTATAGCCCTAATACTAATCACTCGACACGGTTCTATTCTAAAGATATTTTGCATCTCATTGATGGTTTTATACTGGGCCCAGATGTCTTTGATCGTAATGAGTCTAACAAATTGCATTTGCTAAAATAATCAGCCTGTCTTGAGCCTCAGTAACATATCTATAGAACTCATCATACACATCATACACTAATTTTATATTCATACTAGACTCAAACCACCTAACTACATCATTACAAACCTACCCTTACTAACAGCAAACTTTAAACAAAGAGAAAAAAAAGTTTGCACCAATCACAAAAATCCCAATGTCCCCAAACCTTGACATCATTTTTCACCGTCAAACGTATAAAAAATTATGAATCAGTTTATCCTTACTTTGTTTTACCCATTGTTTGCCAGCACCTGTTCCTTTCTATGTTCCGGGATGTCAGCTCATGGGATCGTTGAGATCGTGGCCTGTTTTGGGGGGATTTCTCCCAAATCGGGAAATCGGAGGCCCGTGCATGACGTCCCGCCCCATTGGAGAACATCGATTCAAATATTTATCAAGTTCCCACAAGTCTTCGGGTCGCGCACAAGACTTTCTATGTAGTTGTTAGTCACCTTCTTTGATTGTATCTTGAATATTTCTGAAGAAATTTGAAAACTAAATTTACTCCTACGACGGCAACAATCATTGTCATAAATGAAATAATATTAACAGCAACATAACCAATACTCTAAATAATTGATTAATCTATTTATATAGGCTAATTTTTGCCTGTCTAATAGTACAATGTGTGTTTTACTCTTTGTTTTCCTTTGATACGTATTTCTGCTACACATTTCCACTACAATCAGCTGAAATTAAACAAAAGAGGGTACACATAAACATTAGTTTTTGGGAATGTAAAACAGTGGACATTTTGTAAGACAACTTACTAAGGTAAATAAATTAATTGTTTATATAATACTTAGTTATCTATGTTATTGTTATTATTTACACGTTTAAACAGTTCATGTAATTTCAAGAAGATAAACATTTCAAGCAAGAAAACACAACTAAGCCCCCATATTACCCCAAAACATCTTAATTATTCTTTCTTCACTCTCATAATTGATTTAAACGCCAACTCGAGTCCACAATCAAAATTCCTCGACAATGCCAGCTTACATAACAATGCAAGAGCATCACTCAAGAAGAAGTTGTTACAAAAACCAACACATCTTTGTAATTGCACTGTTTACCTCTAGAGAACTCGTGACTATTAGCATATGCAGTGATTACCCAGCAGAATGTCGCCCCCCACAGCTGATGATCACGAGTAAGGCGCATTGACCCTCCCAAGTGCATAATATGCATTCTTCAACTTCTACACCAGATTTTTACAGAGCCCTTGACATGAACTACAAAGGCATACTTTCTATTTGGGGAGAGACTCGAACTTTTCGGAAAGTTTCTGAGCCCCTCTCATTTTGTGAGGTCTAACCGGTGGAAAGATTTTACTTCGCGAATTGAGGATCAAAACCAAGAACTGGAACAATCCAATATGTATGCACATGAATCTTTGGAAATCGCTAAAACGTGAAGAATAATTTTTTTTATATATAAAAAAGAAGTACCTCTTTTGCTAAAGTTTCGAGCGTAGTGACTTAATTTGGACTCTTCCTAAAACCAAATTAGGATATATGCGACTGTGATAGTATCTTTGAAATCGTTTTTTAAGTATGAAGAACAAACACTTTTTACAGTACTGTATAAACAAAAACGTATTACTTTCACCAAAGGTTGGCAGCAGTGTCACGAACGGAATTGTTTAGTAAACTGTCCTCACTCCAAATCACAATGACTGTATTGATGAATGGTGATTAATCTGTGTATATAGTGGGCGTGATAAGAACAAACACTTTTTATAGTACAAACAAAGAAAGTCTCTGTCGTCAAGGTTGGCAGCAATGCCGCGAACGGAATGGCGTAATGAAGACGCTCGGTGGGATGTGAGAACTCCACACCATGTTATCTGCCACTGAACCCAGCCATTGTCCAATACAAAGCTCTCCACTCCTCGATTTGCGCCACGCCACGTTTTTTTATTAATGTTGCACTTTTTTCTAAGGGAATCTGACCAGCGTGACGATTCAGGAAGTGAAGACGAGACTCCCGGCAAAAACCAGCTCGGATGCTCTATGGCTGCGGTTGTTGCTTCCATCCGCATATTCGGAATTCTGTCTGTCATGTTTGATTTATTAGTTCAACATGATTCTGCTTGTTTTTAAAGCATGTCGGTTTTTGTACGTGGAAATTGAGTGTGTTTCTGCGTACTTCAGGGATTATTCGGAAAACTCAGCTGCTCTACACAGTCATTGGAGAGCAATATTACTGGCTAGGTTCAAATTCCGTCAAACGCCAATAAGTTTTAAGCTAAGTGATAATGTTGAGACCCGATGATTATTTGTCCACGTAAAGCTGTAGATTTGTAGGAAACGAAATTTACCTCTGTTAATTAATAACCCCCCTCTCATAAAAATTCAAATAACAATTTTTTTTAACTCAGCAAACAGTTTTAAAAATTAAGCTTCATCTTGTTAATATGTACAAGTGTTAAGTGTAGAAACAGGTGGGTCTAAGTCCCTGGATTCATGGATCGGAGTAACTGGATGGGTTCTGTATACGAGGAGGAATGCAATCCCAAGATCCGGACGGATAAACTAAGAACCAGATCCTAGGAACAGGTTGTGAGGATTGATTTAGTAGCCTACGCTCAAGCAATAAAAACTGTTATTTACCATTACCGAGATTGGGGTTACAAATTTACTTAAAAATTACAAAATTACTCTCAGTCAGTTTAGTAAAAGGGGAGAGATATTATCAGATCTGACTACAATGATCCTCTTTAACCTCCGACCCTTTAGTCCCTCAACTCACAACTGTCATTGAAATGGTCATCGATTGGGCTGATATTTTTATTTGTGAAAAGTCAACCACGCTAGGAAGTCCCTTTTTATTGCATTGTTTTAACGGTGGTTAGCATAAAGATGTTCAAGTGCAGCAGTATAACTTCCTTTGCCTACGTTTTATCAGAGACACGTCTAACAGCCCTTTTGCGTGTACGTTGTGTCACCCAACAAAAATATGGAATGCTCTGGCCACACTCTATTAACATCCTCATTTAATTTGAGGAATGAATCACCAATAGTGGTCATTATAAGATTGAATTAGCACACGTATTCCAAGAGCGTAGTGCACGCTCGACCGCGGTGTTTATTTGTTTACAGACGTAATGGCACTTGGTAATCATTTGATTGTCGGTATCATTACAGATAATCACAGTCGTAATGCGCGAATGAATGCAATTAGTGCCTTAAAGGTGGCCAGCCTGACCGTGTCCTGGCGGTGTTGTTGGTAGAACTGCTAACGGTACCTAGGGCGCCGGAAGTCGCCGCCACCGCCAGGACCGGATACTCTTGTGTAATTACCGTAATTGTTTGTAATGTATTCACCAGCTGGTAAATGAATCAATGGGAACTGCACTGTCTCCGGGTGTCAGAATTGAAACAATTCTATTGTCTGGATCGCAAGGTTAATTTTCTACGCTGCAGTTGACCGAACACTTAAAGCCATCTTGTTGTGGAGGTACATTTTCCGACGATTTTGTTAAAAGTTCCCCAAGACGCTCAAGCTAACTTTGAAAGAGAATCTGGCCTTCGTGCCCAAGGAAAAGATTTCCATCCGCGAAGTTATCAAGCTTCTATTTTTAAAGCATTGTAAAGCTTGTGTTGGCCCGGCATATAATCATTAGGAAAAACATCAATTTTCCAAGAGCAGTATCAAACACTGTTTTCAGTTCAAAGGATGTCACGCCCCAAAGACCCAAAGATGCTGCCAGTATGTAGACTACTGTGATAAACTGTTGCGCCAAATGATCTTTGTATTGAAAATGGCCAAATAGTTCAATCTAGGGTGTTTAAACTGTACAGGATACTATGTTTAATTATGAGTCACTGTTTTCGTATTCACTCTGCAATGCAACTTATTCTATTGTATGTTTCAGATGGAGCACAGGACACGGACGATGGCGGCGAGGTGGAGGTGGTCCTTAGTTCTAGTCCTCATCAACTCCGCGCTCAGTTTAGGTAAGAAGAATCATCACTGGATGTGCTTGATTTTAGATATGATACCTATGCAATTGTCCTTGGTCTTTGAGCTTGATTAAATACCGTAATTATCTTGTATTAGAAAAGCTATTTTTTAGGAAGCTGTTTCTTTTTGTTTTGGGATGGACTGTGTATGGATGCAGAGTGACATCCCAAATAACATGCACATTCTTGAAAACAACGTCAAGTTTACCTCCACATTGTCATCATGATGTGTAGTCTAAATCGAAGATGACTGAAAGGAAGAGAAAAGAGAAAACAAGATTTCAGCTGTCCAACTGAGTATAAAGAATGATAAAATCAAAATTATGCCAGAATAGAATCTTTAAAATTTCATATTCAAATGCATAAATAGCGCCCGAAGTTTCCAAAGTCAGCGCTATAATGTATGAGATGGTAATATATTTCTTGCTGCCTATAAGACCAAGCTCAGATGAAAGAATTGGGAGTATCGTGAAGATGATATGACAGCTGGCTTCCATGTTCTTCAACTACAAACTGCAAATCCAAACCATCAACAACACCTTAGACCAGTTCCATACCTTGACAAAGCACTTCAAACGTTTCACTGTTAAGCGGCCATCATCATTATAACCTCAGCTGGCGCTCTACACCCATGATTTCAAAGACAAACTTTCACACATCCCTACAAATCCGCCGGAAGTGCTGAATTGCTCCGATTACAGAGCACCCTGTGATTGTGGGAGGGCCGGAAGTTCTAGTGTTTGGCCAAGTAAGTCAAGAGCACTGTCACCAGATGATGGTTGTGTTTGTAGCTTGGCCCACATCGCAGCCCTGAGTGCCCTGGGACATCAGTTTCACACAATTATAGTATCAGGTCCACCTCGCTGTCTCACGCCGACCACTCACGTTTTCACAATTGACTCGTCTTTAACCTACTACTAATGTCGTTGTAGCCCACCTTTGGCGAGACGTGTCGTTGAGGAAGACATTATGGAAGAGTTTTTTTTCAGAGTTCTGGGACACTCTGGAGACTTATGGACACTGAACAAGTTGATGGAATTTTAACTTAGGATGGCAAGCTAGTTTTGTGATTACACTCTACAGATGTACGATAGTGAAACTGGGAAAATGCCGCTTTGTAAAGTATTGATTGGTGGTTCGATGATGTTTTCCTTCTGAAATTTAACCAGTTATCCTTGATCGTTTGGCTGGTAAATGGTGTTATGTGACATGCTACGCCAAAGATCGGTTGATCATATTCAGTAACTATAAGCTTTCAAGCATTTCTTTTGTAAATATATTCCTCATTAGTTTTCTCCTTATACTGCGTACTCTGTCGTATTGGGCTGTACCATCAATATACCAATATCATAGCAAACTAGAAGAATGTCGTATAGGTAGTTGCATAAACAAACCAACACAGGAGTATGTTTAATCTGTGGTAACAGGTACCCAACCCCTTCTTCTTTAAGAAAGTTGTTACCGTTATACCGTTTTTAATATTTCTTTATCTCAATTTTTTATCACTATAGATCAATGATCTTTGTAATGATCAAGTAGACCACAAATTACCGGTATTCCAATGGAACTGTCCTAGTCGCATGGGTAAATATGTGGTTACTGAAAAGATAGATCCCGAACCAGGAACGCCACAGAGAAAACGCCCAATACACCAAGAATCTCGTCAGCCAAGCAAGGCTACCATCAAACTGTTGTACAGTATTCTATATGGTTGATAGTTGACTCGAGGTTAAAAACATAATCCCGCAATCCTATTACTAAAATACATATAAAATCAACGGCTTAATCTCCAGCGGGCTCGTCACTTTCGAGAAGCGGAAGGAGACTGTGAGGAAAGTGTACCTTTGTTCCGTCTGGCAATAGAAGATCGTCGTGAAACAGAGGAAACGGACATTAATTCGGGCTGTGACATTACGGCAAATCACATGTTGATGGTGTCGGCTGTGGCGCGGCGCGGCGGTACGATGGGACGTGGACCGGCCGTGGTCGAATGGTGATAACGGGACCGGCGTTCGCTGGACGGTGACGAGGAACAGAGGAATGGGGCCAGGCTAGGCCGAGGCTTGGCTGTGCTAGGGTAAACATGTGCAAACGAGGAAAATGTGAGGAATAAAAAGGTTCAGAGTATTGGATCAAGGCTAAAGGTTTGCCTACCGCAAAGAGAAAACGAATTTGTTGCCATCCTATGATAGAACAATTTAATATTGAGCTGGTTATCAGTCCAATGATCCAACCAATTCTCTCGGCGGAGGCTTGGCTGTGCTAGGGTAAACATTTGCAAACGAGGAAAATGTGAGGAATATTAAATACAGTAGATCGAAATTTTAACTAAAGGTTTTGCCTGCGTAAGGATAAAACGTATTGTTGTACTGTGAAGTTAATTTTGTGAATCCGGGTTTCACTTGGAGGGAAAAACTACTGACATTATATTTTCTAAATAATTTGTTTACAAAACCAAAATAATTCAAGCAACTAGGCAAAAAAATTCAACTTACAAATTAAATTTCAGAGTTGAGTCCCTGACACTTGATACATAGATAGGTGACCTTGACCGTGTCTTTAGTTGGCAAACTAGTGCGAAATTTTTTTGTTACATTTATTACTCCAACAAAATAAATTAACAAAATAAACCTACAGAAATAACAACAGAGAGTACAAATATAAGTTCAAATTAAAAAAAACACAACATACACACGTTATAAGTTGAATAAAATAAAGTGCTCCATTACCTGATGTAGCCATAGAACCGTCTTTAAATGCCTAAATTAATATTGATTAAGGATTACTGCTAATAACCTACGTTTAGTTAATGAATTAAACTAATGGCTGTCCTCGAAACTGAACATTAATAATATATTAGTGTTTTTGAATTCTGTGTAGCTAAAAAAATGTTTTTGATAGATGAGCTTGCACAAGTTAGTAGACAGAACAGGTAGACCGTGTCACTAACGTACAATTATCCAATCAGAGGTTTTTGTTTTATACTTGAGCGCGGCACTTTATATACTCTTTATTCAACGTCATTCTAGGAAACAAGGCATCAGAATTACAAAATTATAGTCTGACTGGTAAATTATATCCCGCAGCTATTTTCAAATAAAATAAGTAAACAATATTTAACTACTTATTGTCTTTAATGTGTTCCTCTTTTTTAGTTTTTCGCTTTGAGTTTGAGATCCAATGGTGAACACTTTACAATATCTTGATTCAATTATCGAATATTGAGATGGAATGTGGAATCTAATTTTCTAGAGAAGGTTTAAAAAAAAGATTACGGAGGTCTACTCCGGCTTTAGTGATTATCAAGAGTCCCGGAGGTTTATCGGGAGTCTTAACTGATTTTCAAGAGCCCTGATTGGTTTATCGGGAGTCTTCAGTGATTTTAAACAGTCCTGGAAATTTTAATTGATTTTCAAGAGTCTGGTGGTTTTCGGAAGGCTTCAGTGATTTTCAAGAGTGAGGAGGTTTATCGGGATGTTGGGGTGATTTCCATAGCATGGAGATTAATTTGGAACCTTAAGTGATTCCAACAGTCCTGGACGTTACCGGGAGGCCTCAGTGATTTTCAACTACAGTACTTTTATCACTCTCAAAGTGCCTATGCGAATCAGGAAGAAATTTGTGCCTAATTAATTAAAATTTGTATTACGAAACCTTTTTGAAAAGTAAAACAACTAGCGGTACACCATTTTAAAATGAGGCTGTCTACTTATAAGTGTAGACAGCCTCAGCCTAAACCACAGGAAGTATAACGGAGTGCCAGTACGGCATTGTTCTGCCACTAACCCACTTGAGAGAATAGAGCAATCACGCGGCGACTGGTGGAATTGATTCTCATCACTCATAGTGATAATCGTTGAGAAATTGCTTTAAACGAGTAGGAGATAAATGGTTTAAGCGTGGAGGAAAAGTGTCGAGGATATTGTAGCTGTTTTTAACGTACAGCGCGAACGTTTGTAGCGTTCTTCAATTAACAGACGTAGAATTATTTAACAGACGATTTGGAAATGGCAAATAAGTAATGAAAAAAGTTACGACTATTTGTGTTCGATCGCTTGATTTTAATGTTTTATTTTAAGGTCATTGTATGAGGTTTTTAAGTCATGTTTCCAATTTGCAAGTTCAGTGACACTTTTGCATAAATTTCTCCCTCAAAAGCTGGATGGATATTTACAATGGTAAAATTTAGCTAAACCTTTCTAACACCTGCAAGAGAGGAATGCGCATCCACAATGGCAGAACAAATGCTAATTCTTTCTTTTCGCATCTGTTTATACCTATACTAACGAGGCACCCAACTATCGTAGTTCCAAATTAGTTAACCGCCTCAAGTCTGAAAGGGTGTGTTTCGATTACACTCGTTGACCTGCTATTGTTCAAGCTTGACCTTGAGCTTGATGCTAGAGGCTACAGGACTGAGATGCGTTTGACCTATTGACCACGACGAGGACGAGGCTTTGTGAGGTAATGACTCATCACCCAGGAGGCAAGAGAGCGAGTCCAGACTCCGGAGACGCCCGAGCTATATAGGCTACCGCGGTTGTGGCGGACTACTTGCTTGTAGTTCTCCTTATCGCCTACATCGCCGCCTACACTCGGACACCTTATTGGTCGACACATTCACAACAATGCAGTTAGATTTGGCGATGTCGATCAACTGGCTTTTCGAACGATTGGATTTCCTTGCTAACCGTAACTGGATAGTTAGTTAGAAACGCTTTTTAACTAGTTCAACTCATCATATAAATATTAAATTTTGTCTCATAAAGAAATTAGGTTTGTAAGTACAGTGGCGACAGTAACAAGGAGGGTATCACCGTGGCCGTTACAATGAAGGCTCTTGCTGCAGAGTTGGCTGAAAATCAGTGAACATAAATTTTATTAATAATTCTGTCCACTGTGGCATTTTTAGACATCAAAATGGATGAATTTAAATTTTAAGGCTTTGTTTAGGCATACTGATTGTGATTTCCTCACATATAATTTGCAACCCATCCACCTTTATATGTAGATGATCAATTCAAAACAACACTAACAACAGCACCAAGTTTTTTTTATTCCTCCAACCACTTTCACTCAACGTATCTTTTTCAAATTTAGCGAGCCGACATGGCCAGTTACGGCGCGGCACGTCGTCTGATGTGGCTGTACGGTACCGTACACCAAGCACAATACATACCGCTGAATATGCATGGCTCGACGGCGGAATGCTGCATATTGTTGTTTATTGCGTCTAGACGAGCAACAAGCCAGCAACGTCCAACCTGTAACAACACTTCGCAACTGATACTGCGGATGAGGATTGGATTGCAGTCGTGCGTACGAGATCTTGATATTCATTACTTCCCACTTGTGGAAGAGTTATGGAGTGGTGTCGTGAGCAACTGGAATGGTAAAGGTGTTCCTGGCAAGTGCAATGCCGATTACCGGGTTATGTGCACTATGCACGTCAAGTGAAGAACGTGTAGAACTGCGGGATGCAGCGTCATTAGGTTGGCTTGCATTTGAAGATGAAGTAAAGATAACGCTATGGCTCAACTAGTTGTGGCTTGTTTTGAGCTGTGGAATGAATTTACCGTTGAAACAAAAGTGGAATTTACGTTTGTGTTGCTTATCTGACGTTATTCTTTGCTGCAAAAGTTAAGAACTGAGCAATTTCAGGATGTCTTGAGCTGTTGGGTGATTTTTACCTAAAAATCTCTTTAGCTAAGCTGAAAAAATCAGCTAAAAATCTATTTTTAGCTGAGCTAAAATTATTCATTTTCCTACAGCAGTGGAGTAACTCAGCTCCACTAATCTAACTAATTAGGCATATGTTTCCATTATCGAATCTTTAAACAAAATTACAATAATGACAATTCTCATCTTCCACATAATTTAACTTCAACTTGTTTTTGGTTGCAGGTCGTGTAGCATTTGAAAAGCTGACAGAGCTGGATTACAGAGGCAACACTTACTACACAGTAAAGAACCTTTCTCTCTATGAGTGCCAGGGATGGTGTCGGGAGGAGCCAGACTGTCAAGCGGCCTGTTTTAGGTAACACCTTTGCCTATTTAAAGACGATGATCCAAGTATATTGTGCAAAAAGATTTGGCGTTCTTGCAAAAAAATACGAAAAAATATTAGCTGATCAAAAGTTTGCTCTATTTTTTTTTGTTATCTATGGTAGAAGTTATTCAATTGATTTTTAGAGTTTCCTAATGTTCTGTCTGAAACAATGATTTCACAGACAAATGCAATATATTGCAAACTCACTTAATGCACTGTACAAAAATGATGAAATTTCCATTTGAGATCCAAAAATTTCAGATTGCTACAGGCAAAGTAATTAAGTAAATTAGATAGATTGAAATGCTATTTTAGTTGTTCCGTGGATTCACTCTATAGTCACATGTGTCTATGATTTTAAAACAGCGATTGCACAGATAATGATGCCATTTAGTAGGTACTAGTAATATTTACGTGTACAATTGACTTTTGAATACTGAAGCACACTTTCTCATCTACATAGACCAGCTAACCAGTTTTTGTACTCAAAAAGACCATACTTGAGTTAGACTCGTGGAGTGGGCTTTCGTTGAAAAGTAATTTCTCTTTCAGTTTGTAAAATACTTTGAATGTTTGACATAAACATAAAAATTGCTAAAGTTTGCAATCAATGTCCTGGCGTACAAAACAAACAAGTTGTATCTTTCCCACAACACACTTTGTTTTTGCGCAATTCAACTAAGCTGTTTTGACAACAAATTTGATATTCAATGGAAAGGTTTGTTGGACAGTAGGTTTATCTATTAACCTAGTTAAAACATATTAGACTCTGAAATTAATTATTAAAAGCGCATTATGATTTACAGTTTTGTATTAAATCCGCTGACGCCAGTCCAAGAGACATTGTGCCAGCTGCAAAACGAAACTTCAGCCAACAATCCAGCTGCGGTCCCTCAGCGATCAGTCAATCTCTACTACATGGTCAAACTGCAGATTAGATCAGGTATACTTCCAATTGATTGTTACACTTCAAATTAGATTGGATCATTTTATTATAACTTTAACCTGCACACACGAGGTAAAGTTACTGTAAGTGCTTCTAAAAGTCTTTGTTAGAAGGTTTAGTTGATGAACTTCTAATCAGCAATTTTCAAATATATTATTTGAAAAGGAATGATAAAACATTGAGCAAAAAAAACTATATTCTTCACCTTTAATTAACGAACCTTAACAATAAAGATCTCCTTCAATTGGGTCTTCATTGTTTTCATTTATCTCTTAGAATCGATAATTATAAATGTCTTGAGAACACCAAGAAATTGAATGATTAAGTTATTAAAAATACAAAAAAAAAAAAAAAAACATCTTGCACGAGTAAACCTTTTGGTTCTTTACAGACAATGTATGTTTGCGACCTTGGTCTTTCGAGAGAGTTCCTAACAAGATGATTCGAGGATTAGACAACGCTTTGATCTACACTTCAACCAAAGAAGCCTGCCTCGCTGCGTGTCTAAATGAGGTAAGCTAGTCTTTGGGTTGGAAATTACTTTCATAGATTGTAAAAAAATAAAAACTGTGTATTTTCACTATTTTTATAATGATTTTTAAAGCTTATAACTGTTACCTTACACACTATATGGTTTAATTTTGAATTTTACTGGTAAAATTCCACATGGGGAACATCATAAAATGTACAACAATTTCTCATGATTATTGTCATACCCAATTACCTAGAATGTTTGCCTTATGTAAAGTCCGTTGGATTTTTATTCCAAGCGTGGTCAATTATGGATTTGGATGACATTTATTGATATTGGGCTGTCACTTAATGATGCTGTCTTATAAAAATGTAGATGTTGGATGGTAATAATACCAGATTAGGACCATTATTTCATAAAAAAAAAAGAAAAAACCCTTGAACTTGAAATATTAAAAATTAGAACCCAAATAAATGTATAACAGTAATATTTACATCAAACGTATTTTATGTTTATTTTCATTTTCATTTCCCCATCATCTCTTTAGTTTAAATAATTAAAATGCAGTATGAAGTAGTCTCCATAGTTATAACATCACATGTTCTAGTATCGCTTCACTTGTCGTTCCGTCGAGTACAACTACGTGACTCTGCAATGCCATCTAAGTGACTCGGACCGCCGCACGACGGGGCAGTATGTACAGTTTGTGGACGCCCAGGGAGTCGATTACTTCGAGAACCTCTGTCTTAAAGGTAAGGTGATCAATGTTTACTAGAGAACGATTAGTTAAGTACAAGGGAGAAGTGTGTCCATAATATAAGAAAGTTAAGAAACAAGCACATTCAATGGAAATTTTGAATTCTATAACTCGTATCTACATTCTGGTAGTGTATCTATGGTTAAAAACTAACTCTATGGTAAAAGTAGTTGAAGATAAGTAGTTTACAATATGATTATTCATCTTGGCAACTATTGAATCATGAAAATGTTGTTATATTTGCAGGCAACCAGGCTTGTAAAGGCAACCGAGTCTATCAAATTCCAAGAATAGGAGTTGCAGACGACAAAGTTGCGCAGTATGCAAGTCTTCACTACTACGTGGATAAAGAGTTGCAGGTAAATAATTTTGAATCTGAAACTTAAGGTTAAGTTAAAAGTTGAAAAAAATAAAGTCATGTATTTGGACAGTACTGTAGTTTAAAAGAGATTAATACAAACGATATGGGGTTTCAACTTAATTTGATATATGATCTAAACTAGCGACAAATCACAAGTTTTGTCCCAATAAAGGAATTATAAGGAGAGTAGATTGATGAGAACTGTTTCAATACTTCAGTGCTAATTCAATAACTTCATTGAGAGAACATCACACATGTGGTAACATACGAGATGAATATAAGAGAAACACGAGTTTAAACAGATTCATGACATTCAACTCTTGCAAATTCTAGGTGAAAACTGAGTCAGCGTGCCGACTTGCTTGTGAGATTGAGAACGAGTTCTTGTGCCGTTCGTTCCTGTACAAGGGGCCTCCGGTAGGCTCGTCTTACAACTGTCAGCTGTTCCATCTGGACCACAAGACACTGCCTGATGGACCCAGCACGTACCTAAACGCTGAACGGCCGTTGATCGACGACGGACAGCGTGTCGGCACCTACTACGAGAACTACTGTGAAAGTGAGTTGGGTTATACCGCTGATATTTGGGTACTGAAGTGAAGTACAAATTCTATTTATATGGACAAGCTGTGTTTTGGAATTTTAAAACTTTTTTTATAAGGGCACCAACACTTCTGACTGCCTACAACTCCCAAATTCTTGGTGATGAGTCTCCGCTGAAACTATATTCAGGCTAGATCACTGTCAAAAACACAAATATTTCAATACAATTATCACCCATATGCAATGTAATAAAAATAAACACTTTAAACAGCTAAACATTCTTTGATGATTAAAGTTATCATCTGATTTTTTAGAGTCACTCAACACTCACGAGCAGCTCCCAGTGGTGTTTGAAACAACGGATGACAACAACATCAGCAACCTGACCCGGACTGATATCAACTGTGACAAGACTGGAACTTGCTATGATGGTAAACAAAATATTTATATTTGGTTTAAGTTACTTCTAATAAGATTCGTTCATGTATACAGTGAAACTTCAATGAGAAGATCCTCAATAGCATGTCACTTTCGATAACCAGTGACATTTTCAAATACCCTGGATTTTGTATTACCTTTATCTCCATGTTATTCCAAACCTCATTAAGAAGTCCACCTTGATGACAAGTTTCATTGATAATCATCATAAGAAACCTACCATCAAGGTTCTACTGTAGAACATTTTCTAGCCTGAAGAGTTTATTAAGTAGACATAATCTCATTTAGATCTGTTTAGTTCAGACTCTGGAATGTTCGAACGGCCATCTACATAACCCACATATCACACAACTTTTATACACACTGCTTCTTCTATGCAAGGACTAAATGATATGTCATGGACATTTCTATCACGTTTTTCCTTGCTACACTATGTGTATGACTTTTGTACTTTGATATGTACCCAGTTTAACAACAACTAGGTGAACCCGTGCGAATTCGCACGAATAATAAATTAGGATATTATAGCAGCGTCGTTAGAAGTTGCGTCGTTGTATCGACGTTGGTCTTGAGCTCGATAGTTGGCTATATGCATTCTAAGTTCTTTTTGCTGTTCAGTAGGAGTATTTTTCAGGACGGAGCTGATCATGCTGAAAACTTGCACGTATGGATTAATATCAACCAAATGTTGAGTCAAAATGTGAATGAGTTCAGTGCTGCAAGAGCCATCAGCTTTGTTTAGCATTCTTTCTTGAACATCAGTTTCGACGTCATAGATATAAATTTGGGCATATGTGGGATGCTACCCTTTTGACGGTTGAAAGGTGCCAATTGAGTGATAAATTGTGTCGTGCACCTTATACATGAAAGGCCCTCCACCGTTATGTTCTTAAATTTTAGCTCGAGTGCTGACCATTGTGAGCGCAGAGTTGTACGATCTAATGTCCTCTTTGTAGTTTCTGCTCAAATTATTTGCTCCATTAAGTAGGCTCTGTATATAATAGCCTTCTCGGTATGGTGGTAGATTCACTTTTCCTTTATGGCAGCAGGATGAAAATCCTTCCTCTGTGTTCTTGTTTAAAATGTAGCGCACCACATTTCTGACAATTTAATGCCATCTTGCCTAGTGAATGCTGCTGAGTTCTTGTATTTGTCAGTGTAATTTTGTAAGTACACGTTGCCACTAACTGTTTCCAGCTCCTCGCCTGGGCTCCTTACGTTTTGTATTGCTTGCAATATGTTGACTCGCCATGTCCGACCGGCAATATTTCTTTCTCGTCGGGTTCTTGGCATGTTTAAACGAAAATAAAATTAATGTAAAACCTTTCTCCCGTTGTGTCCTATAGGTAACATTTCTTTGCCGGGTTTCTAGTTATTTTTAAAAACATGCAAACTGTTTATTTTTAAAAACCAAACAAAACAGCTGGGATTTATTTTTTTGAAAAACTAATGCATTGGCATCTGTTTCAGAATATAAAAACATTCAAATCAATCACAATGTTTTCCTTTGGGGCAGCCCACGCCCTTAAAAAGATATATTTCGAAAATCTAAAGCCAGTTTGCACATCTACACACCTAGACGAACATTTTGGTATATAATATGTGGGGTTAAATCTTAAATCAAAAAAGCTTTATTGTTCACAAAGTTTCATGTCGCGTATTAAATTATATAGATATAGATATCAATGGTTTACATCTCTTATGTTTCTTCCCAGTCTCGGTCAACTGCAAGGACACCAGGATCGCTGTGCAAGTTAGGACCAACAAACCGTTCAACGGACGTATCTACGCCCTCGGCCGCTCCGAGACGTGCAACATCGACGTCATCAACAGCGACCTGTTCAGACTCGACCTGACCATGAGTGGGCAAGACTGTAATACACAGTCTGTGGTGAGTAGAACATGATGTTATGTTGTTAGTTTGATTAGAGGTTTAATTTAGATTAAATTTGACAGAGTGCGGTATGAATTTTTAGGAAAGATTGATTTAGAAGTTGAATGATCGAGGGAAAGTTTTAATACAAAGGAGTTCACCAGACACCTCTCTGCTAGATTAAAACCATTCTTATACATTTCTGAGCTCCTTTTTTGTTTTTGTAAAAATTTCAACAATCCTAATTTTGGACATTAATATACCTATTAAACTGTTTCAAATCCAGGTGAGTAGTAGAGGGGGTTGAAGATTTTAGCTAGTCCATCTTGTTAAAAAGTGGAGAGTAGAAGATCTTATTACTGATTTCAATCTGATCTAATTTGTCAAAATATACCATGTTCCCAAATAAATGTCCAAATTCACATGTTATTGAAAATGAAATTGAGTTAAAAATTAATGATGAAACATATAAGTATACCATAGGTAGGCTTTTCTAAACAGCCACTGATAATTTAAGTTACCACACCGAGTATGAAAAGATTTTTGAACATGGATACCAACTTCACCAATTAATACGAAGAGAAAAAAAATTTTTAGTATACAACAGAAACGTGCAGACGATAGGGTATGACATTTCTAGAGGTTAGAGTCCATGTATAAATCCAGCCAATCTGATGGTATCTTGGTGATAATGCTGTACTCAGTGGTTCAGTGCCTTAATCTATTGGTCCGATAACCGAGAGAGAAACTAACATAAACCTCTATGGCAAAAAGAACTCCTTCTCTATTCGAGGACTCTCTACAACAAAAGTCATACAACATTGTTTTTTCTGTTCCCAGACCGGAGTATATTCGAACACAGTGGTTCTCCAACATCACAGCGTAGTCATGACGAAAGCAGACAAGATCTACAAAGTCAAGTGTACTTACGACATGTCCTCCAAGAACATTACCTTCGGCATGATGCCTATTAGGTGAGTTTATATCTCGAGGAAAAATGGCTACTGTCGTACAGTAAATTAGAATTTTTTTAGCAACAAGTGATGAAAAAACAAGTAAAACGTGTAGGCCTAAATTATAAAAACTTAGTTTACGTGAAAAAACATATGTTGCTAATTAATTTAACTAAGTTACATGCAACTGATTAATAAGAATAATGTATTAATATATAGGATTAAATAAAATGTTTTGAAAAAAAAACCACTATCTACTTTATTCCTTAACAATTTGAATATCAAGAGGATTTTAGCCACAACTTTGTAAATATTTTCTGTTCCTGAGGTTACTTTATTGTTTGTTCGCAGAGATCCGGAGATGATCAGTATAACATCGGCTCCCGAAGCTCCTCCTCCGCGTATTCGTATTCTCGACACTCGACAGCGTGAGGTAGAGACTGTGAGGATTGGAGACAAACTGACGTTCCGCATTGAGATCCCAGAGGACAGTAAGTAGTTACACTTATTATAACCTATTCTAACCATAACAAATGTGGAATTAAACCATAACCTATAAGTAACCTAACCATTGTCTGTGAGCAACCTAACCATCCATAACTGTGGAGTAATCTGACCTCAAATTAAAAATATTTTGAATCCCAAATTATTTTCATGGAATCAGATTTAAAATATTAGTTATTTGTAACCCATTAAATATCCTACTTAGAGACTAAAGAAATAAAGTAAAATTGTAACAAGTAGTTAATTTTGGTCTTAAAATTGGCATTGTTCTTTATTTTATCAACTAAGTAGTAGTGATGATGACGAAGAGAAGATGAAGATAGTAAACTTGCATTGTTGTTTTCAGCGCCTTACGGAATCTTTGCACGAAGTTGTGTTGCAATGGCTAAGGACTCAAAGAGCACTTTCCAAATCATTGATGATGAAGGGTACGTATTTCGATATACAATCTATATGGGGTAGGTTTAACTAAATATGACGTAATATAGTTGTGGATACTAATTTGTTTCAAAATAGTTCAATTATGAAATATTAGTCACGCTCATTATACCTTTTTAGATTGTTATAACTCTTAAAATAAATATTGTTTTTCATACTTTCGATAAATGTTAATGTTACGACGGCTGATGTTGCAGATGCCCTGTCGACCCCAGCATTTTCCCTGGCTTCACTCCTGACGGCAACGCCCTACAGTCCGTGTACGAGGCGTTCAGATTCACCGAGTCTTATGGAGTCATCTTTCAGTGTAACGTCAAATACTGTCTTGGACCTTGCGAACCGGTCAGTGGATTTGGAATATCTTATTATCTTTTGCCCTAAGAGCTTGAATATTTGTGGTTTCACTTTTTTCTCTTTTTCAGGTGTTGTGTACAGGTACAAGACACATGTACACATAATTTTAACAATTAATTGTATACACAATCTCAACTCAATCAAAATATCCGAACCGCTACCTGGAAAATTCTAGGGATAAAACTCTCGATGATACAACATTAAAGTAACTTTCAAATTGGAGTGTGTGAATCTTCAGAATATCTTATCTGATTGGTCATGAAGAATGCCAAAGTGATTTCACCCTAATCCAGATTCCACATTTTGACAGACTATTCAGGTTCTCTTTAAGCTGTGCGTTTTAATATACAACTCATGTTCACACGTTGATGGTAAAATTAACTTGCCAAATGTCACGATAAATTAAGTTCTGTAGAATGGTTACTGATCATACAGACAATCTGGATATTTAAAAACCTCTTGCAGGAATTGTAACTCCTTGGCTATGTTAAACACCACGTGTAACTATGGTGGACCATACAAACCACACAAATCCAACGTAAATTTAGTCCTGATGCTATTGACATGACTTGGCCAGGAGATCCTTGTTCTTGACTTTGCTAACACAGTGTGATATGTTGGTCACAGGCCGTGTGTGAGTGGGGCAGAGAATCGGTGGAGTCATGGGGTCGTCGCAAGAGAGCCGTCAACACATCCGACTCTGAGAATTCTGAGGAAGACATGACTCTCAGCCAAGAGATTTTGGTTCTTGACTTTGGCGACAACGAGAAAACATCACAGTTCCTCAAGACTGACGAACCTCTTTATGCTGAGTTCGATAAAGGTGAATTGACTCATGTGAATCATTTTCGATCATGCAATAGATTGCTCGTCCCTTTCCGCCAATACTCAAATTCTCTTTTCAGTTTTCATACATTAAAATTTCATAGTTTACTATAAACTTGTGCATCTATCTTGGTTTGTAAATAGTGGGCACAAATTTCTATGTCAGCTGACAGCCATCATGGCGGCTCTTATTTACCAGCCTGGAAGTATTTAATTTTCAACTTGATATAAAAACTTAGCAGTCATAAAACAAACAATATTTTTCTTAATAACACAGAAATTTTAGCCAGTATTGCTAACTGTCCTAGTATTTTTACATTTTTTACTTTGGATGATATCCCTGGCCATCATAGTGGCAGGGACAGTCGGAATCGATGTAAAATTTATCCCAGCTGCTACAAAATTCTACCTAACCAATGAAGACAATTTAAAGTGGTCTGTTCATTACTCGGTACAGAAAGTAGCTATTTTCGATGACAGCTGATATCAAAGAAAATATTGTTTTCCTACAGTTACCTAACAATGTACATGTTCTCTCACTGATTTGAGAAAGCAAAGTGGCCAATTCGCTCACCAGTGAGACAATGTTAACATTGTCTCACTCTAATTACTTTGTCTCACTCCAGATTTGCAACGTGAAGGCACGAAATAGTGAGCGCGTAACATGCAGGCAACGTCGTATGCGCGCGAAATACGTTGGCAGCACTGGCTGTAAATCAGCTGGTCAGCTGTTGTACTGTTGTATTTGTCACTTCACATTAAATGTTATATTAAAAGTTCACTTCTGTGTAAAAATAGGTTATGTTTGTTCATGTTTCTTCACAAATGTTTTTGTTTTATGGTAACTGTAGGAAAAGTATAATGTGCAACTCGAGTTCAAAGTACAATTGCCCCACTCGAGAAACCATTCCTCACTCGCCTACGGCTCGTGAGTAAGGATTTCTCTCGAGTGAGTCAATTGCTCACTTTTCTCACTAGTTGCACAAATAACTATTCTTTTCTTGAGCTCTAGCTTAGAGCAGGGAAACTTAGCTTGGCTCAGCTGATTTTTTGTTGCTCCAAATTTACCTTTCCCCCTAATTCAACGCTACATGAACAAACGTGTCTTTTGTGTTCTTTACCATTATTTATTTTTATACTTCAAATCAGCTGTTTTTATTATTGGTTGAAAATAAACCAAAAAATAAATCAATAAATTGGCTAAATGTAAACAAAAATTGACATTTGCGAGATGATGAAACGTATCGTTCATAACTTCCGACACGTATCAAAAGTGATTTTCTGACACTAGCTTTAATTATGTTTTAACTGACAGTAACCAAGCAATTTATATATTCAAAACTTGTTATGATTTCAGACAAAACGGTGACGATTATGGAGCCGTGTCCAACTAAGACTTCCGTCCTCACCCTGGGTGTTACATGCGCACTATTGATCGTCATCTACATCACGACAATATTCAGCTATTACATGAAGAAGTGGATGACGCCGCGCAAGATGATGGCCTAGTTCTATAGTCGATAACTCAACTTTAGTCTGACTCTTGATTTGTAGTGAAGATGCAAAACTTGACCCACTTATTTATATTTATTAAGTTTTTCCTCTTCATTGCAAATAAAATGTGTTTCGTAGGAAACGACACAGTGTGAATTGTCCTAGGTTAAGTTTTATTTATTGAGAGCTTTAATTTGTTTTGTGCGTTTCTAATACTGTTTCTTGTTGAATTAAAAATTAATCTCTTTCCGGTGATTAAATTACTAGGTGAAATTAGTTGAATCAATTTGTAAAGTATTTGTGGTAATGAATTTATCTCAGAAAATTAAGGTTGGGTGAAACCATTAGTGGTTAAAAAAAATGGGAAATTACTTCGTAAAATACTTACCTTACATATAGGTTTTGTAGCGACTAAGATAAATTTAAATTAAAAGTAAAAAATAATTAAGGTGTTTGAGTTCCTTGAGTATAAAAAATACTAACCCACCCTGATGAATTTAAAATATCACTACCAACGTGCCTATAACTGTTTACATTTTAAGAGTACCGGTAACTACAAAAGTGTATTTGAAAAAAAAACAATTAGAACCTTTACGAAAATTCATACAGTTGGATCGTTAGTGCTTGTTAGGTGATGAAAGAGAACTAACAATGAAAATAAGAATTGTTGACTTAGTACTGCAAGATAAGTTGCAATAAATAATTAAATTATTCTTAATTTCCCCAGTTTTCTTAATGTGATCTCTTAACTAATAACTTATTTTACACCCACCATTCTGCTTACTGACTGAAGTAATATTTTATTTATAAGAACTATAAATGTATACTAACAATATTCTTATAGGACTAATTGTGATTCTAGACAAGGAAATTACATCACAACGACATAAAATATGGCCAGCATGAGTTGTAAAGCTATTTAGTACGTAGGATAATCCAAACGCAAGATTTCTGGGTGATACTTGCAAGAAAAAGTTATTCTTGTCCTATAACACATTAAAAGTACCTACAAAATATGAATAGGTTGTTAAACTTATCAGACTACATTATAATAATATCTTAATTTACTTTTAATTTGAACATAATTTTTAGTTCACTGCAAAAATTAACAAACGTACGGTTTTGAATATTATTATTGTGAACAAACTGATAATTTTTTTTAATGGAACAGTTCATGAAATGTTTTTTATCTCCTTGTAACTAAAACATTAAAGAGTGTTTCAAACATCACAAAAAAATTAGGGAATCACAGAATGTCACATGTATTGACCAGTGTTTTTTTTTACAAAAAAGATCTCTGTTCTTTATGATGTTATAGATTCAAGAACATTAGCAAAGTACCACCCAAACTTCTTGATAAGACTGTACATATAGGTTAAGACAAGTGAACAAGTTTCCAATACGGGTGTGACTGTACATAGGTCCGCTCAGGGTTGGTGGAGGCTCCACCTTTTTGTAAATACGAACTTCGACCACAAAAATGTATTTAACTATACTCTTCCATAGCATTCATATGATTTTGCAGTAAAACGTGGTAAAAACTGACTTTTGTGTTTCATTTTCCATGTGTTTTGAAAAGTTGATGGTTCGTAGTGGAGTATTTGTAATAACATTTTAACTGTTTGCTGCAAAGCGAGTATAATGGTGAACCAGGCAGACTCCACTGATACTAATATCTCAAGAAATCATGTTTTCCTATTTGACACAATTATTGGTCGGAAAATCACCTCTAAATGGCATGGAAGTTAATCTATGTTTATAATTAATTGAGGAGGGTGGATTCTAGAGTTTTATGTAAATATGCTAAGCTTTACATAAAAAAGCTTTGGATTGTCTGACCTTTTTTACTATTTCGACCAATTGTCGCGATCCCATAGTTTACAAATTAGCGGGTTTGTACTGTGGTGGTTTTATTCACCTAAGATAAAAGGGTACTACATTATTCGTTATGCGTCGAGAACCAGTTTTCAAACCCTACTAAAATGTGTAATAACCACACAGATCCCCTCATTTAGTTGATTTGTTTAAATCAGCTGTGTGACAGTAAAGTAAAAATCATTTTGAAATGTTAAAGAGGTGAATAACGCACACTTAAGAGCAATTAATCAATGACAGATTAATTTTAGTAACTCTCGGCCGATAGTGACCGATTGTAAACATTTGCATGGTGAATTACTGAAGTTACTGAGTTTAAAAATAGTTTTGAAATGATATAAAAAATACAATATAAATTTATTAAAAGATAACGATACAAGAAAACCTTAAAATTACAATACACTTTCCTGCATCTGCAAACTAGCCTGGGTGAGAACAGCGACATCAAACATGTGTTCAGGAACGAGAAGTTCGGCCACCTGGAAAACGCAATACATTGGTGTATAGATTAAACATTCTGAATAGATCTTCATTATGGATTAGCTGGATTGAGTTTAAAGGCATTTTAAAGACTGGAATATGTAGAAGGATATTTGTTAACCATCTATTTCTAAAAAATTAACCAACTTTAAAACTGTTTTCACCGAATAAAACTGTCTATTTTTTTCTAGTATTTAACATAACATGAAAAACTTACACTTTATCAAATCAAACAAATGCACAAATATAATTCATGATTTTAAACGCATTGATATTTGAAAACTATAAATCTACTCAACAAAATAAAAAGCATGTTTCAACCCAACATAGTATATAGAAAACAGGTGGTTTCGGTATTTATGTTAATTATTTTAATTAGTCAGTTTATGAGGATTTATCTGAATGAATCCCTTCACTAATGATTGGTCTAAAGAATGGCTTGACATTGCTGTGGAACAACATGGCCACCGATACTGTCATATCACTGTAGTCTCAATACTAACTAGAAAATGGGACTAATATTGTAATTGTACTTCACAATCACTGGATAACTGATGCAAACAAAGTTTTGAAAAAAATTAACGATATTGAAACAAACATGATACATGGTGTCTACTCTCCGGGAAATTCGGGAAAAACGGGAAACCTCCGGGAATTTTATCTAACCTTGAAATGTCCTGGAAAACTCCAGGAATCCACCCAAACCTCCGGGAATCCGAAGCCCGGTCATCGGAATCGTCGGCTAACCGAAACACTACCGCTTTTGTTGCCGCGATCTTGGGAAATGATTATCGGTGTCGCAATAAAGATATGCTCACGGGCATTGTCGCGATCGCGGGAGAAGATTATCGGTGTCGGTGATATGCCTACAGGTGTTGCCGCTATCGCGAGATATGCCTACGGGTGTTGCCGCAATCGCGGCAGACAATTATTGGTGTTGCCGGAACCACGAGACATGCCTACGGGTGTTGCCGCAATGGCGTCAGACGATTATGGGTGTTGCCGCGATCGCGGGAGACTATTATCGGTGTCGCTTAAACCGCAAGATATGGTCACGGGTGTTGCCGTGATCCCGGGAAACTATTTCCGGTGTCGCCCAAACGGTAAAATATGCACACGGGTGTTGCCGCGATCGCAGGAAACGATTACTGGTGTGGCTGAAATCATAAAATATGCGAACCTGTTTAGCTGCGATCAGTCGACCGTGTTGACGAGACTGCATGACATGCTCACCGGTAATCCCAGGAATGCGGGAGATGATAACTGGTGTCACCTTACCTACCAGTTATACTGTTTTATTATGTTGTATAAGCTAAAATATTCTTTGGAAAAGTTTTGCTTCAAATTCAAATAATAATTATCATTAATAATAATAATAAATTATTATTAGCGGGTTGCGATTAGTTGAGCGGGTTCCGATAGTAGCTCTTAAAATTCAGGAATTTGTCTTGAATTCTCCTGGAAAACTCCTTGAATTTTTCCAACCAGGTTTAGTAGACACCATGTGATAGCAAACTAGTTATCTTTTCCAACTTACCTCGTATTTAAGAGACTGTTCATAAGCATAGCAGATGCTGGTATCGAACAAAAGCATTTTGCTGGCAGCAAGGGCCAGAATGCAGTTTCGAAGTCTGGCAATCACTTCCCTATCTGCTCTCGGAACTGGCTGGAAAATGGCAGATTTTTTAAACTGACGATCACTTCAATATAACGAGAATTATCAGAACCTATTATTATCAGAACCTCTATATTGCGAATTTAACCTCCACTTAACTGTACCTTCTCTTGAAATTCAGGAAATATGGATGAAAAAACAAAAGGAAACGCTGTGCATTAAGGGTGGATACTGAGCCTAATATTATAGGTAAGTTAAAAACAATACAACACATCAAAGAAAAAATTGGAAATTGCAAAATATTTTGGACTACTGTACTTGGCACTTGAGCTACAATGTTGAAAAGGAAAAATAAGTTTGACGACCGAAGTATTTTTTTCTGGAAATCATAAGGTTGAAGTTGTGTGATTTGAACCAAAGGATGTAGAGGAATATGAGCTTAAATGGTTAAAGGAATGCCGGGACAAAAATATTGCAATAAGCGACCTAATTTTTCAAGAAAAACCCCAGTAATTTGCTTCTTAACTGGGTCATCAACTAATCTGAGCTGGGTCAATCCATATACCCAATAAGATATATCTATATAGGCTGCCCAATAAAATCTCAAAAACGCAAAAACTTATCTCAAAACTGGTTAATGCCTAAACATTAGAGGTAATGTAGTTTTAGTACAAAGTACAACATTTAAAAAAATGGTATGCTTGTATTTTTCTACTACTGGAATCTGCTAGAATTTATTTGATAAAGCATAGTCTCCTCTAATACAAGGCCACAGCGAGACAAAACACTACTGTCCCGTCAAACCAAAACAGCTGTTGCATTAATTTATAATGGACAGTATAGGAAATGTTTATGTTTACACTTTTGTTATTTCTGTTATTACGATGGCAATGGGCATGACGTTGTGACGTTGCCAAAGACCAACCGCGGCCTTGTGTTAGAGGAGACTATGTAAGTTGTTTTGACAATTTGTTAATTACACAACTATAGGGATATGCATTTCATGAACTTTCTCAATTAAATTAACTTTACATCTCAAAAGATGCTGATGCAAACTGGTGTGGTAATTACTACACATTTACATTTATGTAAGTTGGATGTAAATGATGTTTTTCCTCCACTAGATCGAAATATCTCGTACCTGATCTAGGTTCTGAATAAAGCCACCCGTGCCTTGCTCGTCAGTCGTGGTGGGGCAGACCCAGATGTAGCCGTTGTTACCTAGGATAACACTCGCCCCACACGGCAACTTGTGGAAATGTGTTTTTCTTCTCTTTATCAGTCCCGGGAACACTTTGACTAAAACTCCTTGAGAGAGCTGAAAACAAAATATTATTAAGATAGTAGGCTATGTTACTTAAAAAAGGGGTGTGCGATGCATCGAAAATGGATCGAAATTTCGATTCGATTCGATTCGATGCATCGAATCGCGATTCGATTCAGTGGTGGTCAAAAAACGATTCGATTCATGAGGGAGTCAGTATCCATATACGAAAAACGCCTGCAGAAAGTCAATGCAATACCCGCAATACAGGAGCGCGTTGCTGTTGCGTTTCCTTTACGAAGGCGTTCTTATTTAATACATTCTTTGCATTAAATATAACTTTAATTGTTTTATATTTTTTTGTTTTGACATTGCAAATGATGAGAGGTTTTGTTTTTTGTCTTGATGTAAGCAGTGTGAAAAATATTTTACTACTGTAAACCTAGCCAAAACAAGATAGGTTACTCCAAAATCATTTTAAAAATAAGTCTGAAAAATTGTTACTTAATACTTAACTAGTAAGATTATTAATGTTATAGACTGATACATTTGGTATTTTTGTTAGGGGTCTGCCGATCCCCGAATGTTCGGGCAAAAGAAAAAAAAGAACAATTTATTTCCAATGAAACACTCTTATATTATTATATCTATTATTACAGAGGAATTAAAATGTTCAAATGAGAAGGGCTAAACATCCCAGGTTTAGTTCCAAATTCTGCCACCACGTCGCAGCACCAAAATGGAGTCATTTTGTGTTGGTGTTTATTGGTGGAATTTTCATCCGATTTTCATTTTGAAAACTGATTTGTGAACGGGATAAGATAACAATTCACGCCATTGAAGATAAATTTGAATTAAGTTGTTGGTTAAAAAAATTATAGTAAAATAATTGTGTTACAAAATAAAAAATGAAAATTGCAGGTAGTCATTTTAAAGACAATAATTTTTATTTAATTTTACTTTTTAAATTTTTAAAATCGCTTGGCGGGTTTAGTCGGTTTCGTTGTTTAAACATTTACAGTAATTATAACAAACGCGAGAGAGACATGAAGCCGGTGCAGGACAGGGCCGCTGTGACTCATTCCAAGGTCACACTCACATTTGCTACCCCTCCCCCCCCCCCCACAACGCTGCTGGGGTGTTGCTTGTAGTACACCGGTGGATGACGGTTTCCCGCGCTTCCATACACGAACAAATACAGAATTGAATTGGGGTTTTGCTACGCTTTAACCAAAACAAATTGCAAACAAAATAAGTATTTAAAAGTTTTGATAGTGTCATCAAATTTTTAACTTTATGATAATCGTATTTAGGCCTAATCAAACTGTAAAATTGGTGTAAATCTGTTGGCAAATATATAAATCTATATAAATAAAATTACAGTTTTGTCTGTACATTGCTTAGAATCATGCAGGTTATGGTTATTTTTACGTTTCATAACATAAGAAAGCCGAAACGAGTCTTATCTCAATTTCTGTCCGTCTGTTTGTCTATTCTGTGCCAAAATGTCATTTTGCGCGGCCTACTCCTAGAAAACTAAAGTTCCGATCAAGGTTCTAATAATTTTTCCGTATTTACTGGATTGATGAGAGTGTCTTTGGCTATAAAAACATGGCCTCGCTTCTTTGAAAACAAAATAACGAACCATCAAAAACCCAATTTGGTTCGAATTTTGTCAATTTTTTTCCCAATGTTTACTATTACCACACTTTATGAAATAACGATCAGCTGTTTGGATTAGTTCTCACTTCTAGCTGTCACGTATATGTGTACATTAAAAGTTGTTTACAAATACCGCAACCATTTCCGATCAAGTTTTGTTAGCACATCCAAACTGGGACGGGTGGCGACGTCCTGTAATCCAGCTACTAGGAGGTCACGAATTGTGGATATTTATAGGCATGCACTTTGGATGCGATACTCTCTGGTGTGGATTAACGTCCGCACGAGTGAGTACTACGACTATCCGCAGTACTATCCTGGTAATTAGACCAATTCGTATATACCAAGGCAAAAATGTGGTTCGGATTCCACTTTAAACTGTAGGTCCCTTAGTTGCCATCGATGGTTGCCATTAGCTGTATGGGCTATTAATTAACAGCTGTGTCTAAGGAATATGTCGGCCTTAGTCACTAACAAGACTACAAGATCGCGCCACTCATCCTACTACACTCATCCTACTACACTCATCTCCATTCATACTTGGCTTAAAATACCTACTTTGTATGGTCGCCATTTCATCGAAAAGTACTAAAAAGTATTAAAGTATTAAGTTAGATTAAAAACGTTGTGCAGCCTTGGTTGTGCCTTACTTAACCGGTTTAATTAATCGCAAGTGCAACGATTGTTCTTGAGTTTTGATAACCGGGAAAAATACTGTGAAACAGTGCTGTATATTAGTGCTGGTAAACTTACATTTATTTATCATCGTCACTAATAGCTTACAAAACAGGTTTCCACTCATTGACGGCGCTTCAAAGACAGATGTGTAAAGTGCAAAGTAAAAAATCAGAACTGCAGTGGGTGATCGTGGATGTTGCTGCGATCTTGGACGATCTTTGTGATTTCGCTGTGATCGTAACAGAGGTAACAGTTTAGCTTACAGATGTAGCTAAACTCACTTTTCCAATGTGCCACTGGCTGCCATTTTTGGTGTCTACTTACTTACATTTCGACAACGATATCGGTACTTTTCCTATTTAGGAAAACTAGTGGTCGTCCTGTGGTCGAAACTCGACCAAAAATAATTAATGTACAGACTTCTCTATTTTATCCCCACACTGTAAATAACACATGTGATTTGAATTTCTTCCATTTGTTTTGATTTTCTGTTAACATTTTGTTGTTATTTCGTCACCATCATGGCAACCCATATGCTCCATGTTAATTTTTTGAAGTTTTCAAATTAATTTTTTGTGCTTATTTGTTAGCCTATTTTAATTTTTAGAGGCATTCTGCACATCTACAGGAAAATATCTTTCCAACAGTATGCGTAGATTTTCTCTGCGATGCACACGACCTGAGAAAAAAGGTTTTAAAGAAACATGCTTGCCTATTAATATATAGATAGATTACTAACGTCCGAAACCTCTGATTTGTGCGTTTTTTGTCACATTTCCTCCGAATGTTTGCTAGATATATGTACCGATTATCGTTTAGAGATTACGTAATAATAAGAATAACGTCAATAATATGTTAACATTAAAAGTTGCTTACAAATAATACTATTAATGGAAAATAAATTTTCAAAAACTTAAAAAATGTAAAACCAAGGGAGATTAATAACTTCTGAACTGTACAACATCAAGTGAAAGTTTTTTGTAGAAAACCATATAGTGAGTTTTTAAAGCTTTACGTTGTTAACATTACATGTTACATAATTTGTGGCCTGTGTATTTATTTATTTTTATATTTGTCAACGGATTAACACCTATAATACAGTTTAATTAGAAGGACAGTTTGAATTGGTCGTAAGTAGGCCTACTATAGTTCTTTTCTTAAATGTAAACGTTGGTTTTTGGTACTGCTACACTTTTCCTTAGAACCATTGGTAGTAGTAAGAAACAGTTTTACGTACAAACACATTACTATTTACAACTATAGTTATCGTTAGTGCTGCACCTTATTTCTTATTAAATTAAATTGATGTCTTACTGTACAATTTTTGCGTTTTCTGTCTGGACTTCATAATGTTAGTTAATGCAATAAAAATGAAAAACCATTAGTGAAAATTTTTTTTGCATATCATCATGAATTCTTAAAGCTTGGCGTTGTTAACGTTTTAAATGTTTTGTGGACTGTGTATTTATTTACTTATTTATTTATTTGCCAACGGATTTACATCAATTTTACAGTTTGATTAGGACTAAAAACGATTATGATAAAATTTGATGACACTATTGTCACAGCGGCCCTCTTCTAGTCTTCGTAGCGGTTGGGAGCAGGAAGAACGAATATTAAAACAAGCGAATAGGGATCAGCTAACACTTTATTACTTAGAAATTAATTAACCTTTAACAATTTCATCGACTAAACATAACACATTACAATTTACAAAGCAACCCGCGACTAACCGAATAACATACGAATTACAATAATGAATTTAAAAACGTACACGGATTTATAGAAGAAAGGAGTAAGATGAAAGGGGAGACCGCCCGCGCGGACCCTACCGTCGTTCGTTACATTCCGGCGCGGTCTAATTGCTTCAGCATCGTCCCAGCGAGAGCCTCAGCGTGGTCACATGACCATCGTCAGCCAATCAGCGCACGCTGAGCGCTCAGCCCATAATTCAACGCGTGGACACTTGCTTGACAGGTGCTGCAGCCAAACGATTACAATGGTCGTTAATGAAACTAATTGTAGCGAGAATGAAGCTAGAATTGTAACGTTGTTTACCACAATCCGCGTGCACTCGCGGAGTCAGCACATTCCATGATACATCCGGCCAAGCCACGACGTCTGGTTAGGATTATTGTAGGGTTACAAAGTAATGAAATGAATTGGAGTATGAGTTTTAAGGTTCACTTGGAGACTTATGTGAAGTTAAATAAAATTCAATATTGCTAAATACGGTTGACACATCAACCTAGCAAATATTCGGTGATAGCCAACGGGCCAGGTTTAGGGAGTAAGGCCAATCAGCTTAAGCTCAAAGTTAACAAATTACAACAAAATGAGGCAAATATGCCAGGCCGTCACACTATCAAAACTTTTAAATAATTACTTTGTTTGTAATTTGCTTTGGTTAAAGCGTAGCAAATCCCCTAATTCAATTCTGTATTTTTGTTTGTATGTCTGTTGGCAAATGTCCTTTTTCTCATTGTTTCGTGGGAAAAGACAAGAGCACCTTTGTTAATGAAAATTTCAACCCGAATAAAGTGTGCAATAGTGAGGTTGAGGTAGTAGTATTTTAACTACTTTTAACCTGTGTGAAAAGTAACTTTCAATTACAGGCCTTCTTTTAATGCAAAATGCACACTAAATATGCAAACCAACTCCTGTTCAGAATATAAGGTTTCAACTTACTACAAGATTCCCGTAGGCCCTACGTAGAACGGGCAAACAGCTAGTAAGTAAATAAATGCACAGTACACAAAACATTGATACGTTAACAACGTAAAGCTTTAAAAATTCATGATGGTTTGCTAAAAAAATATTTCACTAATTTTTTATCATTTTCATAGCATGAGCTATTATTTTGGAGTCCAGAAAGAAAACGTAAAAATTAGAGTGCGAGAGTGTTTTGCGCCAACTCTCGCAATGCTGTTTTAGCGCTAACACAGCTCGCTATTTTAGTAATCGGAATGAGCATTCTCAGTTAAAGAAATAACAATTATGATTACTGTAATTTTAATTGCCTGACACAAGTATTCAATTTTTATATATTACTGATAGGCTTTATTCATAGGCTTTCTTAGGCTATGAAACGTAATAATAACCAAAAACTCCATGATTCTAAGCAATGTACAGACGGATAAAACTTCAATTTGATTTGAATAGATGTCTCTTTCCGACTTACAGAAAATACTTGTTTTTAAATCATACACACTAGTATCTGTTAAAATCAGGAGTCCAGTCTAGTAAGTGTGTCCGGTCAGAGTATGAATGCGAGGTTGAGATGACGAAGCTACAGTCGCGTTGCAGGGCCGGGCAGAGCGGCTGGGCACTGGAGCTGCGCTATGCGGTGGGAGGGGGGAGGGGACCGGAGCGCGAGAGAAATAATGATAATTTCTTTAAAAAACGATTCCGATACAACCGTTTGACCGAATTTATATCTGAAAACGGCAAAATTCTTTTAAAATTTCTCTTTACAAAATGACTACCTGCGATTAAAAAAAATAATTACAGCAAAAAAAATTCTTTATAAAACTTTTTTGTAAATAAATTTTAAAAAACATTAGCAAAATAGCGTGAATGTCTTATTCATATCATTTACAAAACCGTTTACAAAACAAAAATCTGATGATAAATACGGAAATTATAAGTGGTACAAATTTGCCGCAGAGGTGCTGCTATCCATCGGGCCAGAAACACAACTTTTTCAGGGATGTTTAGCCTTAAAGATTAAGTTGGCTCACGACCTAAAGACACAACGGAGCAATTGCCGCACTGCCACTAGCCAGAGCCAGTCTAGTCGTCTACTGACAAGAGTGACAAGACAAAAGCCGTGATGCAACACTAACAGTGCAAAGAAAACAAAGTCAAAAGAATAGAAAGACTATTTATCCAGACATACTAGTTTAATCATTTATTGTTTATTCCATACCTAATAAAAAATATATTTTAGTATTTTACATAATAAATTATAAACAAAAGAAATATCTGATAATAGTGAACAGATCTGTATCTTGGTTAGATGGGATTAAAAAAATATATTTCTAAGATCCAATACAATATTTACAACTCACAAATTACAATGAATTAATTTCTTTGAAAATGATCTGTAACAGTTTTGTGTTTTTGAATAAAGAAATATATTTTTTTGTCTCTACTTCCTTGTTTCATCACTTGAATTTTGTCAGCAATTGAAGCAACTGGGTAGCAACCGGGTTGTGTAAGAGGGGAGGGGGAGGGTCTATGACCTTGAATGCACACATCGTTGCCCGGGCCTGGCTGTTGAGAGTGGTTCATTGTTTTTGTTGACATACTACTACCCTTCCTTCAGAGAAAAAGACCCTGCCGTTCCAAAAACATTTTGGGTAGTTTAAAAACATTGACCTGTTGTCCAAGGGCACTAGAAGTTAGCATTTAACTTTCTTATCTCTTAATTTAATATTATTTTAATCTTCTATATATTATTTAAGAGTTACTTTTCGGGTACCTAATTAATTGTGATATTGTTTGGCTTTATTTTATGGATTTTTAATTCTTTTCATTCATTAGCTATCAAAATCAGTTGTTTTAGGATTTTAATCTCGTGCAGTAGGTCTATACTACTGTATGACATGATATGCATTTTTTACAGCAAGGATAAGTCCTTAATAATTATACCATAAACAACGTTTGTGTGTTATTTACTGTTTTTGAGTTTTATAGTAAATTAGTTTACACAATATCTTTTCTTCAATGAGTTCTCCACTTGTCATGTTGCTTAGCCTATTACTATTTTAGGCCCTATAAAAATAATGCCTATGTAAAGCTGTAGGCCTACTCATGCCATTAATAGATAATTCTTTATTTATGATGATGTAACAAATAATGTAAGTGTGAGGTTATTATACTAAGGAAGTTAGGAGGTAGGGAATGAATGATACATATTGCATGGTGGAAACATATTATTTTTATTTTCTTCTTGCTTGCAGTCCTGAAGCCGGTCCACAGGCCCTAAACTTGTGATATGTAAATTTATTTCTTAATTGTCTTTTTATATTAAGTTCCATTCAAATTTGTTGTAATTTAGCTACCGGTACCTATTTAGTTATTTAAACAGTTATTAAAATGAGAATGAATGTCTTGATAAAAAAAAATATTTTCTTCTTTCTTGCAGTTGAGCCAATTCCAAGTAAAAATTATGAAATAGGGAAGTAAAGCAGCTCACAGGTATTTCCAGCAATACAGGTTATTCTAATCCCTATGATTGAAAATAAAATTTTTTCACCTAAAATTCATATGTTAAGTATGAATAGGCCTACCACATCAACAAAAATTTGTATTACACAAATGTGGTAAATTTTAATTATTGTTAATCCACTCAATTGACAATTATGAATAGAAAAATACCGTATTGCTTCGAATCGAGTTGCATCGAATCGAATCGAAAATCTTTTGAATCGAATCGTTGCTTCGAATCGAAAATTTTTTGCTGCTTCGCACACTCCTGTGAAACAGCAAGGATAAGCATAGATTAAATATAAGTAGGCCTACTTTGTGTTGGGTGAAGAAACCCTTGTTGCTTTAAACTTTACTGGGCCCTGATTTCCAGGGACGATGAGTGAACATTCTTGATACCGTATTTAATTTTGATTCCCAGTAAACAAAACACTTGTTATAGAGTTTTGACATAAACATAGTTTGTTAGTTAAAGAAAAATATTTAACAAACTTAATTGTGTTCCTGACGGGGTTCAATTTTTTCAATTTTCAAAAATTAAAAAGCTGTGTTCCCTTTTAAATAAACACCAGTAATATTGTTCATAGCATGGAAACACAACTAAACAACATTTAATAAAGCCATCACGGTCATAAAAACAATTCTAAAACCAACTCAGGTGCATGAGCACTTCAGTAATGCACTGCAACACCTCATTGGGTACACACTTCGTTCCAAAAAGGCGCTCAAGTACCCAACTGGGTGCACAATGTTCCAGATTTGTTAATATCAAAAAGTATGATGATATTGTACAGAATGGGTGCATGCCTAGCGGGTACAAACTTAGATAAAAGTTAGAGCAAAAGAGTTTAGAGAAGTTACTATGTTGCGAACATGGACAAAAGTGTAGTGGAGACATCAAAATTCTACTGTCTTCAGTAAATTTTACCTCACGTCCAACAGCATACTATTCTACTGTGGCTTACCTTGCCATACTTAAGACTACGAGTGTGTAGAGACAGTGAGCCGTCGGAGAAGATACTTTGAACCTCGGCACTGATGAGATCCCCTTCACACAAATACTTGCGCATCATCTGCTCATCTTCTGATGAACGTCTTCTCTGTAAACATTCACAAAGGCCAATTGAGTTTCAGTTAAGATATGTTCAGTTTAGTTTTTCAATCAGAGGTAATATGCAGAGTAGGTGAAATTTGAAAATTTGTTTAGTGAATTTTGTTGTAGGCCTTCATATTTTATGTTCAATAAAAAGTGACAACTATTTGGTTAAAAATATGACTGTCAGAGATTGAAGTGTGGTGATTATGATTACTGTTAACTGTTCTATGAAATGGCGACCATACAAAGTAGGTATTTTAAGCCAAGTATGAATGGAGATGAGTGTAGGATGAGTGGCGCGATCTTGTAGTCTTGTTAGTGACTAAGGCCGACATTCCTTAGACACAGCTGTTAATTACTAGCCCATACAGCATACAGCTAATAGCAACTATGGGACCTACAGTTTATAGTGGAATCCGAAACACATTTTTGCCTTGGTACTCACGAATTGGTCTAATTATCAGGATAGTGCTGCGGATAGTCGTAGTACTCACTCGTGCGGACGTTAATCCACACCAGGGAGTATCGCATCCACAGTGCATGCCTATAAATATCCACAATTCGTGACCTCCTAGTACCTGGATTACAGGACGACGCCACCCGTCCCAGTCAAAATTATTAAATTTTGCGATTGTGAGGTATACTTGGAGGGGAGGAGGTACAACATAGGATAAGACGTGTAAAATTCTATTAACGTAAAAGTCAATAAAGGCAAAAAAGTAAATTTGTTTAAAGTTTGGTCTGGTTAGGTTCATTGCTGAAAACTGCAGTAAAAATCAATCAATGTGATTAGGAGAAGTACATTAAAGAATCATAAAATATAATGAAGCCAATCAATATTTTAGGAAAAAATGTTCTCAGCTGTTAAAAAAGGGGCACAAATAAATATAAGAGAAATCTACTCAGCCAGGACGATGAAATTGCAGCAAGAAGGTTTGGTAAGACTAGTTTCAAATTTTCAACAAACAGCTTTTTAGAACAGAACTCAATTTGAGATGGAGTAGGCCTTCAGTGCTTTGTTCTCCAGGCCAGAAAATAATTTTAAGTTTCAAGCTGTATTTAGGATGGTTTCAAATTAAGTAGCATACTGCATATTGTTTATTCATTTAGTTGAGCAAAACTCCCATTGGGGGAAAGAATGAGAGGGACAATGGAGGTTGTAAATGATGGATTTCAGCTCCAGCTACATTTGAAGTGTGTAGGCACCAACTCTTAGTTTGGATATGGACACAAATGTGTTATGGAGATTTTGAAAAGAGAAGCCTACTTACAAGTTCACCTCCTGGTAAGTTGACAGAATAGAGAAGAAGAACAGAGTCCAGGCGAGAACATGTATCAACTTTCCAACGTTTCTGTTGCAACTCTGTAATGCGTCCAACAACTACGTCTCCAACTTCACCATTGTATCTAGTCTTCAATGGACGAACAAGAATAAGTTTATTTACTCGTTCGACAACACCAGCAACAGAAGCTTTTAAGTCCTCTCCTTCGACGTATGTACCATGACCTCTGAAACGCAAAGACACCGATATTAATTGAGCAACAATGTAATTCACCAGTTAAGTCCCTATTTGTAATATTTTTTAATCCAACCGGATGCCATTGGTAATATTTACATTTCTTGTACAGAAATTGTTCTCGTTAACAAAAAAAAATATTATTTGATGGAGGTTAAAAAAAAAAAAAAAAAAAAAACAATACCGGTAACGTAACTTAATAGGTATTAAAGTTGATAAATATTATTGATTCTTCCATTTTTAGTCGTACAAATTTAGGATGAAAATACAGGATGGTTTTATTGATTCCGATGCGATATTAATATCAAACCGAATCAAAATCTTTTGTTTTGACGCATGTACTATTCTCCCACGAATATGTAAATAAAGAACATTGTCTATTGTCTATTGTCTAAAATCGATAATATTGATATTTAATCCGGTAACATATCGCAGGTTCTCTAGGGAATGGTACACTGGCAATAGATCAGCAACAACCCCTAAGTTAACCCTTCGAATAAAGTCGTTTGTTATATTAGCCTATCATAAATTTTTCCTTATATTTATCAGGCTGATTTATCAGTCTTAATGATATTTACAATTGGACTGTAACTTAATCAATTGGATTTGATTCAATAACAAATTATAGCAGGAGGAATGTCATAGCCTATTATTTGTTGCTATTAAATCATGTGGTTTGGCTGGATTGTGGACGATTGATATGATATTAAATAAGTCGTTTTAAGTTCAATTTCTCATATTTTCATTACAATGGATTCAGATATAGGCCTAACTTAAAATGATTTAATAAGTTTAAAATTTAATAGTTTAATAAAGACAAATCTATTAAAGCCTAATGCATGCTTTACTTGGTGGAGTGGTAGGTAAATCAAAAAGTGCTATCAAACTATATTTGTAATCATGCAGATTAAATAGATCAGTGGCATGCAAAATGTCAGCAACTAAGAAGTAAAGGTTACCTTACCTTAAAATAAGGTTACTGACCTGTCGTCAATCAATCTTATTGTTTAAGTTATAGTGGATAACTACTTTAGAGGTTTCAACCCCATTTTCAAATCCTTATTTCTTCTTGTCAAAAATGAATTACTCAGCACTTGTCATTGTCAAATTAAAAAAATACTCTACACATAACGAAAAAACACACACAAAGAAACATTTAACTTATAGCCTACTTTTACAATATTAACAATATTATAAAACTTATGCGAGGCCGACCAAGGACAAAACCAGACTTAGTGGTTGACCATGCACGTTTTTACGTCAACCATGTAGTCTGGTTTTGCCCCTCGCGTATTGTAAATAATAAGCTATTGCGTATTGTAAATAATAAGCTATTGTAAAAGTAAATGTTGGTTAGTGTGTTTATTTGTTACGTGTAAAGTATTTTTTAATTTGACAACGGCAAGGGCTGAGTAATTCATGTTTGACAAGAAGAAATAGGGTAAGGATTTGAAAAAAAACTAGTTATCCAGTAGGATTGATTGACGACAGGTCAATCCAAAAAATTTGGATGTTAACTTATTTAACCCTCGAACGGGCGCTTGCGGAGTTTTCCTCCGCACTTGTAGTTTTTGTTAACATAAATATGCATAATGGGTGTCGGCAGTCGTGTCCGGCTCTACACTTCACGCACCTCATCCTGGGAATGCCCCTAACCTATTTTTACCCCCAGAATTTCTCCTCATTTTGTTGTCAGTTGCAATTCAGTGACGCGGTGTCAGTTTGCGGAGGTTTACTCCGCGTGCGCCCTATTGCGGAAGTCCTTAGCGCAGAGTTTATTTCCTCATGCGCTGTTGTCAAACTGCGTGTATAGCCTATTTTAGGCTATACATTCAAAATTATAAACATGTTTAAATGTATTATTTCACTTATAACTATTATCAAATATATTTAGTTTGTATGTAGGCCTATATGTGCATTATTGCGGAACAAAACTCTGCACGCGCCCTCTCTCGTAACATACCTTTATACTAGAAAATTGCTCAATATGATTATTTGAAATATTATTCATCTAAATATATAAAAAGCAAAGCCCACACTGACTCACTCACTCATAACTAATTCTCCCTCTTCCCATTTACCTAGGAGGCTGAAATTCGGTACACCGATTCTTTGGGCATTAAATAGGAAAACTAAGTAGCCTAGTTTTTATTCTGATCGGGCTTTCGGGCTCCGCCCCAGTGGCTCTGGAGTTTCCCATGTTAACCTTATGATTTTTCATATTTAAAAGGAATTAATGAATCTTAACAGCTGTTTCAATTGAACAAGTTGGTTCTGTTCTATGATGTTCAATAGCATTAAAGTTACAAGGATTACCATCAAAGCAGCACTATTCATTTTTTTTTAATTTATGACAACAGGTAATTTGCAACCAAAAGACGAGTGAGCGTAGCGAACGAACTTCAACCTGGAGGCGGGTTAGCGTAGCGAACGAGCTAACCTGAAGGCTAGTGAGCGCAGTGAACGAGCTTCAACCTAAAGGTGAGTGAGCGTAGCGAACGAACTTCAACCAGGGCGTGATTGAGCCATGCGAATACTTATGAAGTTAAACGGGGCAAAGCCCGCAGGTACAGCTAGTAACTTATAAAGTTAAACAAATAGGTAGCCTAGTGTTATTAACAAAGAAATTAGGTTTCTGATTAGGTTATTCAACATATAATATTTCGCTATAACAACAAGTAAAATTGGTAAAATTTATGCTATTTAGTGTTGCGGAATAAAACTCCGCATGCGCCCGCTCCTGTTTTACTGGTGAAGCGCCTCCTCGAGGGAAAATGTGTTGTTTTATGTGTTTTATGCTATGTATTGTGCCTGGAGGCATACCCATAATGAATTAACTTAATTACCTTAGGCCTACCTCATAAAGCCACTCTGGTTAATAATCTTCTGTCCAGGAGTAAAGAAACTGGGTGCACTATCATCACTTGTAACAATGCTGTTGACTCTTTGAGAGGCTAATCTTATTAATGAATGTTCGGTCATGTTGATCAGTAAAATTTGTAGGCCTACTTAAACAATCTGCCCTTAGAAAATAGTATAAATCAAATGGCTGGAAAGACCGACAAGTCGAAATAATAACTTCAATTGCAATTGCTTCTGCTTCTTATACTCAAACAAGTAGGTAACAGGTAACAGCTAACAAAATAAAAGTAGCGACATAACCTAAATTAAATACTAACCTAAATAAACAAAAATGAACATGAACCAGCAAAAAAACAATAACAATTAACAATCTTGATTTGAGCACTGAGCTGGATTTGAGTAAAGCAGGAAAGTGAAATCAGTCTAGTCTAGTCTAGTCTAACCACGGCCGCCTTTAACTACAGGCCGCGGCCTGGAATTGGCAACGTCGCAAGTGGTGTTGTTCTTGTTCAGTGACAGACGTCCCATAAGATAACATGGCAGACGGGTGACATCAGCTCATTAATTCGCACTTTATTGATTTAAATTTAAATTTCTGAACATAAATTTATTAAAATATTGAAAGTAAAACATACAGAATTGAAAACCGAAACAATATGAATTAAAATCTATATCTGTACATTTTTAAGCGGAGTCAATATTGTCATAGTCCAGTAACCAATCCTTCGTTAATACACAAATACCATTAGATGCTTCCAAACAAAAACAGCTGTTACAACACCACTTGCGACGTTGTCAGTTCGAAGGCCGCGGCCTGGAGTTAAAGGCGGCCGTGAGTCTAACCAACCCGTGGTCAAACGATTTTTTTCATTGTAGCTGCCAGACCGTCTCGTCTGCCATCTGTCCTCACCAGTGAAACCATGCAGTTTCAAAATACTGGAAGTAATTTTGTAGCACCCATATAAAGGCATACTCTTAATAATTTTTAGCTGCCATTTTGTTATTAACTGTCCGATTTCTATTTTCTTTATGTTCATTGTTTTGTTATATAAAACAATGAAAAAATTGTTTGGTACCTGTAAAATGATACCATTACTTCCTGTTTGAAAATTTGAAGCTACCCCCACTACCCCTAAGGGCAAATTTTTTAAAATTTACCATCATTATTGTAGCCCTTTATATCGAAACAGGTTGCCGCAAACCGATTTCAAATATCTCAAATAGTTAAAAAGGTAAAGGGGGGTGCAAGTTAATTTTCAGCCACCCTCATGGTTATTTGAATTTGATACGTTTTAGGGCGCCGTTTTGAGTGGGCCGATTTTCTTTTTTTTTATGTCAATTGTTTTGTTTCGTCAGGACCTGTAAAATGATACCAAACTCGACTATACTTGCCATTTGAAAATTTTGAGCTACCCCCTAACCCCACGGGCAAAATTTTCAAAATTTACCATAGTTATTGTAGCCTTGCATATCCAAGAAGGTTGCCGCAAACCGATTTCAAATATCTCAAAAGGTTGAAAAGGTGCAAGTTACTTTTCAGCCACCCTGTATATATACATCAGTTAAAGAAACAAGAAACTCACGGCCACCGTTAACTCTGACCAAGGCCACACTTGGCCTTGCTCTGACCGGAAATAATATGAAGCTGCATCCATTGCCTCCTCGATCGAAAATTAAACAAGTTACAGCTCAAAATCAGAATGAGTTGTCCTTGTTTTGTTAATCCTATACTCTAATACGAGCAATGTTTGCTTGCACAAAGATCTCGAAGGAAGTAGTGAAGGAAGTAGTAAAGGCAATCATAAAATGCTATGGGAATAGAGGGAAACAGGCCCGTGACGTAGGAAGTGGTGGAATAATTCCAAAAGAAATTTATAAAATTCTTGGCACACATCTAGGCCAATAAGTCTTCCTTAAATGTAGAAGCTTTAGAAGTTTTCCCTGACCGAAACGTTTTTTATCATATAAATTTAATTGACTATAATTGAATCATGCCTTTCAGCCTAACTTGCTCCTGAGTTTTAGTTGAAGCCAATAGTTGATTTATTCCTTGAATACTTTTTATTGCTGGAGAGCGTACCTAAATATAATCTGTTTTATTAGTTGATAATATATGCCTATATTCACTGAGGACTATATATTATGCACATTCCTTCAACTACTAAGCATAAATAAAAAATATATTACTTATTTTTTCAGCACAAATAGAGCATTGTAAAGTTTGTGGTGAAAGCTGCAACAGCACACCTTTATCAGCGCAGGTAAACTTACTTAAGTGACCTAACTTACTGTAGTTTTAGATTTCCAAATATTTAATTAATGAGTGTAGGAATATAATACACTCTTAGCAAGCCTAGCACATACATTTCTAAGATCATTTATTTATATGATATCTGACCAACAGGAGGCAATTTGTTAGTGTGGAGGGTAAAAACTCAACATTGACAGCAATTAAAGCAGGAGTTCCGCAGGGCTCGGTCCTGGGCCCTTTTCTTTTCATTGTCGCAGTCAATGATCTTCCATGTAACATCCCTATTGACTGTGTTATATATGCAGACGACATCACAATTTTTACTTCTGATAAAGATCTTACAAAGCTCTCAGAAACAGTTTCTAATGCAGAAAACAGTGTTTTAAACTGGTTTTCTACAAATAAACTCATCTGTAACCAATCCAAAACCCAGAAAATAGAATTTTCACTCTCTTCAAACAAATTAGACCACTCAGTCAAACTTCTTGGCATTCGCCAAATTAAATTGGAGAATTCACATCAGAAATTTAAGCAAAAAACTATCGAATGTTTCATGTCGATTCTGGAAACTCAAGTCTTTTGTTGAAATTGAATATCTCAAATTAGCCTACTTTGGATTGTTTCAATCCCACATTCAATATGGAAACCAACTTTGGGGCCATTCCCCCCATGTTCATGAGCTTCTACTAATACAAAGAAGTCATCCGCACTATGTCGGGGACAGGCCCTGCGGAGCACTGCAAGCCACTTTTTGTCAGACTAAACATTTGCACAATCATTAACTTATACATCTAAAATGTACTTATATACACTAAAGCTAATCTCAATGAGTTTTCCACCAGGCAGAATTACCATTTCCACCATACACGAAATAAGGAACAACTGGATATACCACATCACAGGCTGGCCATAACAGGTAATTCTTTCAAACTTAATTGTGTGAAATTTTATAATAAGCTGCCTGAGCCTTTTTAGGCAGACAGCCTTTCTCTTCCCCTTTTTAAGTCAAAAATTCATAACTGGCTCGTAGCTAACCCATTTTACTCAGTTAAGGACTTCATGAATTATAAAATTAAAGCCGAATCATTCATACTGTAAATCAAGAACTCTAAATCGTAATTCTCAATCTTTGTTACGGTACCTATAGATATGAACATGTTTAGTAATATTTTATTTAATGTAATTTGACAATGCCTATTCCTATGTACAATTTGGTCAATGGCAATAAACTTTCTTATTCTTGTTCTATGCTACACGAACAATCAAAATGATTGGCTCATCAAAATTAAATTGTGATTTTGGCTCTAAGCAATTAGCAGTTTTCTGTACTATTATCAGTGCAAGGAAGCCCAGATTGTGACGGGTGACTGAAGGAAAAATATATTAATTTCTATTTCTTTACATTAGTACCTGACTCTAATTTCAGGTAAGCTAGCTGAACTCTATACATTTTGACTATATCATTGGTTGGCTTTGAAAAAAACCCACGACATCGCTGCCTTGGGCCTGAAGTCCGCGACACTAACCAACTGAGCCACTGACTAACCAACCTTAGTACCTTTGGTACCTTCAGTAATCCTGGCTTCACTTCAATAAGCTCGCCACTCGGGTTCTTTCTTGCTCGTCAAAAGTATATTTCCCACACAACAACCAGAGCTGAAAGCGCAGGGTGGTCCCATAAGCGTGTTTCTTCTGTACCTTACTTCTCTGTAGGAAGTTTGGGCACATGATATGTGGTCTTGAAATAATTCATTTTTGTATTAAAGTCTGATGCTAACTGAGTAACGATAAACAAAAGAAAAAAAATAGGTTAATTGACAACAACAATCAATTGTTATGAATTAAATATTTTATCAAATATATAATTGTTAATATTATATACAAGAACACTTCAACTCACATACTATTTTGCAAGACAATTTATTGTTTTCACAAGCATTTAATTGTGTGCATGATAAGAATTATTCTTTGTATGAAAAAATTGTCCATGTAATAGAAAAACTTCCTTGGTACACTGAATGAGTAGAAGTGGGCGTTTAAAGTCAACATTCAATAAAAAAGTCTACCTGCACCCGGCCAGCTGATCCTAAATATTTTTTGCTTGATATATTACAATCTTTGAAGTGTGTAACACATTTTGACCTCTTCGAATGAACGCACTTGATAAAGTGGCTCAAATAACTACCATGCTTGGATAATTATAATGAGGCTTTCAAAACTTTAATACTTTACTTGAAATAGCGACCATTTTAAGCCAATGAATGGAGGATGAAGTGGAATCCAAACCGCATTTTTTCCTTGTAATTTACAAATTGATCTAATTATCAGTACTGCAGATAGTCGTACTACTCACTAATGCGGGGAGCGAGCTGGCGTAGTGGTTAGAGCGCGGGACTTCAGTCCCTGAGGTCCCGGGTTCGATCCCCGCAAGTCACCAATGGATTTTATCCAAGTGATAGTGCCGCAACCCCTAGGTCTAGCCTGAAGTAATGTGAAAAACAATCCCAGGCTCGTGCCAAGCGTCCTAGGACAAAAAAAAAAAAAAAACTACTCACTAGTGCGGACGTTAATCCACACCAGGGAGTATTGCATCCACAGATCACGCCTATAAGTATTCACAATTTGTGAAATTCAAATAGCCACGGATGAAAATGAAAACTATACAAAAAGCCAAAATGGTAATGTACCTGAAGGAAAATATATAATAGTGATTTTAATTCATTTAACTTAGCCCAATGTACATCTTGAATTTTAAATTTCCTAGTTTTCAACTTACTGTATTGCAAGGTAACATTTAAAAGAACAAATTTATCTTCGTGGGTTTTCGAGCACATCTTTTAAGAAATATTACATATAGTCCACATATGTACATTTTAAAAAAGAAAATTCTTTATCATACACTCTTTGTTATTACCCAACACTGACAAATCAATTTCACCATTGATGTTTTTAAAATGATTATTAAAACATACTCCTGCTTCAAATGTATTTTCAATGCACACAAACTAACACGAGATCAAGACCCTCCTGTATAACACACATAGCAGTAGATTTTGTGAACCGCGATGTTAGTCCCTGACGTAATTGACGGACCACTTCTCAGGAAGGTAGGACGGAGACATTGTGTCCAGAAAGTGTTGTCTCCATCGTCTCTCCAGAGCCTCAATACCGTCCGTAGTCTTGTAGAAGTGTTGCACTACCGCCAGGCCGTGTGGTTGGTAACTTTCATTCTCCACTCTGAAACATACGAAAGTTCTAAAGATGGGTATCCTAGCTGCGGAATTCGGCTGAATTTTTTTACACCAACTTAATACACAATTTTCAAGTGGAAGCATAGGAGCTTTAGGCCTATTTTCAGATATTTAGATGGAAGAGTCTTATCACCACAGCTGGGAGGGACAGGAGTTTCCAAATGATGACCAAGATTACACATAATCTCTATTCTCTACTCATTTATAGGGGTCTGCGGGTAGTGAAATATTAGGTTCGGGTCGGGTACTGAAAAAATCACTTTGAGTCCGAGTAATTTTAGGGTCGGGCTCAAAATGACATAAATTCAATTTTCAAGTATTTTGGGTTTATATGGATATTTTAGCAAACAAATTAATGTTTCATGCCTGTCCTTAGAAATATTTTATTTGCCAGTACTTATCAATAATATAGAGATTAAACATTTTAAAACAAGTTTAAATACAAACTTAATATTTTGATATAACCTATTGCAAGTTAGTAGACCCTTACTTTACTTAATGGCAAAATAAAACCTCTGTGTCTTTAGGCTAAGTTAGGCCTGTAGGCATAGCCTACTTAAATTTGATATTGTTGCAAATTAAGACTTGTCAACCACCCTCTATTATATTTATCCCCAATAAAGGCTAACCACTTCAGAGACTTTTTGCAAATAGTGTACAGGGTGGGGCAGGGAAATATCCCTACCTTTAAGATGGTACTGTGAGTAGTGGGGGTGTGCTGGAGGAATGGGGTTAGGCTCAAATGAAGCTTTTGTTTTGGGAATTTCTAAAAATATCACTATCAGTAGTAGATATGGCTTGTTCGAGTGACCAATGTGCTTTTGCACTCGAGATGTATTTTTTTTTTTTCAAAAATCTGTCTATTGTTGCTGTGCAGCTACGATTGGCTGTCGGGTTATCGGGTGGCCTGTCGCAAAGCTGTTACAATTTGGTGTGGGTGAATTATACTAATTCCCTTACAGGTAACTCCAACCCATAATTAATTTGTCACGAACAGTTAATACACTACACTGTAACTCCCAAATCTGACAGGGCCCGACCCTGAGCCCTAACGCCAACGCTCAGCTCAGCTGAAGTATAATTCTTTTAAAAGTTAGTCTTGCTTGTCAACCGTGCAGCCTCACAGTTGTGATAATACTTATTGTAGTGTTTAATCTGACAAGAGAGGTATGAGGTATTATTAATTTTCGTAATTATTCATGCATAGATGATGCATTTCTTGCTAAGTTAAAATAGTGACTTAAAACTGTAAATCATAAACGTTGTATAATATATTTATTCACTTTATAACATATTTGACAATTTATTCTGAGTCATAAAAAACTCAAGAAATATAGAATATAAAATATGTAAACTTAACATTCCAACACCTGGGCCCTGTTTCATAAAAATACTAGAGTCCCGTATTTACCTGTCCTACTAATTTGTGTTTCATAAACGTTTTTATAACGCTAGTAAATACTAGTGTATTTTACTAGTCACGTGACCAAAACTACTAATCACGTGACCAACTTCACAAGGTAAATTTTCAAAACAAATTTCTAACCTCAATCACGGGTTTTCAAACCCTTTATAAAGGGTTTTAATTTTGTTTTCATTTGATACAAAAAGTAAATAGTTGTAGAAACGCAGTGTTTTCTTTTAATTAATAACTATATAGACACATAAGTAAAACAAACACACATTATTTATCAAACCGCTATTATTTATGTTCATCAATGAGCCCGCCGGCGCAGCGCGGATAGCGTGCATAGCGTCGCTGCAATCAACACGGTGATAGTAGTAGCCGGTTGTAGGCCTAGTTGCGGCGCTCAACAGTTGTGTGGAAGTTGATCTGTTGCTGTTGCTGCCGCATTCGCTGTGATTTGTATAGTTTTTGTTTTATTCTGACATATAAAATTAAGCTTGCTATGAGTAAAGAAAAGAAGGCTCAAATTTTGAATGTAATTAAATCGTTTAAGGACATTTTGTTTATTGGAACGGTTTCAAGTACCCTTACCTATGTTTTCAACTATTCGAATGCATAAGGATATTTGGGTTAAACACCATTTGGTGATATTCTTATTTTGAGTCTACAAACCATGAATAATAAGCCTAAACGTTTCTTGATGTAACAAATAATTGCAACGCCGTTACAAGCAATGGAGTAGGATTTCAAGTATAGTAAAACATGGCATATTCGCTACGGCAGGGCGTAGCTCAGAGTTAAGAGTTCTCGCTAGTCATGTGGCGGGTCCCTGGTTCAAATCTGTGCCACTCACTATACTTTAATTCCATTAATTAAACTTTTCCATTTTTTTACACTAAAATAACAGCTCTAATCAACATCACTTTGAATAACAAATTCTGAATACCAAAATAGATTAAAAGTAATGTTTTTATGATAAGCAGTTCAGTTCAATGCCCAAAAATCACATATAGGCCTACAAAATTGTTAGTATATCACAGGGTTTTAGCTATTTAGGGAAGCAAATAACAAGCACCTCAATAAATACAATGCAACTCCTCTTTAAATTTGTCTTACTATTATTTCCTATTAAAATGTCTTTAAATAAAACCGAGAGCCTTGGGTGTAAAATAATCTTACATGATACTTGATGTGCTGCATCGTTGACCGACAATGTCGGATAGACTGCGTTATAAAACCGATTAAATCTGATTAATGCTGCAATGTTGGATACATTTTATGCAATACGGTATGCGGTTTTAATTTGGTTTCTCTCAAAGCTTAAAAACCTTTTCTCTGTGATGGCTAAATAGTTTATATAACCATGAAATTTAACTCAAGTAAAATTAGACTAAAATTGATAACTTATATATAATTATAATTAATTCTAATAGGGCGATTGTACATACATTACAAAATTCTATTTCTCTCATTTTGTACTACGCCACATCTATTGATTGTAATTTATATCTAATAATTATCATTTTAGCACTCACAGATCTATTTTTATCTTAAATTGCAAACGTGAGCCAATTTGCACTTGCAAAAAGAACTTAATAATTCATTTTTTTAATGATGTGAGTAATGAAATATCTCTCTTTCCAAAAATACTAGTCTACTTCAAATAATACGGGTGTAGAGAGGTTGTTAGAAAATGGCAAGTATTTACCAGTGTAATTTACAAGAGTAAAACTTTATGAAACACATTGCTGTCTACACTAGTAAAAACCACTAGTAATACTAGTCCCTACACTAGTAACTAGTATTTTACACTAGTAGGTTTTTGAAACGCAGACTTGTAAAATACACTAGTATTACTAGTCCATGGACTAGTAAATACTAGACTAGTAGTTTTATGAAACAGGGCCCAGGAATAGGCCAATATAAAAAGATATTCTTGTCCCATACCAACATTCTTGGCAGTGACTGTCCAGTTGAATTTTATATACTTAATAATGAATAATGCTATAGTACGTGTAATACAGACGGTCTGCCAGCAAGCAGACGACGACGATATTGATTGTTGCCAAAAATAAGGATCGGAAGAACATTTATGTGACTAATTTAGTCATTGTATGGTGTTGAAATATGGGGTTAGGACAATTATGAGCACACAATTATTTGGGTTTAAAAATTAAAATTTTTAATAAGAGGTTACCGGATTACCCGCTTGAAATAAATTTGGGTATTACTTCTACCCGCCCGACACTTCGGGTAGTGCAAAATTACCCTATTTTCGAGTCCGGGTCGGGTACCCGCAGACCCCTAATAATTTATTAATTCCCAGAATTACTTACACACACTCAATATTAATAAGGCTTTTGAAGAATTCCTTGGTCAGCTGTTCAGAAGGGACTTGGAGTTCGTTGAGTAAAACTTGTTCCAATTCCGTTCTCCGCTGAACTGGTATAACATCACCAAAGTAATAGAGAGCCCGGGCAGCACTCCTTATTGCTCTCAGTCGCGGAACTTCTTGAGCCTGGAAACCCATAGCATTGCTTGATTTCTAGAATTTGAGGTGCCGGAACTAAAACCTACTATGTTGTGACACCTTTTCCCCCCACTAACATCCCTCTCATTCTCATTTGAGCTATGAGCACAACAAAGAGCTGTTGAATAATGCGTACTATCAGTATTTTTTTTTAAATTGCTTGGTAAAAAAAATAAAAAAATAAAATTTTCCTAAAAAGAGGTACTGGAATTCTGTTCCTTTTCCACATTGTTCCTCTCAATTAGTCAAATTAAACCCTGATCACCTTTCAACAGATGCTCTTTGACCAGACATTTGCCTGGGTCTTGTTGATTTTAAAACATTCCAATCCAATTCAACTACTGAACTAGGCAGTAGTCGGAAATCTTCAGGTTTAGAGATTCATAATAGTAACATTTTTAAGTATCCTAAAACACCCATACACAACCAACCAAAGTTATCTTAAAATAAAAAAAAATACAAAAAAATTGTTTAAACTTCTTAAAACTTTGTAAGCAACCTTAAAATTTAAAATACAAAAAAAATTTCACAAAAATAGACACTTCAGCTTAACATATTTTGTTTTTTCCCAACTAAAAAGAATGTCCCAAAATCAGTTATTTATTTACTGACTGATTTTATTTTTGGCTTAACAATAAAGCACAAACTTTATTTTGGAATGAACCCAATTTAAAGCCAAACCTTTTTGTTGTCGCCTTCGGCAAGTGGAGCACCACATTCATTTACCAATCTCTCTTTCAAATCTTGATCATGGATGTTGCTACGATTGTGGCAGTTGTAACACATGAGCAAAACGTCGTGCGAGTGATGATTCTTCATGTCATCTGAAATTTTGTAAATTAAAAAAATTTGCTTTTTGTAGGCCTACCCATAGAATTACGTTTGAATCCAAAACTCTCACTGGGCCATTAAAAACAACGTGTTTAAATCCGCTAGTATCTACATTAGAATCTGGGGCCCTGCTGTCACTGGCTGGCTCGGCGAGACTTGGGGGGGGGGGGGGGTTACGGTAGGAGAACTGACCTTAATACTGTTGTTTTCAGCTAATCATGGATCCAATTGAAACGTATACTTAAAAAATATCAGTTCTAGGTACTTGTTACTTCAGATGTACTGACATATTTGTTATGATTTAATAATAGAGTAGAATCATCCTGTCAAATTTTATAAAAAGTTTAATTTTCTAAAGTAGTAAAAATATAGTGAGGGAGCCATGCTCTAGGGGTTCCCATGAACTCTGAACCTTGGCTGACTATCCACTGCCTAACTATCTGTGATAAAGCCAGGCTGTCATAGTACCTATTCTATACTTGTTAAATGAACAGAATATTATTAAATGTTTGTAATAATAGTTTGAAATGGTCAACAAAACATCCACAATTGTTGTGGTAGCTTTGCATGAAAAAGTTCAGAGACACACTATCTAAGGATATTTTATACTGCTTACGTTCTGATTCAAGGTTGGCCTAATGTGATGATTATTCAACTGCAACTCTTACCTTGGAAGTATCTCTTGTACTCAATGGGCACAATGTTTTTTCGTCTCAGTTCCTCTCTAGTCCCGCACACAACACATCTGTTCTCCTTAGGCTTAGTGTAGTAGTGGTCAGGGTCTGTCGATCGTTTTGACGGTTCAAATTTTAATTTTAGCGTTTTTTCATCGATCACAGTAACCAGTTCCTTTTCTTTGTACCTGAAAATTATTTTAAATGAAATCAATTCATAATTAAGAGGTTGGCGACCTCTTTTACCTTGCATATGCGTCCACATGGGCCAAAGAGGACTATGTGTTAGAAAAAGCAACGGGTAAGCTGGTACAAGAGTGAACTATACAGATAAACGGTTGTGGCAAGTACCAGGATCCGAAACCACATCGCTGTCTTGGGACCGAAGTCAGAAGCGCTACAGACTGAGCTACCAACTCACCATCAGGTCGTTTTTGGACACCACAATGAGGATGGCTGCCTCATTAGTACCAATTCACATTTGCAAAAGCCCACCAACAATGTGTCTTAGATCTAGTTCAAAATATTATTTAAGAGACACTCATGAGTATGGCAGGTTGTAAAATACAGTAGACTCCCTCTTATCTGGACAACTTTTAACCAGACATTGGTTTAACCGGACCACACTCGGTAGAAGTGACATCTCTTTATCCGGATAATTTTAATCGGTTTAATCAGCCTATTCACACTGGGCCACCAGGGTGGCGACACTGGTGGCCGGTCAAAATGTGCATGGACCACCAGCTCAGCCACCAGTGCAGCTGCAGCCACAAAGCTCACATTTGGACGTCAAAGAAGCAGGTGCTTAGCGTATCATTTTTTTTTAAATTTCGAAAACATAGGATAAAACGTAGTTTTTTTGGTTCATCCGTTTTTAAGAGATAGAAGTACCAGAGGGACTTTTTTCACTCACTACCATGATCCTAGAAATAACCCAGACAAGTTTTACACTTACTCAAGAATGAGTGTTTTAAGTTTTGATGAACTTCTGGGACGTCTGAAAGATAAAATATCAGGACAATCTACGAGACTGCGGGAGAAACTGCTAACTAATTATACACCATTTATTAATAATAACACTGTGAAACCTTGACACAATGTATACATTGCAATGACAAAAAGATGTTAAGGAAATAGAGTATACATTTTTTTATATTATAAAAAACGTTTCCCCATATTTATTACCTTAACAACTTCAAAAGATTAGTAAACTACTGTGGTACACTGAGTAAAAAGCCATAGACAAATTGCCCGCTGGTAATAACCGGTGGCGCTGCCAGTCGCTCCAATGTGAACAGTCCGATAAGAAACCATGGTGCGACGTGGTGGCGCCACCGTCTTTGAAAATCGCAACCCCGAGCCACCGCATTTCTGGTCGCGCGGCCAGCTGCGCCACCAAAGCTCAGTGTGAAGATGTCCCATTTACATCAATGTTAATGTAACGTAGCCACCATGGTGTCGCCACCGGTGTCACCACCATGGTGGCCCAGTGTGAAGGGGGCCTTAACCGGACTAGATTGGCAGGGAGTGGGCAGTACTGAAACTACTGTTCTCGTGGGAAAGTTTTGAGAACAGTGATTACGTGTCTAAATACAATGCTCTCCTAATTTTAAGTCAAATACTGTATATAGTATGCATTCAAACGGTTCGTTTTAACGAGATTTTGGGGACGTTTGTTTAACCGGAAAAAACCGTTATCAGGACTGGCCTCAGTCCCGAGGAGTCCGGATAAGAGGGAGTCTACTGTACACTAATTAAGGTTCAAGACTTTGATGAGATGAATTTCTTGGGTGATTTAAAATGTTTTTGGATCTAAACCTATAGTAATTTGTTTTCCATACTGACAATCAAAAGTTTTTAATCAAGCAAAATTTCATTTCTCATGTCTCTAACAACCAGTGTGATTATGAATTTATAGCTAAACTCTTGAGTTACTATCTTGTAAATAGATATAGTAAAATTTTACCCTGAATAAACCATCCAACAGTGTTAGAAGCAAGGCCCCACTAGAAAAACAGGCCATGCTGCAGGATCCATGACGTCACATTAGTGGATAGATTCATTGATAAATTCATTGCCATATCCCATATGTTTTAGGTAAATAAGCTGGCTGTTTGTAAAATTTTAATGGCAAGAATTTAGTACAACTATCCACCACTGTGACGTAGTGTTGCACTGCCCGTGCTGCAGCATGGCCTGTTTTTCTAGTGGGGCCTTGGTTAGAAGGGGTCTTGTTTAGTTCATTTGTTTATTAATATCACAAACACATATAAAGCTAATAAATATCTTGTGAATCTTTGGAAAAAGTAATGGATTCAAGCAAAATAGAACTATAAAAGCTATAGTATTACCTGAGTACTGCCAGAGTGATCCTAAGTAATCCTTATTGATGGCGCGTTATGAGGATTATATCTTCATCTTCAGCTTCAGATCTTGCACAAGAACAACAACTATTATAAAACTATCGCTTTGAAAAGGTCGTTAAAAGTTGATTTAATGAACACAGACACATTGACATACTATATACAAATGTAGAAATTTACACAATACAAAAATGGGTATGTCTACAAAGTAAAATTTCAGAATATGTGACTGTGTGCACACAGTTACAGGATATAGTGGATATTGTGAAATTTTGTTGTAGGTCTACTCGTTTTTGTATTGTGTAAATGACTCTCAAGAATCAAGAGCTTTATTGTCATTGACCTTTTACAAGGAATAGACATAGTCAACAATAGAAATCTATATATAAATAAAATTTGAGTTTTGTCTGTACATTGCTCAGAATCATAAATTTGTAGGTTATTTTTACGTTTTATACATTAAAGAAGCCGAAACAAGTCTCATCTAAATTTCTGTCTGTCTGTCTGCAACACTCAAGATGGCATTTTACGCAATCTTCTCCAGGAAAACGAGAGTACCTATCAAGATCCAAGTCATTTTAATGTATTCACTGGATTTGCGAGAGTGTCTTTAGCCATTAAAATATGGCCTCACTACTTAGTAAATCAAATTACGGACGTTCAAAAATGCAGTTTTGTGCGATTTTTGTCAAGTTTTCATCCAATTTTTATCACATAATGATCTATGAAATAACGAACAGCTGTTCGGATCAAGATTATTTTTTCTAGCTGTCACTGATATGTTTACAAATGTTGTTTACAAATACCGCAACCATTTCCGATCACGTTTTGAAGGTAAATCAAATCCAAGTGACATTAAAAACGTTGTCTTACATAACGGATTTAATTAATCACAAGTGGAATAATATAGTGTAACCGTAAATGAAATAATTAATAACTAGGCATCATCCAGGTCAGGAACCAGAGATTCTTTGTGTGTAAAATTGTTCTTGAGTTTTGATAACCAGAAAGAAGACCTTGAATCAGTGTTGTATAGGGCTGGGAAACTTGAATTTATTAATGATCGTCACCAATAGCTTACTAACAAGGATTCCACTCATTGACGGCGCTTCAATGGCGCTTGTGTAAAGTGTAAAGTAAAAAATCACAACTGCAGTGGGTGATTGTAACAGAGGTTTACGGTTTATGGATTATGCTAAACTTGCTTTTCCGATGTGTCACTTTCTTTTCCTACTCACCGTATGATGCAATGGCCGGACCATACAGCCAATAGACCCATAGCCCATCTCTTGGGTACTTACGCCTACCCAATTATTCATAACAACAACAACCTTTTCGACGACAATCATTGATACCGGTAATTTTCCCTAGAATACACGGCCTCCCTACTTAAAAAATAAAATTACAAACGTCCAAAAACCCAGTGTTGTGTCATTTTTGTCACATTTCATTCTAATGTTAAAAGATATACGAATCATTGTTTAGAGAATAGGCCTATGTAATCTATTAAATAACAAACAGTTGTTTGTATGAGGTTGATTTTTTTTTTCCAAACTGACATCAATAATTTTACATTAAAAGTTGTTTACGAATAAAGCAATTAATGGGAAATAACTTTGATTGCCAATAATCTTTTACGAGAAAATCCAAAACCAAGAAATCAATAACTTTGGGACTTGATTAACGCATTTAATTTGTCGGACGTAATTCTTAACTGTAAACGTTGGTTTTTGGTACTGGTTCTTTTCCTTAGAACCGTTGGTAGCAGCAAGAATCATTTTTACGTACCAACACATCACTGTAATTTACAAATTAGTTGTCGTTGATGTTCACCTTAATTATACAGTCGTATTATAAGCCGTACTCAATTTAATTGATGTCTTAACTGTATAAGTTTTGCTTTTTCTGTCTGGATTCAAAATTTTAGTTTATGCTAAGAAAATGATAACTCATTTAAGTAAAACATTTGTTTAGCAAACCATCATGAATTGTTAATGATTTACGTTGTTTATGTATCAATAGTTTGTGGCCTATTTTGGTAATTTTTATTATAAATTACCAATCGAAATTGTCTATAGTACTTCATTTCATATAGTAAGACACCATTTCGACAGCATTTCGGGCCATTTCCGGTCCAAGTAATATACTAATTTTATATGTACTTTGTTATGCTTAAAACGTAGCAAATTCCCTAAATAAGTTCTGTATTTTTGTGTGTATGTCTGTTGGTAACGCATTTATGTCCTAATTTCTCATTGTCACGAAAAGGGCAAGAGCACCTTGATAATTAATATGTCAACCCGAATAAAGTGTTAAATGGTGAGGTTGAGGTAGTACTTTAAATACTTTGAACCATTGTGGGAAGTAACTTTCAACTATAGGCCTACCTTAGGGCTATGGCTTATAGATCTAGGCCTAAAAAATTTTTTTAGTTTAATCATTGGATTTAACATATGGACTAACACGATCCGGGTGACATTTAATTGCGAAGCATGTGTTTTGGCTTGAAACTGTCAGATACTGTATTTGCGAAGGTTTATATATAATAGTTTTGCCAGCATATCTAAAAATATGCAACCCAACTGCTGTTCTTAATATAAGAAGATTTCAACTGACTACTTTAAGATCCCCGTGCGTAGAACGGGCACACAGCTAGTAAAAACTAAAGCTATAAAAATCAGTGGGTTCTAAATTAAAAATTAATGTTAACATCAGAAACTAAATACTCTGTTATACAGTAATATGGATTTTTGATGAGCCACTCAAACATTTTAGACTTAAACCTATTAAAAGAAACCTGTTTTGCTGCCAGACCTAATTTATTTGTATATAGTGTATGTTTCGCTGTTCCTTAAACTTTTGACGATCCTTTTGAAGCAACAGTTTTATTAATAGTTGTTCTTGTGTCAGATCTGAAAGTGAGGAATTAGTCCTCGAAACGTGTCACCCATAAGGTGTACATAGGATCACACTGGCGGTACTCAGGTAATTTTATACCTTTTATAGTTTGCATCAGTGATTCAGAGACAAAACATTAAAACAACTTAAATACAAATTTGGACATTTAAAGGTTCAAACTGGAAACATTACCAGTCAGCTTTAGCCTGGCTGATGGTACTGAGCACCTGACTGTCTGGAGCCAGCAGCAGTATGTTGCTGTAGTGCTCTTGCTGAAGCATCATGCTGTAATGTCTCTTGCTGACCTTCGTCTGACCAGACCCTGGCTTGTTGCGTCTGGCACTCGCTGTCCCTCCCCCCTCCCCATTACCTCTCGGCTTGTCCTTGAAGTTATCACCAACATACGGAGTCCAAAGCTCTAGGGTGTGTTGCCAAAACTCCTCTTTGCTCCAGAACATTCTTTTCCATAAACTAAACTTCTTGCAGATCTGAAAACATAAATGAATAGTTACTTGGCTAAAGGTAGTTTTGCTAGAGGTAGTTCTCAAATTTTTCGTGAGAGATTAATAAAATATACTTCTTTTATGATTTTAGTTTTCACTGTTTTAATTACATGATGCAGTTCTTCGTCTTTTTTTACACGTTTGCTACTGAAATAGTACAAAATTTGTCGCATATATGCGATGGCTGGTTTCTACCCATAGACTGACGTTGCATATTTGCAATGGTGTTCCAATGTTATCAAAACGCATATATCTTTGTAACGGTCTATTTGAAGGCACTGAATTCTCTGCAGTGGTCTACAGAGATGTCTGTCGCACAACTGCGTCGCTTGGTCTGTGGATATGATGATTACTGATTAGTGACGTCATATGATAGTTGGAAAAACTGTTCTTTACTTTGCTTTATACCACTGTATGTATGTATGCTGCATTATCCTATGTAGCTTTTATATGTGTTCAATTATAAAAAGTTCTTGAAGAATCTGTGTTTTTTGTACAAAGGAGTAGTGTACTGATATAAAGTAGGAGCAGGTACCAGGAACCACGACATCGCTGCCTTGCGTCCGACCTATAATCCTAGCACAACAAGTTTGTCTAATGCCTCCATCCCTATAAGGCATATCTATTTTCCATTCAGCTAAGCCTACCATTCCAAAAATATTTTAACTATTAAATGGAAGAAGTCGATTACTTACAGCTTTATTGTTCAACTTGTTGAATATATCGACAGCAACGCAAGCATCAGCACTAGCATACTCTATCTGCCTTGCAGTTAGACTTTCTGCCTCCCAATCGCTACAACTCACTCGCCAATCCTTGTCTAGTTTTACACCCAACAAGTCTTGGGCAAGTCTCGACAGTCCTTTTGGGTCTACATCAACCTGTAACATTCCAATCTCTGATTAGTTTAACTGTAGTGTCACTGTTAATTGTAAAACTACAGAGCAATTTAGTGGGCATCATATTAATATTCACACCAAAGCTAGTATATATAAAGTGGGGAGACGAAGCTATGATGGATAAAATTAGGAAGGAGATACATTGGACGCTCAAAGCATGTTGACCAACGATGAAGTGGACAAGCAGGATGGGACGAAGTAGGAAAAGTTAAGTTAGGAGAGAAGATTGTAAAAGTTAAGCTTGACTTTAAAGTGAGAAAAGTTTGGTATGTGGGAAGAATCAAGCAATGCAAGGGGTTTGCCAGTACAGAACCAGAACAGAGCTGCACTGCTAATTTGTTAAGAGGCAGTACCAATTCGCAAACCTAAGACATTTCCCCCTTTTACACTACTGACTCACACTTGTATTACCTTTACACACCCCCCCCCCCCCTCCACAGGTGACAGACTAGAAAGGTTCACTAGCCTATATTACGTAGTAGAAATCAGACAAATTGTAAACAAAATCATTCTTCCACTGTTTTTCAATGAATTTTCTATATTAATTAAAATTAGTACAGAACCAGAACAGAGCTGCACTGCTAATTTGTTAAGAGGCAGTACCAATTCGCAAACCTAAGACATTTCCCCTTTTTACACTACTGACTCACACTTGTATTACCTTTACACACCCCCCCTCCACAGGTGACAGACTAGAAAGGTTCACTAGCCTATATTACGTAGTAGAAATCAGACAAATTGTAAACAAAATCATTCTTCCACTGTTTTTAGTTACCTGTTTTGCTAGGTGTCGCAGGTCTAGACAGCTTACGCACTTCACGCCGTAGTCAGCATACAGATACCTAGCATCCGCTATCACTGCCACTCCTACTTTTAAAATGGTTCTGTCCTCCAGCAGTTCCTAAACAATCGTTAAAGAGAATTATACATTTAGGCTAAAATAGATTTAGTATTTTAGCACGTTCAGTACTAATAATTTAAGTATTGCGACCCAAAAATGCAAAAGAATTGTAATGTAATAACTAACTTTAAAATGATGTCAGTGTATCAAAAATGATTGTCTCAGTGTCGATTTTGGCTGAAATTGGTGACGTGACTTCTGGGGCAGGAATTTCCGTCCTTAGGTAGGCCTACTTAATGCCAGTCCTTGTCCAACCCCTAACTATTTTTCAGCCCCACATGCTCACAGTCACACAGGAAATTGTTTTTAAATGTATTCAATAGTTCTTATAGCCTAACATCAATATTTATTTGTATAAAAAATATATTTTAAATCCCCCACCACCATTATATAAAGTCTTTTAGTGTTCAAAAATTTTAATCTCAAAAGATGTTTTTTGTAAGGAAATAACCAAAACTATAGGCCTAACTAAATAATTATTAATATTATAAGAGTACAAAGCCAACAAACCGCACAATATAGTTGACAGAAACATGAAGCACCAAAAAAGATCGGAATCGCCGACACAACGTGCGTGGCTAAGCTGACATTGGAGCAAGGTTGTTGGCATTGGAGAAGGACGACATTTCCCGCCCCGCACCCCTAAACGTGTTAAGAATGGAAGAAGGTCCCAAAGCCCCCTGACAAGGAGAAGGGACAGGACACTGAGATTAGCTGATAGACCCCTTAAGATGAATTCTAGGTCTACACAAAGGGGCAATCAGAATACTAATAAAGAAATATAGAATGTAACTTAATTAACTAAATAAAGTGAGATCCTGAATAAAGCTGATCCCAAGCATGTGGATTCTGGACCCAGATTTGTCAATAGTTCATTTATTCATGATAGGACGACATGAGATAGGCCTATAAACAAGATCACAATTTTAACCATTCCTTAAAATAAACATGAACAAATACTAATGGCATTATATTAAAATAATGTACTAAAAGTTTGTAAACTTGCAGTCACTAAAATATATTTTTTATGTATATAGTTTTCACATAGACCTACCTTACCTCAAGATCTCTTGGGATATCATTTAAAGAAGAGAGACGAAAAAGGGAACAAAAGCCATCGGGGGCTGCAAGTTGTAGAAGTGCTACTCTATGTCTCCGTTTTCCTGTAGAAACCCACTCACAGTCCATTCCCAGTATCCACATCTGCTTCTCATTTATCTTTCTGGAAAATGAAAGCAAATAGGTGTATAAGTTATCAAGGTTTTGAAATATTTTACAAGCATCCCAGGACTGGATATTTCTTTGGCTTGAAGTTTCTATAAAGACCCAACTTACAGTAGCCTACATTGATGGTGTTTCATGGTTTTAGGTACAAACCAGCAAGTCTGCATTCCCGCTAAGTTTTTAAATATTAAACTTAACCTTCTTGCTTGACCTTCTTGACTGGTCTTACCTCTTTTGGACAAGGGGATTTAAAGGGGAATAGCAGACCTACTTCACTTCTTACCTTACTGAATGCCGAGACTGCACATGAACGTGACAAGATAACAACAGTCGATTTATAGTGCTCTCCGTAACACCTTAAAAGTTAGACCGCTAAACCATTGATCTGGCTCAATGGCGTATCAGATACTGGTCAATCTAATGCAGTAGAATAATAGTGAAATTTATAGCTAAAGCTTTCTTCTGCGTTATCAGCTTTTCAGGTATGGTTGTCAGCCTTTTAAGTTTTTGGTTGTAGCCTATTCCTGAATAAAGTGTAAGTGGTTAAGCATTTGGGGCTTGAAGGGTCAAGGCATATTAAAAAGAAAATGACACCGACGTTAGGGAAAGGGGGCGCCTCTAAAATTAAGAAAAGGTTAGGTACAGTATTATTCTCAACTTGTGTTTGCCTATCCTGCACTTTTAACAACATATGCCTACCTATATTTCTTGGCTTTGCAGTATTAAGGTATGAACAAGTAGGAATGGTGATTATTTATTTAGTAAAACTTTGAAGGCAATTAATGCTTACATAGCATATGGGTTCACTTACCTTCTTAAGGTTTCCACTCCAATTTTAACCTCTGATACTGAAGAAACTATTACGGGTTCATGTTTTGGTTTATATACTTCAAATGTTTTAATCCCTCTCAGTTTCCAAAAGAGTTTCCTCATACAACTTTTAATGGTAGGAAATTTGTAAATAGTGCAAATAACCCCGACGGCAATGACAGCACCTTTAAGATGATAAAATGTAGGCCTAATCCTAATCAAACTGTTAGTTAGTACTGAATTCATAGTTTTGAGTCATTTAAATGAAAATTATTATACTTGGTGTCAGGTTTACTGATAATTGCAACAAAAGTTTTCTTGATGTTAGTGTCAAAATGGAATGATATTGTTAAGTTACAGCGGAATATGTGCTATCTTCATTTTTACAATTAATTAATTTAGATTAGGAATTTACTTCTCTAGGTTATGTTTACGATCACATAGCCAACACAGAATCAGAATACAGAACACACACACACAACAACAATCGAACAATCCCAGTCGACCCAGTCTCCACCATTTCTCCTAACAGTCCAAACGTCATAAACGTCTCAAAATATTTTTTTCTGCTAGCTACTTGGCTGGCGGTAAATTATATCACATGAAGCTTCTATGCTATCATATTGAATTTATCATAATGATCACTATATTTAACCTGAATTGCAAAACCACTTTTTAAAGATTTATTCTCTTTAAACGACTGTTCAACCGTCAATTAATTGAATTATAAATAAGTTAGCAATGCACACTTTTAGCATTTAATCATCGGCCTGTGTTTGCTAATTATTCAGAAAATAGATGGATATTGAAACACAAGCACAGTTAGTTAGTCTTTTGGATTGAAACACATTAAACTCCCAAGTCCCAAATCTATGTTACTGATTACTTTTAACATACTCAATAGTTATAGACTCCTGTTTGTATTTGTATCAGCCTGTTATAAATGTATTTGTGTATATCATTGAAATTCTGACTCCATCAATCCCTTTTAAGTAAAATATGAAGATGCGGTAATAAGGTAATAACTTGACAATAGTACCAATTCAGTACAGGGTAGAGGTATTTGATACATTCAATTACACAGTCATCATGTATTATACCACAGTCTTTTAACAAGTCTTTAATAATACAATGTTATTCTGAAAATCGAAGCTTCATGGAATCAAACTAAGCCCCCAACATTTTTGCAGCATAACAGGTTGTGTCGAATGGAATCGGAATGGCAATTTCTTGTGTTCCTGTTGCCATGGTTACCGACTATAACAAAACAAGAAAATAGTTTATAACCTGTTTTTATGTCAACATCAACCTAGTGATGATCCACAGTTTGTTTAGTGTCTTGTTTGCAATTACATCAAAACAAAAAACGTTTTTATTGGTGATTTTACCCTCGGTAAAAAGTAAGTTTGGGAGTTGGCTTAACACGAATTTAAGGTTATGAATTGAACCAGTGCTGCTAAATATGAGTCATAGCCAAAATGTTAAGGAGGCTATATTAAAAGGATTAAAGGACAGTATCTATCCTGGACCAAGTGCCTTACCAACCAACAAAAACTGTGGAGTGTGTCCAAATTCCCAATTGAATATTGAAAATGAATTAGTAGTGTCAAAGCAGTTGTCAAAATCCGTTAAAACGTTTCTTGAGCACTGTCTTCTAACTGATCTAAATAATCATGTTGCTCAAATCAATCCAAAGAAAGAAACATGGAAAATTGATGCTTATAATTTGTCCAAAGCACTATCTGACGGATCTAAGCTATCTTGCATACAAGACAATTTGAGTAACTTGTTAGACAGCTGTCTAAAAGAGTTTAATGAAACAGGAGCGTTTAATCATTTTCAGGATACAGATATTGATGTATCCCCTCTCCTACAGCCTGAACACATGATTGAGATTGCAGAGTGCATTTCCTTGGAAAAGCCTTTAGATGTAAGGCTAAATGCTCTCCAAGTTCTTTGTAAATCACACTTCACCGACACACTCGATGGAGAAGGGTGGATTCTTCTTCAAAAAAAGCTTGTGGACAACCTTAGTGACAACAATACTGAAATATTTGTTATGTGTTTAAAGGCACACACAAAACTTGCATTATGTTCATCTCCAGAAGCTATCAAAGAGTGTTGTTTAAATTTGATAGAGAGTCTAGGACGGCATTACTATCTCCACCAAGGCGATTGCAAATCTACTTCGCTCCAAAGTAAGCACTTTTATCGTACCGTGTATTTGGTTTTTCTACTTTTACACACGTTAAAAGAAGTCACAACAAATGTAGCAAGATTTGGAGAAAGTAAAATCCAAGAAATCGTTGAAAACTTCATCCATCTAGTATCTATTAATAGTCCACCTAAAAAACAATCAAAGAGCAGGCAGTTCATAAGCCCACTAGAGATTATCTCTTTTCTAGATCCCTATGCAAAGTGGGTGCTGAGGATCTCTCACTTCAACCTTTCTAGACAACTCTTATTTTCCAGTCTCTACAAAAACATGAATTTTATCAAAATATGTGTTGAAGAGATCTTGGACTGGCTTTCTGATCCAGTAATACCAACTATTAATGCGTCTAAAATAAGTGAAGGTGAGCTAAACATTGATATACAGAAATACAGTTTATTTATTCATTGTTTAGCAGCATTCAAAATAATCTGCTCTTATGGAATGAGCGTGTCATTGTTTCCGGTCAGAATTAGTAAAAAAGACAGTCTGGTATCAGTTGAAGATATTTTGGATATGCTTATCACATCAATCAACAATCCACAGTTCATGAATCTTCTTCAGGAAAAAGCAACGTCTAGTTTCAAATCTTTTTTAGCTTTAAATGTGGCTAAAATGTTGTGTTTCAAACAAGTTAGTGGAAATATGTTAATTCTTAAATTACTGAAGCCTAATGATGTTTTTGACGAATTCCTTGGTTCTATTAAAATTGAAGTGTTGTTAACATTATCAGAAAAATGTGAATCCAACAATCCTTTGATTTGCTATGATTTGTCTTTAAGAAAAAAGCATTCACTTTTTTTTCATTGTTTCATACTGAGCAACAGTTCTTTCAATCTACGTCATGGATCTATGAAGCAAAGACGAGAGATTGAACATCAAGGATCCCTTGGAGATGCGGAGAATAATTTCAACCATCCGTTTGAAGTTTACCTAAAGTATCTGTTGGAGAAAACAAAACCAAACCACCTGAAAGAGGAACCAAGAATGATAGTCATAATGTCTAACATGTTCAAGAACTTTGACCAAATGTTAGGAATTGATTATGCTCTGAGAACCCAAATCATTGAACTAGTAGGTGAAGTTTTTACAAATCTTATTGCTGGTTTGAAAACCCCACAGTCCAATGTTGATCTTGATGAAATTAATGTTCTGCATACTTGCGCTGAGTTTCTTTTACACTGTGGAATAACACCTCTGGGCTTTAACATTCTGCAAAAACTCGGCTTAGTCTCTCATATTCTTCATGAAGAACTTCAACGTCCTGATCCTAACTGGTCTAACTACGTATGGCTAGGCTTCATCACCAAAGCTTCGGCTTCAGAAGAGGGCTTTAGTGTATTAACTTCTCAAGCTAGTGGTATCCTAAAAATGGAGTTGTTAAATCTTTGGAGCACAATTGATGAAGACTGCTCTGGATCAGAACTGCCTGTAAGAGAATGTTCCAATAGTCTACTACGAGCTATCACATTGTTTACCTTGAATCTCAAAGGTGTTCGGGCATTCCTTAAGGAGCCGGAAGATGGCAGCGAGGCGACATTGACAGAGGAGTCTGACACAAGGCCTTTAAATTTATTTTCTCTCATCAGAGATTTTGCTCTCAACTATTCAAAGTGCCCTGACTTTATTCACCATCTATTCGCATTAACTGTTCTAGACATCCTAGTGTCTAACATCGATTCGAGCATATATTTAATGAACAAATTCAACTTTCAAGAATCTCTTTTGATTATGCAAGCAGAAAGCAGAGTTGATGAGAGTTCAGAAGTTATAATTGACGAGTGCAGTCTACTTCGACAAAAGATTATAGAAAAAACAATTTTGCCTGTTAAAGTCAACACAAACCTAAAACCTTCTCACACGTTTCCAAGGCCTGACAGCACTTTGACTAGGACTAAACCAAGATCTCGAGGCAATGGAGAATTTGCTCGTTGGCTTAGTGAAACAAGACCAGGCCTACATGACCACAATTGGTTGAAGCACGCTCGAAAGTTGTATAGGAACTCATCACCCGACGATGTGAAAGGAACAACTATTATAGATCTTTTAGAGCAGGTTTCAAAAGTTCTGCCAGAAGTAAAGCCAGCAATAAAATGGCAACGAGTTGACGACCGGTTTACTCTACGTGCGGAGGAACAACTGGCCATCCAACTGGCCGTAAAGTATGGAGCTCATCATAGAATATTCCAGGAAACTCAAGCTAACATTGAAAATCTCAGCCAGCTCGTCCTCATTGTCAACACATCACTAAAAGCGACGTCAGATTGTTTTGACGGATTCGACTGGTTTGTTGCTTCTAGTTTTCTGCTTTGCTCAGGAAACATTGAAAAAGCCCAAGCGTTTTTATCGCTTATGTCAACCCTACCAACAGCACCTCTTTTGTGGTCTCATTTTGGAGAAGCATCTTTGTTGGCCCAGCTTGGAAATGTTCTTGACTGTATAGTCTCAGAGGAAATGCCCGCTCTGTTTTACGTGCTGCAGCGCAACGGTTTGTCGTGGTGGCAGTTGTGCCGTGGATGGATTGCTCAGTGTTGGTGGGGAGTATTGGACTGGCCATACATCTGCCATTGGCTCATGACAGGGATGTTATATCAGTCTGATCATCTGTTATATTTCTGTGCGGCTCTTCTACACTCCAACCATGACCGACTGATGCAGATGTCAATCCAGGGAACGGTTTACGAGATTGTTACCAATCCAGCAGAAAGATTTCAACTGGCAGAAGCGAGAATCATGATTGATAAACTGCACAAGAAGTATCATGGGACGCTACACTCCTACATAAGTTCTCTCTGAGATTTGAGATTTGAGCTGACGTGAGTATACTTTTACAATTTACAAGATATAGCTGTCATTACAAAACATGTGAATTATAAACGATAAAAACAATTTTCTTTACTTACTGTAAGAGTTTTTAAATAAAACTTTTATTTTACTGTAGAAAAAAGAAAGTAGCTTAGGGCTAATCATGATGGCAGTGCAGCCCTTTTCCAATAGATAAAATAAAAACACACATGAAGGACATTGGTGGCTGACCAGCACCTGCTGCTTTTTACTAAATTTGTCCTAAAGACCTTGTAAGTTATGTGTGCCAAATACTGTTTCTGAACATTATTTTTTGTCAGTTAATGGAGTTATGTCAGGTCCCCAAATTAAAGTAGCTTAATAATAATTTGATAATTTTTCGTTATTCTATGCCTATTGGTTAAAAGATTAAAGGTTTTTAAAAACAGTCAGTTCTTATATGTACCGGTACGTCCCCATTTTATTCTTATTGAAAATAAATTTATTTATGTGTACCTGTCTGTTAAAGTTGGATAAATATCTTCATAAAATAAAAAAATAAACATATTAAAAAAATCTACTTTATTTTGCCGTTTGAAATTTTTGAGAGGGAAAGTAGATTGTGATATCCTTAATTGTTATTGAAAAACCTAAATTACTCATTCGGTCAATGTGATTTATTCCAAGGCTATATAATCTAAGTGGGAATTTCAATTTGTTTTGAACAAGTTTAAAGTAAATACCCCCCCCCCCGCAGCAAACCTGCCGACTAAGCGAATTTCCATTTGTCTGAATTGAATTTCAATTAAATCTAGGCCTATTTGAATAACATTAGGTTTAACGAGTACCTAGGTTTGCTGCTACAAGGAAAATATTGTGGGATTTTTAGTAAAATATTAATAGTTTAGTGCAAAATAAATAACTTTGCCAAGTTTCATCAAAATATATCCATAAAGAAGCTTACTACAACATTTACAATATTCTCCATAAGAATAACATTGGAATTTTAAATTTACAATTTTTTATTTTCTCCATTAGGGTACTAATAACCGTACAAAAACACTTTGATATACTAAATTATTTGTTTTTTAAGCTCTTTAAAAATATCTAGAGAGAAATTGGGAAATTTTGTGTTTTGAGGGTCAAAAATGAGAAAAACCATTTTTTACCCCATAAAACCCCCCGTAAAACCCCGTTCCCATGGTCCGATCATGCTAGTTAACGAACTCATGCAAGTTTATCCTGCCTTACACCTTTTAACCAAATTATATCAAAATCTGACAAAAATTACTGAAGTTCAAGGACGTATAGGCCAATATTACATATTTTATATTGTAGTAAATAAGAACAACTGAGCACCCTGAATATTATATTTTTATTTTTTTAATTTATAATTTTTTTAATCAATAGGCTATATATGTATATATATATATTTTATATACCTATATAGCCTATTTTTATATACATATATAAAAACTTGAACGAATGGTGTTTTTGGCCTCTGGGGACATCAAAATGAAAAATTAAATCGGTCCCGGGCCTAGGTCTTACCGTGCTACCTACGGTAATAGCTACCTACTTCCATATAGGGAAATTCGCTAATAAAACTTAATAAAGCAACAACAATAAATGTACCCATACTTAAATCTGCAGGTTTATTTTTTTAATAGATTATATATAGATGTTACCTTTTATGTATGGTAATCTTTACTCGTTAGTATTGTATATAGCCTATAACTGTACTGCACTTTATACCTAACTGTGTGTGTATGTATTACTGTATCATCCATACTGTGTAAGTTGGAAATAAATTAATTCTTTTTTATTAAGGCTATTTTACTTTTACCATAATCTTTATTCCTGTTACAATTTAAATATTTAAATTTAATTTTACTCTTTTAAAATTTTTCCATTTTTCTTTACGAAAAAACCTCTCTGCAATGCTTTTTAGTTTAATCTCCCAGTCATAGTAAAACCATAAATTAAAAATAAACACATTTTTCTTATAGATTTCTCATATTATGGATTAATTAAAGACTATTTTATTGAATGTTTCTGCCCTATATAAATTATGTAGAGTGTATTAAAATGTTACAATTTTTTATAGCTATTTTAATACTTTATGAATCTATTTCTCATTATTTCACAAACTTTCAATATTCACTCTTTCAATATTAAACCATCTATTACACTGCCATAACTTAAAGAAAGCATAAGCCCAAGACATAAGCACACTCAAGCCCCAAGACTTCATACAACATCAAAATAGGCAATAGGCATCAAATGCTATAGGTTAAAAACTAGCGATAAGGTCTGAAAATAGGTGCTGTTGCATAAGTCAATATGGTAAAACCCAATTCCATCACTTTTTCAAATGATGCTACAGTATATCTGTGTATTCTCCAATGACCATACTTTGACCCAAAATTCAATACAAGTTTCTTTTTTAAATTTTCAAATAAATAAATTGGAGATGGATAAATTGGTCAAGGTCAAACTTAGAGGAAAGTACTCTTAATAATACTTTTATTTCGTGTATTTTCAAAAATGTGAGAAATAGACTTATTAATATGTTGTAGGTTTAGAGGAAGGAAAGTATTGATCAGATATTGGGCAAGTGGTACGAACTGACACCACTGGCTAACTATAGCAATGGCAACTATAAGCAGTCTTTGTTATGAACAATCTTTAAAATTGTGAAAATGTGTGAATGGCAGCCAAATAACTTATTTAAATATTGCTGTGCTTTTCATGAGAGATATGTTGAGGAATTGTAGGATAAACAAGGAAAGGTTTCTGCATGAAGCATTAATTGTGACAAGCTTTTTATTTATTGGTGAATTTTTCAAGTGTACTGAAGTTAATAACCTAATGTTAAATTCTGTGAAGTGATTACATTAACAAGTAAGTTGGTAAAAAGTATACAATAACTCTTGAATGCCTAAAAGTTATTTGATATACATTTAAACTAGCAGCATATTGGATTACTGAATGCAGGTATTTAAACCATTATAAATATTCAAACGTAATCCGGAGGTTAACAACTCTTAAAAATGAAATTTAAACTAGTATTATTAAAACTAAACATTTTAAACTTGAAATATAGTACATCTCAAAACCATGTTGGAAATTGCATATTTATTCAAATGTGTTATTTGAAAATTTAGTTTTTCAGTTCATTATTTTTTAATTTTGTTAGATTGTTATTCAATTGGACTTTGAAAGACTTCTATAGCTGGTGCACAAAGAAACATTGTACATTTTCAATTTAGTAAATGTCTGAATATTGAAAATAAAAATACATTCAACCACAAGACACACACATAAGCAGCTTAAGTTTATATGTTGTTACGAATATAACACTTTAACTGTTGCTTTAGAACCAAAACGAAATAGTGATCTAAGTTTCTATCAACATCATCACTTGGCTTAAAATCATCTGATTTATTCATGAGCTTGAGTGAAATTATCCACATATGAAAATTGTAGGAAACAGTTTGGCGATACCATCCATCCATTCCATCATTAACCAAAAATGTTTACACAGTAAAAATAAAATCTTTCTTTTTATCATAAAACTCAACTTAGACTCAATATAAATTATTTGTATGTGCAAACAAATCGGCTGTAGCTTCCAGAACTGGAGGAAATAAAATAAAGCCTTTTTGTTTCAAGTTTATGTTGTCACCTTTGGTACAATGTTGATTACCACATTTTACCGTACACAGTATGGGCAACTGGTGTGGTTCTGTAGCAGCCGCCTCGGTACTTGACCAGGTGATCTCACAAGCTTCAGACGAGGATGAGTGCTTGCTCTACAGGCTTGCCAACTACAAGAAGGGAGGCGAACTCATTGATGCCTACAATGTTGGCGGCTCTGCAGAAGTGGAACGTCTGATCAAGGATCAGTTTGGTATATTGTTGTACAACGACGGCAAAGGCCAAATGGTAAACCGTGCAGAGTACCTTCGCTGGAAGTTTCGTGATATTCATCAGGTATGCAGAGTTTACAAGATATGTTTACAAGATTTATTATGTGGTTATCATCAAGTAAAGAAATTTGTTTGGAAAAATATAAAAAAATTTTATGGTGAAGGGTTTTAATTGTCGACTATGAATACAGGGAATTTTCGTTCATGAAACCCATAGCGTGTATGTTATTGTTTATCTGTTTGTCACAGTTGGTTCAGGGCAGCATTCTTTGTACCAAAAAGGTTGCTGCTAGGTTGCAGCAATAATTGAACGCCTGGTACAATACAAACCCTCTGAGGTCTAAGAGGTCACAACAGTTGGTGGCTCAGTCGGTAGTACCACAGACTTAGAGCCCAAGGAAGCGATGTTGTGGGTTCGGATCCATGTACCCGCCACTACTTTTTATCGGTACAGTGGTACAGTTTGCATTGTACTGGGTCACCCCACGTTTTGCTGGGTAGGTTTCATGCAAAGGTCTCTGAGGCCCATGTGTCCTTCCCATGTGTGAGTCCCAAGAAAAAGAGGCTGCCAACCTCTAAAAAATACATGTTTGAAGTAACTGACAAACAAAATTTCAGGTTTGTGTTTTACAGTAGAAGAGTTTACAGTCAGTATAGTCTGCTTAAGATGAGTCTCACATTATTACACGATTCAATGTGAATTGTGGATATTTTTAGGCATGCACTGTGGATGCGATACTCCCTGGTGTGGATTAAAGTCTGCACGAGTGAGTACTATGACTATCTGCAGTACTATCCTGAAAATTAGACCAATTCGTATATACCAAGGCAAAAATTTGGTTCGGATTCCACTATAAACTGTCGGTCCCTTAGTTGCCATTAGCTGTATGGGCTATTAATTAACAGCTGTGTCTAAGGAATAAGTCGGCCTTAGTCACTATCAAGACTACAAGATCGCGCCACTCATCCTACACTCATCTCCATTCATACTTGGCTTAAAATACCTACTTTGTATGGTCACCAAATCAAATCAAATCGTCTTTATTTCATATTGTACATAAATCAGTACATGGAATGGCGTCAAAAACTATATCTAAAATTTAACATAAAGAAATCAAGTCTAATAGAAATAAAAAACACTAATTTAACATATATTCGTATAATTAATATATATTGAACAGTATTAACAGTGTTAATGATTTCACCTGGATTGCGTCAAAGGATTTTCCTTATAAAAAAAATAAAATAAAAAAAAATTCCTTCCTTTTGTACTTGTAAAAGGTAGGAATAACTTACTGCAAATAATTTTTAAATGTTATTTTTGTTTGATATACCACTTTAAGGGGACACATACCCTTTCCTTGAATGTAAATGATCAAAATTCATTGGAGGAAACCACTTTAAGCTAAACTGTTTAAAAAACCAAAAAATATAAAAAATAACACTGGCATTAAGTGTTTTATGCTTACATTTTGATAACACACTCCATTGTGATCTTATATATGAAACTGTGTCACATATCATATTGTACCTAATTAATATGCGCTGAAATGTATTTTGAACAAGTTAATCTTAGAATTTGCATGACTTCAGAAAAACACTCTCATCTATTTAACCATGGTGCTTTACGTTCCCCAAAGGTTGCATTGCCCATAGAGGCTTCGCTCAGTCCGCACGACCCCTTGGCTAAGTGGACGGACCATGAAGCCTGTTGGCAGATGCAGTATAGAGGATCTCTTGGTGAGACTTTGCTTCACGTCCTCATCATCTGTGACACCAAAGTTCACACTCGACTTGCCCGAATACTGCTCAAGTGCTTCCCTCACCTGGCGCTCGATGTCGTGGAGGGGGAAGAGTACCTCGGTAAGCACCTGGTATACTGACAAGAAAGTTTGATAGTAAATTTTAATTTAAATTTATAAAGATTATTTTGCAAGCCTTTAGTGGATTTTCTGTAAGACTTACTTTACGTTTCTAAAGTACAAGTCATCCCTAGGAGTGACTCCAAACTCTTATTGAGCGGCATATATAGATGTTACACATTTCAGAGGTTAGAGTACTGCTTGCATTCGAGTTCAGAACAAATTTACTCAAGTTAAATGCGCAAACACATATTTCATTAAAAGAAAAATATTTATAAGCAACATTGTGAATTGGTTTTAATTTTTTCATTACCATGTTTCAGGAGCGAGTGCTCTTCATCTTGCCATTGCGTACTTCAACAATGAACTCGTGCAAGACCTGGTGGAAGCTGGCGCTAATGTTAACCAAAGAGCAATAGGTACTTGTGTTAATACAATTTCTATGGTGTGTTTGTGACACTCAAGTCGTTAAATAAAACCCATGTAGTATAAATTAATGACCCCATTGAACAAATGGGATACAGGGTTACAGGGTGGACACTGCTCAGATGCAGGTTGATTATATGTGCGGGATGCGTCCAATGAGACTGCTCAGACCTCCTTGTGATGTCATACTGTATGGTATAGCTGGATGTGAAATAAATTATTCACATCAACAGTTTATCTTACATATTTTTTAAGAATTATAATTTGTTATCACAATCTGCTTCCAATACATTGAAAAATAATATAGGCCCTACCCAGTGTTGTAAGCCCTCACATGTAGAGATAAAGCTTGTAAAAATTAGAATATTTGAATATAGGTTAAGTATTATGTGTTCTATTGTCAGATCACTCATTCCCATTTTGATTTAACCATTTAGTTTTGAGACACCAACGTTAAAGAAAAAATAGTTTTACCTGTAAAAAATATTCTACCACATTTTAAAATTTTGGCTTGAATAGTTTTCTTAAAAATTGTTTGGAGAATTGACACTTTGTCACTATAAACTTATATAACCATTGATTGACTTACCCTGACCAATCAGGTAGTTTTTTCCTGCCGAGGGATCAGCAGCGCCAGCGGCCGGCACGCCACACGGACTACGAGGGACTGGCATACCTGGGGGAGTACCCGCTGTCCTGGGCAGCGTGCTGTGCCAACGAGAGTGTCTACAACTTGCTGCTGGAGAGTGACGCTCACCCAGACATGAAGGACTCCTTCGGCAACATGATATTACACATGGTGGTCGTCTGTGACAAACTGGTGGGTATTGACTGTTAGATACTGAAGTAGACATCATACCCACCCCTCAGATCCTAACCACCTCAACCTAAAGTGCCTTGATCGTGCCTGCACCTTGGAGATGCTCCAACCAACCATTTTTCTAACCCTACTACATCAACCGCCCAAGCCTCACAACCACTCAATTAATCATTCCACCAAATCAACAACAACCACAATAAACCAACCAACCACACCAACACAACCAACCTCTATCTAAATCAAGTTTTAAAATCCCTTGCTAATTTTACCTCGAAACCCTTACCCAAACAACCTTACTCTCACCAATAGTTGGTCACTTATTCGAATTATACATCATTTGTATCATACTCTGTGCTGGTTAAAGCTCCTATACTCAAGGCTGAAGAAGACAGTCTAAAACAGGCTCAAAACCTTACTGAAACATCCCAATCACGTCAGTTAGTACGAAGGAAATATTGTTTGAGAATAATTCAAGGAAGAAACTGTTTCAGGACATGTTTGGTTACGCTTTACGACACCCTCGGCTCCCAGCAAGCAACGGTATTGCTAACAACGCTGGCCTCACTCCGTTGACCCTTGCTTGTAAGCTCGGACGCGCCGAGGTGTTTCGAGAGATGTTGGAACTGAGCGCTCGTGAGTTCTGGCGCTACAGCAACATCACGTGCTCCGCTTACCCTCTCAACGCCTTGGACACCCTGCTACCTGACGGCAGAACTAGTCAGTATCAGCTGTTTATGAATATTGTAGTTTTAATGTGACTAAAATGCTTGATTACACTTAATTTACTTTCATTTGTGCTACAGCCTGTCCATGACCTAATTCATAATACACTATCATTAGTTTCTAACATTGTCCTTTTCCCTTCATCTTCTCATATTTAATTTAAGATCTTCTATATCCTGTTGTTTTCTCATTTGTTCTAATGACTGTTGGTTATTCATTACTTTCTCCTGGAGCCTATCTTCTTCCATTCTCTTCACACATCCTAATTATCTCATTCTAACAGCTTTCACAACCCTTGTGACTTCTTTTCTTTGAGTCAAAAAAGTAAGACTAAGAGGAAGATGTCAACGGGATCTAGAGAAGAACTGAAATAAAATGTGGAAAGATACTGTTTAATGTGCTATTAAAATATTTATGGCATAGGTGTACTAGATGCAAAATCAATCCTTTGAAATTTTACAGGTCGGAGTTGTGATGTGATTGACAAAAAAGAATAAAGCTGTTTCATTTTTGATCATTTCACTCAACTAACCTTGTTAGTTTCATTCCTGCATTGGAATAGGCCATAGCTAAAGGTATTTTATGTTTACTAAGTAACTCAGCTACGTTAACATTTTGCTGTTTTCAGATTGGAATTCAGCTCTGTTTATCATTTTGAATGGCACAAAGGAAGAGCACTTGGACATGCTGGATGGTGGAATCATTCAGAGGCTTCTGGAAGAGAAGTGGAAAACGTTTGCAAGAGTAAGTCTATAAGAATAACGTTAAATACAGTAGGCCTAATGTTATTTATTTGTCCCCAAGGTCATATTTGTTTGACAGAACTAAAATAAGTATATTTAACGAAATGTGGACATCTGTAACCAACATTAAATTATTAAATTGTATGCTCTGAGTTTTTACAAAATAGCTATAGATTATGATAGAAACAAATAGAAGCTATAGCTGGTATGCACTTTGGATGCGAGTTTGAAAAGTTTCCTTATATCTTGATGTCTTATTCATTTGACCTTTCTGGCTAAACATATTAAAATGCACCCTTTGAAATTGAACACTCAATGCCTAGTGGTATGAGGACTAGTTGTAGTAAGGGAAGAATTACATTTTTCATACATTTGCTTATCATGAGTGTGGAGGTTTCCTGCTATAGTCCTGATGATCTTATGTGTCTGTAGTGTCAATTCCTGAAGCCTCTGGCTATCATAGCTCTACACTTGCTGATGATGAGTGTGGAAGTTTATTATTGTCCTGATGATCTTAAGTGTCTGAAGCGTCAATTCCTGAAGCATCTGGCCATCCTAGCCCTACACTTGCTGATGATGAGTGTGGCAGTTTACTATTGTCCTGATGATCTTAAGTGTCTGTAGCGTCAATTCCTGAAGTGTCTGGCTATCCTAGCTCTACACTTGCTGATGATGAGTGTGGAAGTTTATTATTGTCCTGATGATCTTAAGTGTCTGAAGCGTCAATTCCTGAAGCATCTGGCCATCCTAGCTCTACACTTGCTGATGATGAGTGTGGCAGTTTACTATTGTCCTGATGATCTTAAGTATCTGTAGCGTCAATTCCTGAAGGTGTCTGGCTATCCTAGCTCTACACTTGCTGATGATGAGTGTGGCAGTTTTATTGTCCTATTGATCTTAAGTGTCTGTAGCGTCAGTTCCTCAAGCGTTTGGCCATCCTAGCTCTACACTTGCTGATGATGAGTGTGGCATAGTTTACCATCGTCCTGATGATCTCATGTGTCTGTAGCGTCAGTTCCTGAAGCGTCTGGCCATCTTAGCTCTACACTTATTGATGATGAGTGTGGCAGTTTACCTTCGTCCCGATGATCGTGACCAGACACTGCTCGAGGGACGAGACTTTCAAAGCTACACCCGTTATGGCTTTGAGCTCGGAACAATTGGAGGTGTCCTTTCATACATTGTTGTCCAGCAAGGAGGAGAAATTAAGAATCAAGGGTTCTTCAGCTTCCTTAAACAGCTGGTAAGATATTCCTTATTTTGTTATGAACATAAAGATTGACCGATTGTTATCGAAGTAAACCTGGAATCTATTAGATCCTTCAGTTATTTTAACTTTTACTAATACAAGTTCAGTATCAAAATACTGTAATTTACTCTAAGATTCATTAGAAACCTCTTTAGGTATATACTCTCTCAAGAAGTCCTACACTAAGATGAAATAACGGTGTTGTGTTATAATAATATTACATATCATCCATCATGTGTCTACTGCTACTCTATATGATCTTATGGAATATAGTTATCTCAGTTAAAATTTACCATAGGATTCTACCATTTAGCTAAAAAAACCTCTCTTATCAGCCACATTGCTCTTCCTTAAAATAGCTCTTAAAAAGTTTGATTTTATAATTATTCCTCATACAGACATTTTCTAATAGAAAATTGTTAATTCATCTTTAAACCATATAACTAAAAACTGTTTTTTTTCATGCAAGGCGGGAAACCCAGCCAAGACCATTTTCCTCATATCCAACCTGGGAATTCTGGCATGTATTCCCTTCCGCTTGATGGGAGACGTCCATACTGAGGAAGCCATCCTGGTCTTTTCTGTCCCGGGATCATGGTTTCTTCTCATGTTTTTTGCAGGGTATGAACGAATTGCTTTTGACTTTTTATAGAAATTTTGAGTAGGTAATTAGTAAAATATTTCATTATTGTATTTGTAATATAGCATAATGAATTTCTTTTTATCTGTGTTATAAATTTCACCATACATATACTATTGTGAAGTATAAATATGTAAAAAATTTTAGCCCGTGTTTGAGTTGACAAAGTGTGCTGTCATAAAATATTCATTGTCATACATCAACCATTTCAAGGCGCCAACCTCAGTGGCAATTCATCTGCAACTAGCATCTTGTAAACATCAACATTAACCATCGTCAAACGAAAAACTAAACGAACTATGGAATAGATGAAAAACTTGAATATTGCTTTACTACGTTCATTTTTTTAGTAACACAACTGGTTACATATGGTCCATTTATTTGGGAATTTACTTTCGTATGCAAAATCGCAAGTTGATGTGCTACGCACCCACAGATTGTGCTGATGTATATTACTGATTTCTGTCAAATACACAACTTTTCTGTTTCTGAACGACATGCTTTTAGGCGAGGTGTTATTTATTCACGTAGATTATTGTGGGCTTCATTCGCCTTTATTTTTGTCTGTGATGTCAGGGACTCGTCAAAACACACATAAACACACACACATCTATTTTACTTATTTAATACGCAAGTAGGTTTTTTGTGACAATTACTCCTCTGAAACTACTGAACCAATTGATATGTTTTTGGTGTCATTGGAAAGAGCGTAACATGAAGTTGTGCAGGAAACTGTCATTAAGTGTGCTAATTTAACAGTTTGCTACAAACATTTACTGACTTGATATTGAAATGAAATATTTTCTATTTGAATTGGGGTTGGGTAAATCTTACGATGGAAGCGGGAGAGCCTGGATAATTTGAAATACTAAAAAGAAAACTGAATTAACACTGTGCTGCATTTCTTAGTAAGTATTGATAGAGCCGATTTGCAAACTATGAAAAGATAGGAAAGTCATAGAAAACCACCAAGGAGAAGACATAGAAATAATTTTTTGTTTAAATTTATAATCGTTAGTATGGACAACCTTATGCGGCTATCAGTAAGGATATTTGTAGGAAACACTAAAAACAACATCAGCTTTTGAAAAATGATCAGATATTTTCAAGAAATGGTAATTATGTCGATCTGTTATGTACATCTTGAGTATTTCAATAATCTTTGAGTCAAATCTTTAAAAGTAATCAGAAATTATGGATGTTTCAAAATAACACCTGTAATACTTACCAATTGCTCGAATTCGAGCAACAGGGACACTAGTACAACACAAAATCGTCCACGGCATCAAAAGTCCGACGTTTCGCGGAATTAAAAAAAAGTTCCGCTTCCTCAGGGTGGAAATATAATATTTTTATCCCGCACGCGGGTCGAACGCCTAACCACGACTGCCGGATCAGCTGAGCTTGAAGGAGGACGGGCGGGGGCTGGGGTAGGTGCATTGTCCATTGTTGATAAGCCATTCACGCTCCTGACTTTGCCTCCAATCACCCCACACACGTCAAGACAGGTCTAGCCATTGGTTTGATTAAACGGGCCGAATCCATCTGTAGTACGGAAGAAATTTTTAAAACAGAACTGGAAAACATAAAAACACATCTCCACAACTGTGGATACCCTCCCTTCGTTTTTGCTAAGGCCACACTAGCGCATTCTAACAACTTGTTATTTTTTTGAAAAATATTGGTGACAGCTGGTCCATATAGATGGGATGTCGACTTCAGTATCCAATGAATAGTCAATGATATTACCTATCCTTAATATAGGATATGTCTTCACCAATACTTGTTTGAAAAGAACGCAGGTTTTTTTTCTGTAAAGGAAATATTAATAAAAAAGTAATGCTCAATCAATAAATGATACCATGGATTAAACATACTTTCTTAGTAGATTTGTCATCCTTATGGATCAGCTGAAGACAATTTTAATGTTAGTTTTGTCCGATGCCTTCAGATGCATGTTTTTGTTTACAACTTATTTCTTGTTCAATTTCAGCTTTTCAATACTAGTTTGAATAAATACTAGTTCAAATTATCCCTAAAATAAGAAACAGTTGTCGACACTAGCGCTCAGTGTCACTAACATGAACCAGACAAAAAAAACTAGCTTCAGATTTTGATTTTACAATAGGATGAAAAGTCTACTATTTAGTGTTAGTCTATGATAACAGCTGGGATATTGGTGTGGAAAAATACGTCATATAGGTTGAAACACTTAATTTATTTCTCTTTGATTTGACAGAGCCATCCGACTGACTGGGCCGTTCGTCACTATGGTGTACAGCATGATCACAGGAGACATGTTGACCTTCGGCATCATCTACTCTGTCGTTCTGTTTGGCTTCTCCCAGTCATTCTACTTCTTGTACAAGGGCTTCCCTGGGGTGAAGAACACCCTGTACAGCTCCTACCCTAGCACGTGGATGGCCCTCTTCCAGATCACCCTGGGCGATTATAATGTAAGCTCGCAAAATAATTTAGACTTAATTGCTCTGGTGGTCACAGTGAATCGTTTGTGGAAAACAGTGAGGTATTTGTGGAAATAGTGGATTTTTAGAACAGGTGACGGGACATGAGCTGTGACACGTATACAAATACAAAGACATTAAACACTTCCTCATTGCCTACCTACTATTATTTGACCAAATGTTAAATATGTTTAATCCATATCTTGAAATATGTGTCTCTATGAACTATTTACAGCCACAGTAATGAACATTGCACCAGTTATTCTACTTGAAATTAAATTTCTCGTAGTACAAAAACCATTGATTTTAAAACCAAAACTAGAATCAAAATGCGGTATTTAAATCGTTTATATTTCTTACTTTATGCTTTGATTAATATGTCAGAGAAATAGTCAAGGATTTGACAGCACTAAGTTTGTGCTAATACATCAACCAAGAGCCTTTAAAGGTGCCATGAAAACACTAACAATCAAGAAACATTACGTAACACCAATGCAAGATCCTTGAGAATAACAACAATAACAATTTAACATCGTTTAACCTCAAAATTTTGGATGGAGTTTACATATAGCATTTACCTACGACCTAGGTTAGACTTCAGCAACCATTGCCCTAAAAACCTCATTAGAATGATTGGTTGTTGTTTTATGATGGAATCTTGACAGTTTTCCAAAGATTGAACGTCAACAGGTAAACCAGTTCCAACACGACCATAACACTGAAACCGTTACAGACACCGAGGATTCCAAGGCTGAAGGCCATGAACTGTGCAAAACTGTTTATGCTCACCCGAATCGTAGAGTAGAAGCTTTTGGTTTTGAAGCCAATTTGTACGTGAGCATTACCACTCATGTTTGCCTCGACGCTGTTAGCTTCAAACTGGTACGTCAATGAGACACAATCCGGCAAGCATCCACAATCACAGTCGTAATCAGGGCACTTATAAACGCAAACTTTAGTGGATGAGTTGTATGTCGGGAAATAGTTCGAAACGCAGCCACATTTTCGTAAGGTGCAGTTAACGTAACATTCAATTTCACAGTTGTTTTCATTGTAATGTTTGAACAGAGCGAGTTCTCGTTCATGTGAATAGAAACAACCTCGCTCTTTAGGATTGTAGCTTTTGAGGTCTTTTGCAGTGTTTACCAGTTTCGGGATGATGTTTATTGTGTTGAACTCGTCTTTTTTCATTAGATGACCTAGGAAATAGTCTTGCATCAGAGGTATTTCTGCAGGATTGTGTAGTATGACGTAAGCCATGTTCCTGGGATCTAAGTAGTTACAAGTGTTCACATTCTTTTTACTCTGCCCCTGCCGCTTTGTTACGTAGTATGTCACTAAGTCGTCAAAGTCACCGTAGAGAGGCACTGTGTTGTAGCAACCGTAGTTGAACATGTTTTCGATTGTGAATTTTTTGCCCCAATACAGGTTGTCTTGAGGTTTAGGCTTTATTGGAATTGGGAGGATTGTGCTCTGCTTATAAATGTCTTCATGCCTCAGTCCATTTATGGTCGTACATGTTGCATACTTACTATTTGGAACTATAAAGTGTTGAAATCGATCTTCATCGCATCCTGTTACAGTTTCATCATCAATGTGTTTGTACTGAGTTATGTTGACATCGCAAGCTGGAAAGATTTTTTGTAATAGCCTTGAAAATTTGATTGATTCAATAGTTTGACTTTTGTCTCTCGAATAAACCTGCCAAGGTGGTTCTTTGATGATGCCATTATTCACAGTGTTGTCACACATTTGTGAGGCGATGGCCAACGTAGCATCCTCTTCTAAAGTGCATTTATCATTGAAGCCACAGCTGTGGTTTCCTTCTGTTTTGTTACAACTGAGGCAGTTTTTCAAGCCTTCCACAAAGTCAAAGTCACTTTTCAGGGCATTGGGAATACAAATTGTGACTGCAGGAAACGGAATTTCTTCTATTGTGATTAAGCTGTTTGAGAGCGTTCTAATAACAGGTGCAGATTGCCAATTCATGTATTCGTCTGCAATGTAGACGTAGCTTATTAGAAGTGCAGCTACATGAATAAAAACCCACAAGTAAGTGTGGAATGTGTGTTTTCCGTTTCTCTGTGTGAATTTCAATCCAGGCATACTCAATTGTGTCAAAATGGTTTTCAAGTAAGGGTCTGATGGTTTTATGTTAGCCAAAAGGAAATTATTTTCCATTTCTGATAGCCTTGCTGACATATTTTCTACATTTTCAGACAAATCTTTGATGTTTTTAAACAATGATGATTTTATATATTGTTGGGATGATTTACTTTTTGATTTTGGTTGAGAGAAGTTTTGACCTTGTACTGAAACAATACATTCTTCAATTGAGGATAATCTATCAGAAAGTTCTTCTATTTTCAATACTACTGTCCTAGAATCATCCATTATCTTGAGAATATTTTAGTTTTAGACACAGAAAATCATTAATAATCCATACTTGTTTAATGAAATAATATGAATAATATATAATATTGATAATAGTTTTGTTATTTAAACAATCTTCATATTTTATTTTTACTAAATATGGGTGTAATTTAATGTTTAAACTGCCTATTACTGAAATGTAACACTTAACTGTTTAAACTTCTGACACTGTACAAATGAAAATTAACTCCTAACTTTCTGGCATACCATACGCTAGGTGTGGTCTTCATCAATAAAACATTATGCAAAAACAATCTACTTTAATAACATGTTGTCACATTATTTTCTCACAATTTGATGCATTTCACAACAGTTAGCAGTGTTAATTAACCTAATTGTATATAATTATATATTTGATAGTGGCAAATGATACTAAATTAACAAGAAAACTGCTTGTTGACAAATGAACAGCTTTAACATGCGATCATAATTCAAGTAAATTAAAATAAATAAAACATTAATGTTCATTAATAAATTTGTTATAACATATTTGTTTATATTGTCTGTATACATAATTAATAATATATCTCTATTTATATACAGTAAATTAATGCATGCCTGTCCGCCTGCCCTTTATGCATTGCCAAGCCATTCATCTAATCGCCATGAAACTTACAGAAGAGGCTCTATATGGGTCCGGGGATGTTTGTATGTTTGTGTGAAATAACATTTTTGAAAACTCCATAGGATTCAATTATGCGAAGTCTAAAATCCTAATATTATTTTGGAAAGAAAGTTTGTTTTCACCTTTACTGAAAACAAAATATGTTATTAATTAAGCTTTAACAACCACCCCTGTTGGTTTACTTTCCATTTGCAATTAGATTTACCATCAAATTCCGCCAGTATCCATTGTTTATGTAAAACTATAAAGTAAATAAGTACTGTACAAAATTAACAGTTTTATTCGCCATGTTGAGTAATATTTCATGCTTTTGTGTTTGATGTACCTATTTGTTTTTATTTTTGTATAATTAAATGTCACATTTTCATACGTTGTCAAAGTGAAATATACGGTATCAGCAATCTGACACACACTTTCTCCCATAAGCTTGTCGACAATCTTTACCGTGCGTTAGCGGTGGGAGTCTATGATATTTTATAGGGAAAAATTACAAAAGTTGTAATAACTTTTTAACCGTAATTATTACAGCAATGGGGGTGGCACTATTTTGTTTGGATAGAATTATAAAGGACCATAACACATTAATTTTAATCAAACCCAGGTTTTTTCCTAAAACTTGATTTTTGTTACGGCCTATTTTCTCTCTTTTTATGGGGGAAAAACATGAGTTACAATAACTTTTGAACTGAAATTTTTACGAAAATGGGATTTGTACCATTTTGTTCAGAATGTAAAGGACTACAACATACAGAAATGGTTGATTATTTAAGAGCGCACAATTAATTGTATGTTGATTTACATTAGGGATGAGCATCGATAGGTCAACCACAACATCGATGTAAGGGTAACATCGACGTCAATCATCGATGTACAGATAACATCGTTGCAAAAACATCAATGTTTTTGGGACTAAAGCATGGATTTTTTTTCAGTTTATCGTCTGCTTTTTGTGATAGTAATGGAAAACATTGATATCTTAATACTTGGCCAAAAACATCGATATCATCCCTAATTTACATTACAGAATTTAAAGTTTATATGTTGACTTAAATCCAGTATGCAGGCTTAATTAATTAATTAATTAATTATTAGTATGTTGTTACTATGTTGTGCTCATTGCACAAGTCATAGTTTATTGTATGTTTGATTTTGTATTTCAGTATGCTGAGTTGGCCAACACCACCTACCCAGCTCTCACCAAGGCAGTGTTCCTTATCTTCATGGTATTGGTGCCGATCTTGCTGCTCAACATGTTGATTGCTATGATGGGCAACACGTACGCTCACGTTATTGAGCAGAGTGAGAAGGAATGGGTGAAACAGGTATCTCTCATAACTACAGGGTTTCATCATAGAAATATATCTTGTTTTGTTTTAAAGTCAAATGAGTAAGTTTTGATTAGACCACATTGAAAAATTAGAAGGAAAACTAAACCTTGAATACCTAATGCTAATGGAAAGCCAAGTGGCTGAAGCATTTTTTTAGGAGTTAAGCATTTAGCAAGCTTATCCGAGAAAGTTAGAGTCCAAGTGCCGATAGATACACAATGCAAAAGTCAGATAACATAACACTGATATTTCGTTCTAATATAGCACTTCTTCAGAGAACAGATTGAAGAGAAGTCTGCTGTTTTGTCTTGAAGAGAAGTCTTGACTGTTTATTAAATGTTAAAGTGCTGTGTTTCTGTGTTCATTTGCGTTATTTTACACCAACATGAGTTAAGTAAAAGCCTTAAAATGAGAATAAAGATTTGGCGTGCTAAATAACTTTAAATCCCCAAAATAGAACCATCTTTGTGCAAACTAAATTTTCTCTTTTTACAACTATTTTGCAATAAAACACCTTGTTATATACCTTGTTGTTGTTGTGTTGTGTTTACCTTGTTATTATTGTTTGCCTTGTTATTGTTGTCTTGTGTAAATACCTTGTTATTATATTACTGTTGGCTCACTACTTTTACCACTTAAAGTTTGTTAAACTTATCTGAAAATTTAATCATAAACTAATTTTTAACATCTGTATCCACGTTTGCCGCAGTGGGCGAAGATCGTGGTGTCCCTGGAGCGTGCAGTGAACCAGTCCGACTGTCAGCAGTACTTGCAGGAGTACAGCATCAAGCTGGGTCCAGGGGACGACCCATCGACGGAGCAGCGAGGCGTCATGGTCATCAAGAGCAAGAGCAAGACCAGGGCCAAACAGCGTAAGGGAGCATTGTCCAACTGGAAGGTGAGGTTGAGGACACTGTTACATTGATCTTACACAGTTTTCAATTACAAGGGGTGTTTTTACAAGCGGCTACAGCCGGTGGATATCCTATAATGAGTCACTGCTATTCCTGTTTTAAGAGATTTTTTTAGGGTTTTTTTTCCATTTGCTTTGAATATTTCATAAGAGAACGAACCAGTCTTTTGTTTGTGTCTTAGATGTTAGGTGTGGACTTATTGACTGCGGCTAAACTGACTAGATCCTGATTCCATTTGGACTTGGTACATATTGAGTACTAATCAGGAAAGAGGTATGTGTACATACAGAAAACATAAATGAAGAATTTGTCGTTTTTTTATAGAAAAGAATTTGAATTTGATTCCTTCAGACTCCCATCTTAAACCCGAGTGTCAAGCTTAGCAATCAGCAACCAGAAATATGTGAAGGAATACTTAAATCAATTGATAAGTTGTTTATTTGTACGGGGAAGACAATCCTCCAAGAATTTTGACTAAATTCTCCAAGAATTCACATTGGGCTGAGTTTAGAAACTGTCTACAAACTTAGGAATAGTCTTTGTCATGTATAGCAGAACATCCTTCTTTTTCAACTCTTTGATAGATGCATTGAAAATTGGTATTGTATCTTGCTTTCTATAGAGTTCAACAAAGAAGTACTCACGAATTAAGAAATAAATAATTTATCCCTACAAATATAACAATTTATTCAAATTCAAAAAAAACTTAGATTTATTAAGCCAGAAAAGCACATGCTCATGGGATATATTTTCAGAGGGTTGGAAAAGTAACCATAAATGAACTTCGTAAACGAGGAATGACGGGAGAACAACTCCGGAGGATCATGTGGGGACGAGCTTCCATCAGCACACCTCAGAAGATATCAAAGAAAAAGAAACTGGCTCCTTACGAGTGAGTTTTGTTCATTCTAATTTCCCTTTCAATCCGAACAGGTTATATGACAAACAAATTAAAAGTAATTTTTCAGTTGCACTGCTTCACTAACTCACAGCTTCATTATATTCTTAACCAGTAACATCCATTTGTTCAACATTCAGCCTTTCATTTTCTAGTTACATGATTATTAATCTGTCCCTTGTGAGGTGCGGCTGGTGTAGTGGCTAGAGCTGCAGATTTCTGCCCTGGAGGCTTTGAATCCAATTCTGGAGGGTATGATTCAAATCCAGCCAGTTACCAACCACTTTTAGCGATGTTATATGGCTTTGATAAGGTGGTTTGAAGTCCACTTTTGGTTTACCTGTTTAAAATAAAGGACTGATCTCTTAGGAATAGAGGACTTTTTCTGTTTTGAAGAACTCCATCGACCAAAAGCCATAACACATATTTTTCAATGTTACCACTAAATTCACAATATCAATTACAATTACATCAAGTGCTTCAGAAAATATCCACTTCATCAAACTCTATGAGATGAAATTAAAGGCATAACTCAAACCCATAGCATTAATTCCTTCTCCGCTAATTTATTTTTGAATCTATTATTAACAATTCTACATACACATCCGTATGATGTTATACTTGTCAACAATTGTCACGTTTTACTGTGCAGGAGTAACCCGTTAGCAGACTTTATGACGGATATGGTGCCTGCAGTGGAGGAGAAACCAGCAGCGCCTGCAGCTCTGGGCGGAGGCTTTGATGCCCTCACTGCTGCTCTGGACGTCATGGCGTTCACCAACGACCTTGACATCACTGTTCCTACTGCTTACTCCGTGGGTGGTATGATCTGACACATGCAATGACAAACAAACTCTTTGTAACATCTGGTAAAGACAGTTAAATTGCTGAAAAATCCCTCTGGAGAGGATTGGCTGTTGACTTTCCAATAAGGAAACACCTTGGAACCACAAGGTGTTCAAGCTGACCAATGCAGATTCAAGCAACAGATGTGGAATCTGCTGAACACTTGTGAACTCTCGCTCTAGACCAGAGAAGGTTGAAATTCCTAGGAAAGACGACTATGATGTTAAGGAAATAAAAGACATGGGTGTTTTACATCTGTTCCAAAAGCCTGGCCAAAAGGCTGATGGACTGAATCTAAGTATACAAAAAGGTCAAAATAGCTAGAGTTGGCTAGTTGAATGTATAACTTAGTTAGTTTATTGGTCTTGTTAATTGATTAAGACTACTCTTAGTATCGATTACGGTTGCAATGTACCCGCACTTGGCAATATAGTACAGGTAAAATAGTTCAAAAACACTCCATATATACAACAAAATTTGTACATTAATGAAATTTCACCTGTAAGTTACTAATAATATAAGAAATGAAGATCCGATGAGTCCCCAAAATTTTGGGCGTCCTAAGGCCCTTTGTGTCTGAATAATTTTGTTTTTACGTTTAAGGTCGAGTGAGGTGTGGTTTTTGATGGTTTTAGTTATTTTAAATCGATTGGGACTAGTTTTAAGTATATTAAACCATTCCATACAGGGTGTTTCGAAATATTATTACTTTTTACAATATTTAAAGATTTATTCATAAAGTAATAAAATTAGTTACCTCCATGCTCTATATAAAAGGGGATTATTGAAAATAACTTTAATTCTTTACGATATAAGAGGGAAGGATCAAAAGGAGTAATAGAAAATATTAAATACCCCTGTCACTGCAAACCTGCAGACTAAGCGAATTTTCATTCCTAATTAAATCTAAAATAGCATTGAGTTTAATGAATACTTAGGTTTGCTGCTACAAGGAGGCTAATAAAGTTTGTTTATAGTAAAATATTAATAGCCTAGTATAAAACAAATAAATTTGACAAGTTTTATTAAGACATATCTATAAACAAACAAACAATCATTTATACTATTCTCCTTAAGAACAACATGGAATTTTAAATTTACAATTTTTGAATTTCATTCGTAACTAATACACTTACAAAACACGTTAATATACTAAATTATTTGTTTTCTTAAAGCTCTTTAAAATGCTCTAGAGAAAAAATGGGAAACGTTGTGTTTTGAGGGTCAAAGATTACAAATTTTTACCACATAAAACCCTGTTCCATGGACCGATTATGCCGGTTTTGTTAAAATTTAACCAAAATTACTTGAGCTATCATATTTACGGACACATGTATAACATGGATATATTATATATATGTATATAAACACATATATAATATTTTGAGTGGATGGTGCTTTAGGCTTCTGGGGGCATCGAAATAAAAACGTAAATCGGTTTCGGGTCTATGTTTTACCATAAGACCTTCGGTAATAGCTTATTTCCTATTTGGGAAGTTAAAGGGGGATAAGTTATCCCCATTAAGGAGGGTTAGGTTATATGGTGGGTAAAAGGGTATATATTAAGTTTTACACTATAACATAATAACATAGGTTACTACGCAAAAATTTCAACTTTTAAGTTGGTGTGAATAATCTTTCAATGTGTTTTTTATGCAAATCTATTACGACCAATTTCAAATTGATATGTTTCTTAGGTAGTTATTTAAGTTATTTTTTTTACATTTATTACAAGTTAAAACAATTAGGCTATTGTATTTGTATACAACCTTACATTAAATATTAAAATGACTTAAACTAAAAATTTACTTAAACTAAAGCTATTTTTCTACAATTTCCGTAGTATCTCTCTTTACAATTTCATCATCACAATAATTATTCTCGGGCGACTCATTAGCAATTTTATTATTCTTAGCAACTTGTCCATCTTTACTGATTTTGTCCAAGTTGGTGTTCAAGCAGGATTCCCCTTTACAAGCCTTGCATATTGCAGAACAGGCAACACCAATCTTAAAGCACGAACAATGTGGTGCAAAAACACCTTTCATACATACTGACGTTTGCAACTGGTATCTTAAGTTCCTCAAAATTATTTTTAATCAATACAAATACGGTTGTCTTTGATGGTTATGACGACCAGGACAGCACTAAGACATCAGAGCAGCATCGTCGGTACAAACATTTTTGTCCTGAACAATGGGAATGAGGTTTATGGGGTAAAAATTTAGTTTTCTCATTTACTGTACCCTCAAAACACAAAGTTTCTAAATTTTTCTCTAGAACATTTTAAATTGCTTAAAAACAAATAATTTAGTATATTAATGTGTTTTTGTATGGTTATTAGTTACGGATAAAAATACTAAAATTGTAAATTTAAAATTCCAATGTTATTCTTACGTAGAATAGTGTAAAATTATTTTGTTTGTTTTTTAATAGATATATCTTGATCAAACTTGTCAATTTTAGTCAGTTTTATACTAGGCTATTAATATTTTACTATAAACACACTTTATTAGCCTCCTTGTAGCAGCAAACCTAGGTAATCAAACGCAATGCTATTTTAGATGTAATTGAAAAACAAGTAAGTAAAACGGAAATTCGCTAGGTCTGCAGGTTTGCTGTGACGGGGGTATTTAATATTTTCTATTACTCCTTTTGATCCTTCCCTCTTATATCGTAAAGAATTAAAGTTATTTTCAATAATCCCCTTTTATATAGAGCATGGAGGTAACTAATTTTATTACTTTATGAATGAATGTTTAAATATCGTAAAAATTAATAATATTTTGAAACACCCTGTATGGAGTGGTTTAATACACTTAAAACTAGTCTCAATCGACTTAAAATAACTAAAACTATCGAAAACCACACCTCAATCGACCTTTAACATAAAAACAAAATTATTCAGGAACAAGGGCCCTTCGGAACAGAAAGGGATCCAAAAAGGGCCTTAGGACGCCCGAAATTTTGGGGACTCATTGGATTTTCATTTCTCATACTATTAGTAACTCACAGGTGAAATTTCATGAATGTACAAATTTTGTTGTTTATAAAACCCTATTTTACCTGTACTAATAGTCTAAGAAAATTCTGTTAGCAGTATTGTACTGTAAATGGTAAAGATTCCTTACAGCAACTACTTTTTGTCAATTACCACTTTGCCGTTGGGCCCTCATAGAAAAATGTTCAACTAATTATCTTTTTGGAGAAACAATTTCTTCCTTATTTTATTTTTGATCCATGTATTTAATTTATATGTTAGGTTAAACTGCAAAAGCAACAACATGTCTCGATTCCCACAAATAAGGAAAACATGTTTCTTCTTTAATGTCTGAGTAGACAAGTGTTCGGTTGTATTTTCTTTTTTTAGCTTAAGTTATTTAATACAATTCACATTTTTGTGCTAGATGGCGGACCTCCGGCAGAAGATCCGTTCTTGGAGCTGTTCTTGACAGCTGAGCAAGAGGCCATCGACGCTGCTCATCTGGCAGCATTAGCAGAGAAGGCAGTGGCTGCGGCAATCACGGTAATGTATTGTGAGATTAAAATTCCCGGCACACCCACAACACATGGGCCACATTGGTTTTGACCGCTTTCTCTAAAAGCGTTTAAGTTTAAGTTCGTCCTCCTCTAATTCCTCCAGTAAAAATGCCAACAGCGTAGACAGCAAAGAAAAATAAATTAAACAAAAAAAAACACAACGATCAACACATTATCAAAACAAATGTGATGGAGGACCTTTTACCGTACTTCTTCATTTGCAAAAAAGTTGTATGGAATAAAGCTATGTAATGTTTTTCAAAGGCAAAAGTACAATAGGGGAAACTACTTTGATTCTAGTATTAAGAATTCCAACCATTGAATAATATAAGTGAAATAATAATTCCAGGAGCCAGTACCAGTTAAGGCACCTGAACCCCCTCCAGTAGACCCTGTGTTGCTGGAGGCTCAGGCTACGTTGGAACAAGCTGCGGCCCTGGAGCCCAGCGACAGCGACGGACTAGGAGGTATGCTACAATAATACCATGAAACTTGTAGGTTTCACATTATTTTTTGTCTTTATAATGAATAAAAAGTATTTCTTTTCTTTTAAGTGAGGCTAGTTACTTACCAAGAATACTCCCATTGCATCAAAACTGTCAGTGGCGTAGAAGTAATTTTCTAAAAAGTACGTAACGCTCACCATTTCTTGGAGAAAACATGGGTCGTCAGTGTATTAGGGTTTTGGAAAAAGTAGAGAGGGAATGCTGTTTGCGCTCCACTATACCACAGAAACCTGCACACTATGTAAATTCTAGTTCATTTATCGGGTTTTTATTCAAACAGGTTATAATGATAAAAGGAAATCGAGTCCTAGATTGACGTCCATTATAAGTGGTGTTGGGTAGATGAGTACTACAATGGTTGAATCACTCAACTAAACAATTGTCTATGTAGTTTTGAAATTTAATTTTGAAAAATATTACCATACATTTTTAAAACTTCAGCAGTGAATTGAATGAATGTGAATTGATTAAAATCTTAAGATTTTCCTACTGCAAGAGTTACTGATGACCACCTGAATCACGTTTAACAGCGACTCTTTAGAGAATCTATTTCACATGAGTAGATGAGTTACGTACAAAATTCTGTATTTTGTTTGCTATTAAAGTTTTATCTCAAAGAAAACATACATTGATTGTTTGCTCTCTCAACAAATTTAAGATTTTGAGTTTCCACACACCAGATGGACCGCTGCTCGGGCGAGGTTCTCGTGTGAAGCGTGTCAGGTCGGCTCATCAGCGGGCGGCCACTGCTCAGTCTTCTGATCGCCAGCTGTTATTCCGTCGTCACCAAGGCAGCGACTCAAGTTCCAACACCAGCAGCGTAGACTACGACCTTGTGCCTGCGTCTTTGCTACGGCTTACATCACCTCCACAGGGCAAACCTGTTAAAGCTCCTCGCAGCGTATCTGCTCAGCCCACCAAGCCGAGACCAAGACCTAAGACCGCTCGGGCAAACAGGTCAGTTCTTGGTAGAAATTAATTCTACACAAAGTAAGAGTTTAGTTGAGGAAGATGTCTTATTTCTTCACAGTAGCTTTGTTTCTGACCAAGATCAGCGGTTTTCTTTACTACAATTATTTAAAGCACACTTATCAAGGAGAGCTGGGGCCCAGTTTTGGATTTTTTTGTCAGCATCAATCTATAACAAGGAAATTTTGAACAATGAAGTCTTAAACTCACAAGGAAAATGTATCTCTTAACCCCTAAAATGGTTGAGAACTGGGGGACCAAACTTGCATTTTTCAAATCAAATCAAAATATCCTTTATTCATTTAAGTACAATTGTACAGGAATAGAGTCAGATCTTACAAAATAAAATGTTTTCCATTTAAGAACTAAAAATAAGACAGAATATCTATTTTATTTGTTCTCCCAAAACTCTTCAAGAGAATAAGGGGCAATTTTAATCAAATACTGTTTCAGACAATTTTTAAACTTTTTTGTATCATTTTCAGTTAGAAGTATTTTTGGAAGATGGGACATAAATTTATTTCCTGCGAATTTTGTTTTCTTTTTATAAAATTCTAGATTGTGTCTATCAATTTGAGATTGAGAACGAGTGTTATAATTATGACTAATTTTGTTTGATACCTGAGTTTTTGTAATATTTTTTGGATAAATAATAGTTTCCAAGATATATAGTCCATGAACAGTTAGTATTCCAAGATCGGTAAAAATATGTTTTACCGAATCTTTCCTTTTCAAATTAAACATTGCCCTAATTGCCCTTTTCTGGTACGATAGAATCCGTTTTAAGTTTTTTGATGTAGTTGCTCCATATATACTGATTCCATAAGCTAAATTAGAATGAACTAAGGCATAATATATTGATATTAATGTTTTTAAGCTGCAAACTTTATACATTTGTCATTTGTCTTAAAGCAGATACTCCTGAAGACATTTTTTTGATAACATGATCAACATGTTTGTCCCAGGCTAGATTTTTATCAATTATTAAACCAAGAAATTTTGTATGTTCTACCAGTTGTAATTTATAATCTTCTAAGATTATGTCTGGATTTAATTTGTTTTTGTTTTGTTTTGTAGAAAATGATACAAAATTAGATTTTTCAGGGTTTAAAAGAAGGTTTTTGCTATCTAAGAATTTTCTTATGATGGAGAGACTGACCAATGATGATGCCTCAATACTTTCTTTTGAATTTCCACAAATGGTAATATTAGTATCATCAGCATACAAACAGGCCGCCCCGCCCACAGGCATCAAGTCAGGCAGACCCCTCAAGTATATTAGCAACAAGAGGGGCCCCAACACCGACCCCTGCGGAACTCCATGGCGGGCCATCTGCATCTGTGAATTAAACTTTTGGATGTAATTATATTTACTTGAGAAATCTGATTTATAATGTTCTATCTCAACATATTGTTGCCTAAGAAATAGGTAGGATCTAAACCAATTTAATTCTTTGTCATGAATACCTAATTTTGATAAAGTGTCAATAAGATTTTCATGCGATACACTATCAAATGCCCTTGTTAAATCAAGAAAAATGCCAATTACTTTTTCTCTCTTATCCACTGCATTTATTATACTTTCAATAAATTCAATAACTGCAGTGACTGTCGATTTGCCTGCTTGAAATCCATGTTGTTCTGAATCCATTAAGTTATGTTCATTTAAAAAATCCATCAATTGTATAAAAACAACTTTTTCTAAGATTTTTGAAAAAACTGGAAGAAGTGAAATTGGTCGTTAACAGGAAACATCGTTTGGTTCCCCTTTTTTGAAAACTGGAATAATTTTTGCTATTTTGAGTTTATTAGGAAAAATGCCTGAAATGAGAGAAGAATTTACTATATGTAAAAGAGGTTTTAAAATAGCAGGAAGAACTTTTTTAACAGTAATAATTGAAACATCATCATAGCCAGTAGAATATTTGTTTTCAAAAGATAATATTAATTTTTCAAGATCTTTCTCATCAATTTGCTTGAATTTGAATTTATTAATGGAAATTAAATGCTGAGAATGCACCACACTATCTTTTCCTTGAAGAATTTTAGGAAGAACAGAATTATCAACCACAGACACAAAGAAATCATTGAAACTATTACTGACCTGGAGAGGGTCAGTAATAAATATACCATCTCTCAAAATATCAATGTTACATTTTGAAACCTTTTTGTTGTTTACCTCTGAGTTAATTAATTTCCAAGTTTGTTTTGCTTTATTCTTTGCATTATTTACTTTTCTATCAAAAAAAATTTTTTTTTCCTTGTCAATGCATTGCTTTAGTTCAGCTTTCAACTTTTTAATGGTTACCTTAAGACTTTCATTCTTACTTAATCTAAATAAAATTTCTAATTCTTTAATCTGTTTTGCACCCAAGTTGGAGAAGCTAACCGCTTGACTACCAAAATATACCTAAATTATCGTTTATATTTTCTTCTGAAGGATGTTTAATATCTGAAAAGTGGTAACTGAATGTGCTGGGAGGTCAACTGAGTGACTAAGTTTAGCCAATGAATACTAAACGTATAAGAAACGCAATGCCTTTGAAAATGATTCAGTCTGGTAAAAATTCAAATTTCGGATAGTTCCCGCAGCGGCCGCTAGGTATAATATCGGGAGCGCGCGGCCAAGTCAGCTGACTGAGATCGAGATCCAAGTGAGACAAAGAATCGGCTTAAAGAGAGAGACAAGGTAGCGTGGCTGCTGTGCGAGCGATCGTAGCAGCGGCAAAATTTCAGTCTATTCTCTATCAGCATTTAGCTTCTTAAAGGGTTTGTATTCATTGGTTTAGCTGCTGACACTAGGGCATTGATACCCTAGGTATGCCTGATTAGTGATTGCTAAAGAAACAATTTATCAAAATTTGTTGTGCTCAATTAGTGAATAGCAATATTGGAAGCCCTTTTCTTGTTTGCATTGTACAACCAATCAGACCTTATACCTGTGGATGTCTGCAGGGTAGCACCATCGCTGGATGTCTCAAGTAGACGAGGGGCGTCGGCTACAACAGCTGTGCCCACCCCTCCCCCTCAGTCCCCCCCTGACCCTCTGGAGCCATGGAGTACTAGAGGCATCACCAACATGAACACCATCCTAGCCTGGCCTCAGACTGAGGAGGATAACAGCCTGTAGCTGACCCTGCATCAACTTGTATGTGTCGTTCTAGCATAGTTATTATTCATTTTTTTGACAAACTTTGAGTATTATTTTGCAAAACTTTAAAATGACAAGAGGATGGTATGGTAATTTTTTTTTAGTTATATAGCTTTCGTCAATTTCAATTTGTTGGACCCCTTCAGTATTGAAAGAATTATTTGTTATGAATACTATACTTTTGCTAATTTTAAGATCAAATGAATCAGTAATGGTTATTAAGGTGGCACAATGTTATAATTATATAGTAACTTTCAGTACTAAAAAACGATCTAACACATTATTGATGACTATCCAAATATTTATTTGCTTTCCTGTTTAACCTCACCTGAAAGTCAACCCAACTGTTTTATAAGAAAATGTGTTGTGTATTTTTGAGGTGTCCATGTATACTATCTGGTTTGTGTTTTAGTAAGGGGTTAAAAAGTTAAACATAAAGCTTTAATTAAAAAAAGTTTAGTTAAACCGATTGGCAATTTGTTTATTCATTTACTTACATGCATTAATTAGATATAAATTACCCCACATACAATATTTAACAAGGTCAAGTTATAGTTCAAAAACATATCCTCTTACTAGCTGTACCCGCGGGCTTTGCCCCATTTAACTTCATAAGTGAGCTCGTTCGCATGGCTCAATCACGTCCTGGTTGAAGTTCGTTCGCTACGCTCACTCACCTTTTGGTTACAAATTAGCTGTTGTCATAAATGTAAAAGAAATAATAGTGCTGCACCCTGTTGGTAATCCTTGTAACTTTAATGCTATTGAACATCATAGAACAGAACCAACTTGTTTAATTGAAACAGCGGTTAAGATTCATTAATTCCATTTAAATATGAGTACTCATAAGGTTAACATGGGAAACTCCAGAGCCACTGGGGCGGAGCCCAGAGGTCGGAGGGTAAAATCCTTTCTTAGTGAGCGTCTACTACCCAAAAGGAAGATGCCTGCTAAGTTTGGTTCCTAGGTCTTATGATGGTTTCTGAGATTTCGTGATGAGTGAGTGAATGGTATTTGAGCTTTATATATATAGATAGGTAATCTAAATAGAAGTGTTAAAAATATTATACATTCAGCATAATATTCCAAAATCAATTGTTCAACAAAAAAATATTGTAGGCCTACTTTGAGGAAATAAACAACTGCGATGATTAAGTAAGAAAAAACAAATTTTAGCGAATTTCCCCTACAAAGAATCTATTACCATAGGTGACATAAGGCTTAGGTCTGGGACCAATTTACTTTTTCATTTTGATGTCCCCAGAGGCCAAAAACACAATTTGTTCAAATATTTATTTATAAGTATAATTTTTAAAACATGCCCAACTATAAAATATAGTCACCCTAATCACTGTCATTTCTGTAATATATAGGACGTTCAAAAAAGGTTGGGACATAATTTACATAGGCCAAGTGATTCCTTGGGTTAAAATAAGAAGAAAATCTAGGATATTTTTTTTCTAATTTGATTTGTTAATCAAACATCTGCCATTAATATTTTTCCCTAAACATTTTTATCTTTGGATTGTTTCAACCGATCTTTATGAAACTTGGTTCGTATGTAAAGGTAGAAGGGACCCATGTTATGTTAGAAAAAAATATCTTGGGCCATAACTGTACAAATTTTATTAAATCAGCCATTTATTAAATTTAATTACAAAAATTGGACCAAGATATATTTTAAATATTAATGAAGAATAGGCTATAAGCTGTATAAGAGTTTAAACGAGACCTACAGATCACAGCTGGTCTAGAGGTTTAAAACATTGAGTAAAGTATTCTGGTATAGAGGCTATAAAAGTTAACAGATTAATATAAGGTAATTTATTGCAACATTACATTCATTACAATTGCAGCAGAAAAGAAATAATAAAAGCTTACACAAAACATTTAACACTTTGTAAAATACTTGATTCAATCAAGCTGAACAAAGAACATTTAAATCAATTTTTGTGAGACTGAAGACATTTGAACTAAGTAGTTTAATTTGATTTATCATATCATTTCACAGAGACTTCTCTCTCTTATAAAGGATGTCCAAACAAGGCAAAATGGCAATCACTTTAATTTTTGTAGGAGTCAAACTACTATAAGAACACCATTTTAAAATCATATTGAAGATCACATATTTAGGCTGTAAACAAACCAAATAAGGCCATGACGGTAAAACTTTGAACTGTTGCCTATATAAACTTTAAAAACACTAACAATTATTATCACATTACTTTAGTTACAGTTGAAAATGATATTTTCATAGTTGGTTAAGTAAGTAAATCTCTACCAATAAACATATAAAAAACATAAAAATTAATTCTAAACATTTTCATTGATAGATTCAATAAATTTTCTCATTATGTTAGAAGGTCACTCGTTAAATGCCAAATGTATCCTCTGTTTAAGGTTTGTAATCACTAAACATCACAAAGTATACAAATTATTTTTTTATATGTTTGTACACAAATATAAATACTTATTTCATATAACATATTAATAAATAAAACTTTATTAATAATATAATATGAAGATATAACACTCAGACTAACGCTACTGGAAAAGTAAAGAAGGTGAGTGAGTAGGAACTCCACCCATGCTACGAGCTCTGGGCAGACATCGCTCTAAAACAAAGATAAAAAAAAATTTATAATTTCACTTATCAATAAATTTAAAGCATATTTCCGAGACTCACTTATCAAAGAAATGGTAGTTGTAAACAAAATATCATACAAAAGATCATTTTTAAAATCTTTGTACCAATTAATATTAAAAGTTAGATAATAAATCTAATACAGTTTTAATTTGTTGTACTAGTCATGCTTCTTATCTATCATAGTTCTTATCTATGTAAGTTATGCTTCGTACTATCATTGCTTCTTAGTATGTAAATATATTTAAAAGAGATGTTTATCTCTTATTGACTTTGTTCTTTTATAATCCAAAACTTACAACAGTTCGTTAGCAGAAGGAGGTAGTGGGGCGTATTCTTCAAAAATCATTGCACATTTGTCGTGGTTTATGAATTTCTTCTTCTTCTTAGTCTGAAACCACAGGCAAAAAATGCATCAATAATATAATACTTTTTTTCACTAGTTAAAATTACCATTTAATTATTTTATGTTTCTAAACACAGTTCGTCTATAATTTTAAGATATATAAATATTACATTGACCACTTAACTCTTTGTTAATAATGTATATTACATAAAGGCAAGCAATGGTCAGAGATACATTGTTATATTTTAATGATAATAGAATATTAATATTGATTAAATAACGAGAAACATAACTGTTAAGAAATAAATGCTTTAATATTATCTTAAGAGTCTTCATCACTCGCAGAATAGTTGCGTTGGGTTTTGGGGGTGCGGCCTTGGGGGGGGGGGGGAAGAAGGTTGTGTGGATTGGTAGGTAGCGCAGGGTCATTATACGTGCCATTCTGAAAACATCCAAACACACGACTACTTAAGACTCTGTACCTACACACACGCAGCGGCGAACTTCTCTACCTTTGGAAAAAATTTCAACGAATGGTGTTTTTGGCTTCTGGGGACATCGAAATAAAAAAGTAAATCGGTCCCGGGCCTAGGTCTTACCGTGTCACCTTTGGTAATAGCTACTTCCCTAAAGGGAAATTCGCTAAAAGACATGTTTTGCTCTTTTTTAGAGGAGTGATGAAGACTCTTAAGCTGATCTGTAAGAACGATAAATGTATCAGGATAATCCATGATACCACAAAACATTTCTCCACCATCTTATCTTATCTTGTCTAAACATACCTTGATAAAAGAAGAGCTGGTGGATGGCATGCCTGGTGCGGGGATGGGTTTCTCATCACTACTGCTGCAAGACGAAGGGAAATTCTCCTCCAAGGTCAACTTCTTGGACAACCCTTCCAAGTCCACATACAGCTGGTCCAACTGCTCATTCACCAGTTCAGGCTGTCATGGCACACCCATACAGGTTAATACGAGTACAATCACAGTATTAAACGATTTCCTTTTTATAGTAAACACCTTATACTTTACTATAATACCTTAACACATTACTACAACACCTTACAATACATTTGAGTCCCACAAGTCCAAAATAATTGGAGCCAAACATGTTTGGATTAGCAAAATAAAGTCACTGTGGAGTTTGGTCTCAATGACTAGATTGCATTATAAGACATTAAACATCTGACAAATCAAGAATTCCTGGTCAAGTAAAAAGCAATTTAAACGCTGTAACAAGGTAAAATCAATTGATAAACACAAGGGTAATAATAGCAGTATTTTCAAGCAACGTTAGCAAAGCATTGCTTCTTTAAATTGTTTTGGTTAGCTCAAAGTTCACTAATAATATCTCTTAGATGGCGTTTTTTTTTGTAAGTTTGGTGTAAAGTTTACAATATGAATCCTAAGTATGTATGCAAGTAAATTGCCTGTTAAAATTTGGGAAGTATGGTATTTCAGACGCGTAGTTAGACAAAAAAACTGGGTACCTCTGAAAATTATATTATATTATTGTTTCTTCATATAAATGTATACGAAAAACTTTCCAAAAAAATTGATTCCTTTACTTTTCTTGGTTTAACACGTTCGCTGCTACGGACGTTCCGGAACGTCAGCCGGGCCACGGCGCCAGGAGCTAAGAACGTTCCAGAACGTCACCGTTCATTGTTGTTTAACGTTGCTATGGATAAGCCAGCACGTCACAAGCGTTCTATATTTTTTTGCAGCTCGTGGGGACGTACTTTTCTAACAATAAAAAATATAGTTTCCCAAATCACCACCAGGGTCGTTTGGAACAGGGCTTTGTTTTACCTCTTTCCTGCTAGATAGCGACATTACTCTACCGACTGTAACCTGGGTAGTGCTGCTATCTATCAGAATCACTTAGTACTATATCTAAAGCCAGTTTTATTGCAGAACATTGCCATCCAGTATAACTACTGTTGTTTTTATTGTAATTCAGTGTATAGGTGGCAATGTCACGCAGCGGCCGAGCGTTAGTTCAGCAACTGGCGCCGTCCCGGCATCTAGCGCTCAGCAGCGAACGTGTTAAGAATGATATAAGAGTAATTTCCCTAAGCATGGTTTAGGTTATGCAGAAAATATACGCTGACAAAAGAGTCATAACATATGTTAGTCAACGGATCATCTAAACTAGCACATTACAAATACAGAACAAAAGGGAAGAACAATTTGATTAATATAGTTGAGCATAATTTACTACAAAATGAATAGGCCTAACTAATTAGGGTCGCCAGAATTAGGCTAATGCCCCATTGACTTTAGATACTCCAAATAGCCATTCCATTTATGTGAACCAAATATACCATTGATTTTTGATACTGCAAGTAGACATCCCATTTATGTGAAGCAGATGCACAATCGACTTTAGATACTTTAAGTAGACATCTCATTTACGTGAGCTTCATTTACCTTTGTCTTATGACACTGCAAGTCTTTTTAGTATACATCCCATTTACCTTAATGTAGCATATAATGTAGCGTTGACTTAAGAAAAGTATTTGATTGATATGCAAGCTCTGCTCAATATAGCAAGCAGACAACTGTGATGTACACCTAGTTATTTTGCTTTATATAATGTACAAATTCAGTTAAAATATACATTTACTGAATCACCTCCTTTACATTGGACAAAAGATGTTAAGTTATGTAATTTGCCTCAGACATATTTATTTTCAAAAGTTAATAGATTTACCACACCAAGTACGAATAAAAGTAACAGATTAATATAAGGTACCTAATTTATTGCAACATTACATTCATTACAATTGCAGCAGATAAGAAATAATTAAACATCATTTTAAGATAAGAAAACATCAATTTAAAGCATATAATCAAGAAAGCATTTAATGTATATAAATGGGTATTTTTTAGTGAAGTATTATATTTTAATATTCACGCTCATTGTTTAAAATCACCTGCAAAATAACATGGACTCCATGCATAGAGAATAAGTTATCAATACTAAAACTTTATTATTAGTCTATGAAATCACCTGATTGTACTTGAGGAGAGTTTCAAAGTCTGACTGCAGGACTTGACTTAGTATAGAACCACCCAACTGGTATCGCAACATGAGATCTGGCGTAACTTCTACGTTCTCCATCCAAGAGGGCTCCTGAAGAATAAAGGAAAATAGAGTTAGTTTTTATATTTACAAAACTTAAACGAGTACATGATAACTTAAAGAGCATTTTGTTGTAAAAAAATTAAACGAAACAGCATTTAGTTTACCATCCTATTATATGAAAAAGTGGTGTTAAATGTGAATTGCTGAGTGTAAATATCCAATTTATCGTAGAAATGGGTGGGAGAATTTTGTTCACTGGCATCAAGGTAGCCTATAAGATTAATTGACATTTCTGTGTCCTCTGATTTATATTAGTTTATGGTAGTACAGATGAATACATTGAGGATTATGTTTTAATTTTGAACATGTTTTATGAAATAAATCGGTGATTACAGATTAAAGTATCCATCATGTTTAGAAAATAAAAGTAATAATTGGAGCTATACCAACTAAACCCTTTAAAAACTGGAAACATTTTAGTTTGATGTATTTTACCTAACATCCAGTGTTATAAAGCCAAAATATGACATCTTTCAAAAAGTAACTTTAGCTGCAAACTAAACTAACTAATACAAACAATTATTTAAAGTCAACTAATAACTATATCTTTTCTTAAATAATTTTAAAAGTTATAAATGTTTGAAGAACCAGTCAAAGTATTTACCTTGCGGACAGTTTTCGGTGTCTTTCCTGTTGATCTTTGTTCAGAGTTTCTCCAGTTCTAAGGGACAAACAAATTATTTTAATGCGGATAATCAATACTCGGAATATAATAGTAGGCTACAATTAAATAAAAGTGAAAGAATGAACAAATATATCAAAATGATCTGTAATAATCTTATAACCCGCCGAAGGTGGTTTTAATTTTTGATTTGGTCGCCCGTTGATGAGCGATTAGATCACCATCAATCATATCGCCGGTCGAAACATATTTTTTGTTCCAGGAGTCAGGTGATATCATGTGGCAAACGAATCAGAGTTTGTTGATCAGTGTGAGAATGGAGCTTGAATTTACAGAACAAAAACAACAATATTACATTAAATATTCATAATGAATCAACAGTTGTTTTAAATACAGCAAAATGAAATTATAAAGATTATAATACTACATCAGGTAACACCAGCCAGACATCAGTGCATAGAGAGAATATCGATCAAGATGATAGCTCGGTCCCACACACTTGGCGATCTTTTCACCCAACGATCTCCGAATCGCCAGCAAATTGGTGGATTGCAAGGGAAAATCGAGCAATCAGGAAGTCGCCGGGCGATGTCAAAATCACTGGCGATCCAATTGAAACACCCCCATACATGGCGATATTTAGGCAATATGGTCGCCAGTCATCTAATCGCTCATTGAAGGCGACCAAATCGCATAATGTATGGAGGGAAAAACAATACACTTGTCCAGAGGAAAATTCTGTGCAATCATCTCTCAACACAATCTCACTATCACTAACAAAAAAAACTATTTTACCTTATATTCTTCTCCAGTCTCTTTTTCTTGTGAACCTTTCATGCTGTCGTCGGATTTTTCAGTCTTAAGAAACAGCGAAGAGTAGGAGCAGTAGCTGGTGTCATCATGAGTCAGACTAAACAGACCATACATTGAATATTATGGAAACATTTCATAACTGCTCTCTGTTCAGGGAATTAATCATTAAAATAATTCATTTATACAATCTTTCAACAAATTTTATGTCTGTGTACAATAGGTGATTTGAAATACGGGAGATTAAACCATTTTGTTAATAAATTTTTACTATTGTGGAAGTTGCACTAGTAAAGTGTTCCATTGTGCACTCTATGTACTCTATGTTTCAAACACAAACTCTTTAAAATGTCCGCTTTATAAACTCACAAAATGTGAATTTTGCATTTTGCAATGCTTCAAAAACATTTGTTTAAATACTGTTATGATTAATTAATTAATTTGATAATACTTTAATAAGTTTATTATGATTTTTGTGATGAAAACGTTGATACTTAAACATTAAGTATTCATCTAATGGATAATTTTTATCAGAAAAATTCTACACCGGTTCCTTTTGCTCCCCAACATTTTTGGAGTTTTTATTTTACAAAACAAACAATACATTCCCCCCCTAATTTAAAAGCTTGTCAATAAAGTACAACATAATTCATGAAAGCACTTATAAATACAAATGAATCTTGGGTAATAAATAATTTTGGAAAACAATTTTGGAGCAAATTCTCTATCCCTTATGTCTTGTCTCTTGTCTATACAATGTAACTTAGACTAGTACAGTAGAACCTTGATAACAAGACTCTCATGTGGATTGTAAAATAAGACTTGTTATCAAGGTTGACTTCTTATCGAGGTTGGTAATAACATGTAATTAGGGGTAAAATAATTTTAAGGGGATTTTAAAATCACATTTGTTATCAAGGGCTACTTGTTATCGAGGGTCTTCTTATCAAGGTTCCACTGTAGTATAAACTAATCCATCTTTGAGAATGCAAAACACTGTCCAAGAAGAAATCCATTTATTTATAACCGTTTTTTAATTGAAAATTCTTTTTACTAACAACTGTTTTTTAAACTTCAACCTTTTCAATTCAGTTCTTAGAATAATTGAAAAGACTCACTTTACAGTATTGTTTTGTTACTTTATAGTACAAGTTGGGCCCTATGAGGTTCAATAATTGAGAGAAAATAAGTAAAAAAATTGTAATACTTTTGAAGTCAACTTATCAGCTGTTAAGACCAATTTATTTAAAACAATGAGTGAGGGGTTGGGACAATCACAATCAGAGGTAATGAGAGTTTATAAACAAAAACATTACCTCTCTAAAAAGTTATTAGTTATTTTTAGTAATTAAAAACGGTCGTAGGTAAAGTAGTATACGCAACTCTCGTAATTAGCATTTACGATACTCGTAGAAGTTTTAAATTTTCTACTTGTGTCGTAAAGACTATCCTTTGGCGATTGTTGTGTAAACTACTATTAAGTTACACTTGTAATAACAGGCTGATTGGGTCAAGTGAATAACTATCAATATAGATAATTAAATTACGCATACAACTTATCAAGTATGGTATATTAAGAACATATTTTGATGTGTTACTCATGATCAAAAGTGCCAGTTTTCGATTTCCCAGTTTGACTAGTAAATCCTCCAGGAGAATAAACTGGCGAGCTTGCTCTAGACTTGTTCTCTTTTTTCGAAGAATCCGACATCGCCTAGACAAAACGGGACAATCAGACGTAACGTACTTAAAAATAATTCATAACATCCTGAGAATGAACTAAATGAAGATTAACACATTTGCACATCATACTTACACAGGTTTAACAATTAGCAGAAAGTTAATTGTTACATCTAAGTCTAATATAATTAATATTGCTCAAGAGGTTATATCAGAGAAAAAGCAAAGAAAAACTAGTTATGGACAGTAAAAAGTACAAAGTAGATAACCAAAGAGATAGCAAAGAATTATGTCATTATTTGGTATACTGTCAGAAATACTTGCTGGAAAAATCACCATTTTAAAATTAGAAATTTTATGGCCAAAAGATAAGTTAAAACTGATTTATTTGTTACAGTATTCAAATGTTGCAAATAAAACATCCTGAACTTGGACGTTTAATATAAAAAAAATATTTAGATTAAAAGCAAGTTTTAGAAACTGTTCATTCAGAAGGTTTAACATTTCATTCATATGTAACAGTCTACAAACTTTAAAAGAGTACCCATGTTTAAGAGTTTATAGTTAACCCATATTTAAATATTATTTTTAAATGAGATTTGGTTGGTGACAGATTTTTTTTGTAAGTGCCGGATGTTAGTTGTATAAAATCCCTTTAAAAAATACATTACATTATTTCTGTATTCTGAACCCAGATTATAACCTATAAATTTGAGCTGGTGATATTTATTTTAATTAAATTTGTACTAGACACATAACATTTGGATGCATATTAATAAGATAAAGACATCAGAACCACTTCTAAAAGTTGAAATAACTTTTATACATACCAATCCATGGCAGAATTGTCAGTCAGGTAAAAAATACAATTAAAAGTTGACTGCTTCAAATGCTAAAAATGCATAGAAGCCATTGAAATAAATAATCAACTTGTGCTACTTTAGACCTGGAGTTCCATCTTTAAATGATTAAAAAACAAATGAAATTATCAAAGGTACCAAATTTAAATAAATCCTGCTAGACCTTAAAATCGAAGAAAATACAGCCTTTAGAATCCAACTCTGTCAAAAATAATACTGAAATATTAGACTTTTTAAAGGTAGACAGTTCTACAATCATGCATTAAGATAATAAGAAAATGAAAACAAGTTATGAAGTAGGGTTACTAATTTTGTAAAGAGTTTCTCTTTTACGAGGAAAAACTAAAAATAAAGAAACTGCAATGATTTCTGGCCTAGGTCATGTATAGTGTCCACAATTTCTAAATTATTTAAGGATTTTGTGAGGAAGTAAGATTTGTAGAGTTACAAAGAGTAATAGAATAAGCTACAAGTGTAGATACAGATTTATAAAGGTTTGTCAAACTATATATAAAAAAATCTTATACATTTGTCGAATCATATTTTTTATTGTTCCAACTAAAGCCTTTGTATGATTTCGAAATCAATGATTAGTTTGTTAATGTTATCTATTTGAAAAAGATCACAAAATATAACACCAACAACTCTAATCAACAGATAATGGTCATCAATCCCTTTTACAAAAAAAAGGATTTGGTTCTCATCCAAAATCCATATGTTTAAAATAGAATAAGAAATAATGAGATTAATTATTTATGGTAATACGTTTCTGAAAAAGTGAAAAGTAAAAAAAAATCATACCATATTAATGGAATTATATATAAAATATTGCAATAAGAAACTCTGTTAATAGGAATTATGCAACCTACTACAAGGATTGTAAAGATACCCCCGCCGCAGCAAACCTGCAGACTAAGCGAATTTCCATTTGCCTGATTGGATTTACACTAAAATGTCTCCTTAAAAATATCACATTTATTCCCTATTTAAATAAGATTAGTTTAACTAGTACTTAGGTTTGCTGCAACAGGAAGGGTAAAAAGGTGTTTTTTTGTAAAATGTTAATAGTTTAGTATGAAATGAATGCATTTCTCCAATTTGATCAAAATATGATCATAAACAAGCAAACTACAACAGTTTACTTATCCTCCATAAGAATAACATGGGAATTTTAAATTTACAGTTTTTTGGAATTTTCTCTGTAACCATTAGGCGCATAATAACGCTTCAATATACTAAATTATTTGTTTTTTTTAAGCTCTACAAAATAGTTTGGAAAGAAAATGCAAAATTTTAAGTTTTTAGGGTCAAAAATGGGAAAACCCATTTTTTGCCACATAAAACCCCCCATAAACACCTATTCCCATATCATGCTGGTTCGCAAACTCGTTAGAATAAACGTAGGTTTACACGTTTGTACCAAATTTCATCAAAATCGGATGATTTTTGCTTGAGTTATCGCGCTAACGAACACATATATACATATACATATAAATATATCTTACTAATATTATAAATCTGAAAGTTTGTGTGTGTGTTTGTGTGTTGCTCAATCACGCATAAACTACTGGAAGGATTGGGCTGAAATTTGGCATGATGATAGCTCACATTCCCGATTAACATTCATTTAGGCATATTCTTATCTCAAAAATCCTTTTGGGCTCCGCCCCAGTGGCTTTGTTCCCCATGTTAACCTTATGAGAATTCATATTTAAAGGGAATTAAAGAATTTAGTCAGTTGTTTCAATTTTAAAAGTTGGTTCTATAATATGCAATGGCATTAAAAAGTTATAAGGTTTCCCAACAGGTCGCAGCACTATTATTATTTTGTTTTTGCATATATGACAACAGCTAATTTGAACCAAGCAGCAACAAAAAGCTGTGATACACAATGAGAACTGTCAAAGTAGGATTGTTTACGGTTAGGTTTGAGTTTTTAATTTAATGAATAATTTGTGATATTTTGCGAATGTTTGATAATTTATTTTTATATTGTTTAGGTGCAGTTGTAGAACATTATGGCAATGGTAGATGTGTTATACTATATCATGCCGTGAATTTATGAACCAAATTTTATCAAACTGTGTCCTCCCTCATTGGAAACACAAAGCTATATCCGCAAGTATAACTGCAATAAGCATTTTATACTTATATGCCAACCCCGTACGAAGGACGGGTGCTCTGCTAATATATTATATATATAAATATATATATATATGAATTGGAACGGATGGTGTTTTTGGTCTCTAGGGACCTCAAAACGAAAAAGTAAATTGGTCCCGGGTCCAGGTCTTACCATGAGTACTACGGTAATAGCTTATTCCCTATAGGGGAAATTCGTTAATATCCCTCTAGGGGAAATTCGCTAATAAAACCACCTGCGTAACATTTAAATAAGTGCTTTCTTTAAATGCTTTCTTACTTAAGTTATGTGATGGGCAATGGACGTATAACACTGAAAGTCCACATACTACAGTATTGTCAAGTCTGAATCATATTTTGATGTGTGTTTCACAACCATTTGAGAACACTGATGTTGACTAAATATTGTTCCCTCTTATTTTATGGTGAACTAGTGTCCCTGTTGCTCGAATTCGAGCAATTGCTAGGTATTACAGGCGTTATTTTAAAATGAATAACAGTCATAATTTCTGACTTTAAAAGACCCTACTCAAAGATTATGGAAATACTCATGATGCACATAACAGATCGATATAATCAACATTTCTTGTAAATATCTTATCATTTTTCAAAAGCTGATATTGTTTTTTAGTGTTTTCTACAAATAGCCTTACTCATAGCCGCATTAGGTTGCCCATAATAACGATTATAAATAAATAATAAAAAAACATTTCTATTTCTTCTCCTTGGTGGTGTTCTATGACTTTCCTATGTTTCCATTGTTTGCAAATCGGCTCTTTTAATGATTACTAAGAAATGCAGCACAGTGTTAATTCAGTTTTCTTTTTAAGATATCAATTAATCCAGGCTCTCTCGCTTTTTCCATTGTATTATTTACGCCAACCCAAATTCAAATAGTAAACATTTCATTTCAACCTAGTCAGTAAATATTTGTAGCAAACTGTTAAATTAGCAAACTTATTGACTGTTTACAATTAACATATGTTCTTCTTCTCACTTTTAATTTCTGACAACAGCTGGAGTTTCATAACAATTTTTGTTTCCCATGTTAATCTTATGGAGAAATACAAAACTTTAAAGGGCCCCAGGGCCCCATTCTCTAATATTTCCCTAAAAAGAAAGTTTCCTGCACAACTTCACGCTACGCTCTTTCCAATGAGACCAAAAACATGTCAATCGGTTCAGTAGTTTCGGAGGAGTAATTGTCACAAAAATCCTGCTTGCGTATTAAATAAGTATATAGAATATAGATTTGACAGGTTTGCCTTCACTCGTGGTTATAAAACTCTGGCAAGCAATTATTCATACTAAGATCATTTTATTTACAAAAAAGTGTTTGTGTTGGTTAAATAACAATTAAAAAGATAAAACAAAAACAACTCACACATAAAACAGATAGAAACATACCTTAAAATTAATTGTCTTCAACTGATTTATAAGGATGATACATTTACAAGAGAGTTTGTCTAACACATGGGTTTAACTCAAAATGTGAACTGTTGAATTATATCAGCTGTATATTGTTCAGTTGTCTTATGGACTTGTTTAGCTAATGGACTAGAAAAGTTAGTAGCCTATGAGAACCATACTGAAACGTTTATACAAAATACTACTAAAATAACACTTTCAGCATGCAATAGCCTCACAACTGATTTACAGAACGTTCTATGGGAAAAATGATAAATAACAGGAATCGTTATGGTGAAAACTGTGACATAAATTACGGATTGGAATCATCGATCACCTGTTTAAGAGAAGCTGAGGCATACATTGTGGAGCCAGTTTCGCCTTTAACTGACGTGGCTCTCGACGAAGGTTGCTGCAAATGTGTGTCAAAGTCAACTTGAATAATTTATATAAAATTATGATTTTGAGGGACTGATATGGGGTTGATTAGGGAATTTCAAAGGAAATGTGTATATGATTCACCAAAATTATCTTAAAAATTTAGTTCAGCAACTAAAAATGTCTAAGAAAAAAAAATGATTTACCACGGTATTTAAATTTAGTTAAGATTTAGATATTCTTAAGATTTAAAATTTTTATATTGCCCTTAGGACGTCTCTATGCCACAGCAACTAAATTCCAGCAAAAATAAATTAAACTTGTTTCTGTTCATTTCTCAGCCATTGCAGATTGATTTTATCAGGTTGGTTAGCTGAACTTGTACATTTCATAAACACTACCTTAACTGATCAGCCAATGGTGAACTAATTTTTAATGGTGATTTTTCCATAAAAACTCATAAAATAACAAAAAAAAATAGGTTTATTTACAAATGCGGCTACGGCAATTTTGATTAAAATTTAGTATGTTATGTTCCCTTAACTCTGAACAAAATGGTACAACCCCTAATGCTGTAAAAATTATGATTCAAAAGTTATCGCAACTTTTGTGATTTTTCCCATAAATTATCATTGAGTTACTCCCATCACTAAGACTGAATTACTGAATGTACTGAATTACAATAAATTGATCGTCTAAATTAAAGTGTGTTTTCATTTTGCAGATGTTTGAATCTCTAGAGCCTTGGATGACTAGAGTGTGTGTCTTATTGCTGTAAAGCCCGTAGGCTTTAACGAAAAAAGAAAAAAAAAACACATTTGTGTCATATAATGGGGAGTCAAGACCTAAACTAATTTTTTTTAGATCTAAGACAGATGCTTCTCAAAATTGTTGTACTGTAAAATAGATTGGAAACAATTCTAAAAAATCATGTACCAATAGCAAACTTCATCAAAATTGGATCATTTTTGCTCGAGTTGTCGCGCTAATGGACGTATATATATATATGTGTGTGTCTGTTTGAACGGAGTATGTTTTTGGGCTCTGGGGACCTCAAAACAAAGAAGTAAATCGGTCCCATGTCTAGGTCTTACCATGAGACCTACGGTAATAGCTTATTCCCTGTATAGGAAATTCGCTAAAAATTATACTAGAAAAAAACCCATGGCTAAGAAACATTTCGGTTTGTTAATTTAAAACATACTAAGTCTTACAATAAAACATTTACTATTCAGTTTATGTAGTTAAAATGATAGTTTTACTACTCTCCATTTTATATAGAATACAAATAATTCAACCTTTTTCACTCTATGTATCAGTATCATACTAATTAGCTTGACAATATATAGAATGCATATGTTTAAAAACATCCCCTGTAATAAGGCTACCATTACAAAGTGAATGCTGGATGTTGATACTAGTTAGAAGGATTTTGCATTAACTGTACACAATTTATCTGTGCCGAGTTTATGACATACCTGCACAGGAACTGTTGCCATGGAGATGTTTGGTATATAGGCCATGCGAGGTTTGATGGTTGGCTGTATTATGTGTGACTGTGTGTAGACCATCGGTACCAACGGCAACTGGTACATCAGGCTTGGCATGTACTGCACTGTAATATCAAATAGCCGAGCATTACATTTCAATACTTTGATTGATAAGATGAGGTAAATATGGATGTGGGGAGAAGATCAGACCCATGAAGGGTTGTTTGAAAGGAATGTTTTAAACTCAAACTTAACTAATTGAATAAAAGACTCGGATATGTAAAAATGTTTACTGTACAAAAAATACTGCTTGAAATCACACACAAATTCAACACTAAATCTTTTACTTATGACAGTATACCAGCGTCATTGTGGCTATACAATGGTGATATTTTCTGTGAGTTTTGGTAATTTTCTCAGATTTATTACTTTAATTGAATTATTGGATTGACTTATAAACTGAACCCTGAAAAGCTTCAACCTCAAAATTTTTCAGAATAGTACTGTAATCTAGCCAGGGTGGTAGATACGAGGTCTTCAGCACCACACGGTATATTATTTTTTGTTAATCTATTGTCAAGTAACTATACGGTCAAAAATCAGACTCTTGTACGCAGCCTACCTGGATGGGCGAGGTACGGTGGGGCAGCTGCTACCTGCACTTGGGGTCTCAGTGTGGGTCTGGGGTGTTCACTAGCTCGGACCCCAGCAGGTCCCCGGGGTAGCTCATGGTGTCCGCTGACAGTCATGGGGGTAGTGGTGGGGAGTGTGGTAGGCAGAGTGTTCATATACACACATGGCAGTTGCATGATGGGGTTAACCAGTGGACTGGAAAGACGAGTTGTTAAATTAAAATTGTTGTCCCATTATTGCTTAAAATTAAAAGTATGCAGTGAGAATGATGCTATGAGTACACTCTCGCCTAGTTGCTTGCCGAGGCGCCTGCCGAGTAATTTGTTTACTTTTGCATTGACCAAGCAAGTGTGAACTGGGCACCTCACGGTCTACACTTGTGCAGTCTCAGGTCCTTTGACTCATGCCACAAGCTAACTTTAGACGAGCGCAGGAGAGCGTGAGAGTAGTCAAGGCGAGACAACCCAAGTCAGGGCGAGAGGAGCCGAGCGCACCGAGTAAACTCACACTCGCACCCGCTCGCCTTGTCTTGACGAAAGTGTACTGGTGGCATAAAAGGTTAGTATAATTTTCCAATAGTGCAGCATCTGAGTTCCTCAGCAAACCTTAGTATGCTCAATGGATACTCGCCTGGTACCTATAGGTAATGTATAGGCTCAATACTTATGGACAGTACAGGTACTTAACACAATCCCTACCCATCGATGTATAATAACTCTACTGGATAGCGCGCTAGGTGGTGGAAAAACGGTCCGTGCCCGCCAATCGAATTGGCGGGATACCGAGGCGGACGGGCCGAATGAACCTCTCTGTTTTACACAAACATACATTCACTCAACCTGCTCTGCTACATTTATTTGTTAAGATAAAAATTTCAAATTGATATATTATTTTTCTGGAAAGACCAGTGCTCATTACTATGTAGCTAGTTTTTACATTAACATATTTTTTATAATTTATTTAGGCAAATTAAAACAGATGATTGTTTTTTAACACCATTAAAAACATGAAAAATGTAGTAAGCGAGGAACTTTTTTATTTTTTGGTCAGGAAAAAAATTCCTGCGGCAAAGTTTTAGATCAAAGTATGAGTTTCATTTTTTATTTGAAGCTTTTTTTTATACGGAGCCTACTTGTATCATTTTTAAGCGATTAAAAATAGGCATAAAATCGCTTGGCGCGGCATTGGCGCTAGGAGCTCGGCCGGCTCAGCATCAGTTTACGGGATATAGAAACCGAGTTTCTAGCATTTAATTATCATTATATTACATCAAATATGTTATTACATTACGAAGAATGGTAACCAAATTAACAGGCGTATGTTTATGCATTTTAATGCTTACCGGTAGATGATAGTTAACAAAATTCTTCGAATCAAAGAATAAGTGTTGGATTTCACAGCAGTATTTAATACTTAAGAAAATATTTTGTTATTATTTTACTTCAGTGATAAAAATGAATACATTTTAGATATTGGCATTAAATATTATACACTCATTTTATTTAGCAACATAATATGTTTTCCAAACACGTTAATCACAGTATGACAAAGAAACATACTATAATATAAACAAAATATATTTTCTTAAATGCATTTGCCTCAACGAAGCAAATGATGACATGCATGTGTGATAAAATAATTATTGTGATATACTTTGCTCTGGTTAATTTTCAAATATAAATAAATCTAACTCTTTTATATCACCACTACATTTCTTATGAGATTTACTTTTGACACATACTCTACAAAGTGTGAGCAAGTAGGTAGATTAATAATATCTGCCTATAAAACCTCCTTAAGTTAATTACAATCAATTATCCTCGGAATATTTCCACAAAACTAACATAGCAATACACGGCGAGAGCGGGCGCGACGCTCGCCACTAGGGTGACTCATGCCTTTTATCCCCACTCCTCGCGGACAGAGCGAGGCAGCGACGGACCGTTTTTCGAGCCCTACTTCAACCTGAGCGCGCAATCCAGGGAGTTATTATACATCGATGTCCCTACCAGGTGTTAAAGAAATTTTAGATAGTATCATATATACTTTATGTAATATCACATATATATGTAAAATGATTGATAGCTATTGGGATTTGAAGAAGAGTTGACATCAGCAATGTATAAAAACAATGAGGGGCATGTAAGAAAGACATAATAGGGCTTAAAACTCATAAAACTGATAAAAGTACATTACAGTAGAATGTACTTTACTTCCGACCTCGGAATAACCGACTCCCTTACATGTGTCCAGTGGGTATTTGCTGAATTGGCGGGGGCACTGTCCACTCTGGAGGAGGTACTACAGGCAGAGCAGGCGGGCGAATCCTGGCTCCCTCTTGGGCTATGTTGGACCTGTCTCGATGACCTCCCTTGAATGCCTTGAGAGGCTCACCTTCCCACGAATGTGAGACACTCCGCTTCATACCATGACCTCCTTGATCGTCCTGAAACCAACAAAAAATTGGATTGACAAAATTTTGCTTAGTAGATTTTTTTTATTTTACCAATAGCTTTTTTGGTGTTAATAGTAAGGAAACTAGGCTGCTCAGCTGGGAAGTGACATAACAGCTGAGATGACAGATGGCAGTAAATTACATCACTTGCTGGCCCAGCAGCCTTCTTTACCACTGGTGTATGTGTTTACATCAAAACAGCATTAAAAATTGTAATTTTGAGGCAGAAGAAAATAAAATGTTGAAGATGATTACAGCGTTCAAGTGGGGTGTGCTATGAAAAAGTAAAAGCAACTTGAAGTAAGGTACAAATATGTCACAATATCATTTTGATGAGACAGGGATGCAGTTATAATCCAGTAAATTTGTATTTAAATTTACTCATAGCGAGAAAGTTTTGGGGTAGTTTAGATTTTTTCCATTTCTAATGTATTTCGGGGTGCTGAATCCGAATCTGAGGTTTGCCAACAAAAATTCTTGACGCAACATTGACAAAAATGAGAAAAATATGGAAAAAATGATATTTTTTGTAATATTTGGCTTATATTTCTGAAACTATCAATTTTCCGTTATTAGACTATATTATAAAAATTAAAGTACACAAAATTTGCTACAAGATTGACCCCTAATGTGGTAATCACCGATGAACCGTTTAGGCTCCAGAGCTATTTGAAAATTGGAACATTTTGTGTTAGTTTTTAAATTTCTCCAATTATTCTGTCAATGACATATATTAATTGTATATGCCCAGGCAAAGGTCTTATATAAATACAAAGTGTTAAAATTTATTAATTTTGTGTAACTGAACCGTTGGTTTTTTATTTAGTATACAGAAAAGTTACACGAACTGTTGCCGTTTAAATTATCCTCGTTTAGAGGGTTGTAATGAGGCAGGTTCTGGCAAACATTTCGATGCATTATTTGTGAGCATTCTAGCTTGTTCATCTGCACATATAAAAAAGGTTAAAAGTAAAAAAAATTACACATAATAATAAGTAATACCAAAATCAAAACTATCAAAATTAAAATAATAGCAATCTGTTAATCATGTAATATCGTATGCACCTGATGACGTGATATTAAGATATGCGTAAATAATAAAATGTTATCTAGGCATATACTGTTGCTAAGCATTTACATTGTGTGTAGATTTTGTAGGTAGTAGGTCCTAGGGCCTAGGGCATAGGCCTACATGAGCGTGGTAAGGGTTAATTGACTTATTACGGGGGGGTTAAGATAGTCAATACGAATATTGGCTAGAAAACTAAATCCAACATTGCCTCACTGCCCCCAACTCAAGCAGCTGCGTAGACATAACTCGCTTAGAGTTTACATTTACATTCGGGTGAATGATAGGGGGTGAAAAAATTTTTATTGGCCTATGGTAACAGTGCCAATCACTCTAAGCCATGCATCGGTCTTGAAATTTTACACAGAAAATTGTATAATGGGTGCCAATACGATTGAGGATGTACAATGGGCTGTGATGCTAGAGTCTAAGTAAGTAAGAAAGTAAGTATGGTACCAAACGCACATTCCTTTATTTATTAACTTGTTAAATCTACACACAATATAAATGCTTAGTAACAGTATATGCCTACATAACATTATTATTATTTACGTAAATCTTAATATCACGTCATCAGGTGCATACGATATTACATGATAAACAGATTGCTGTTATTTTAATTTTGAAAATTTTTTTTACTTTTAAACTTTTTTTAAATGTCCAGATGAACAAGCTAGAATGCTCACAAATAATGCATCGAAATTTTTGCTAGAACCTGCCTCATTACAACCCTCTGAGCGAGGATAATTTATACGGCAACAGTTCGTGTAACTTTTCTCTACACTAAATAAAAAATCAACGGTTTAGTAACACAAAATTAATCAATTTTAAGACTTTGGATTTATGTAAGACCTTTGCCTGGGCATATACAATTAATATATGTCATTGACAGAATAATTGGAGAAATTTAAAAACTAACACAAAATGTTCCAATTTTCAAATAGCTCTGGAGCCTAAACGGTTCATCGGTGATTACCACATTAGGGGTCAATCTTGTAGCAAATTTTGTGTACTTTAATTTTTATAATATAGTCTAATAACGGAAAGTTGATAGTTTCAGAGTTATAAGCCAAATATTACAAAAAATATAATTTTTTCCATATTTTTCTAATTTTTGTCAATGTTGCGTCAAGAATTTTTGTTGGCAAACCTCAGATTCGGATTCAGCGCCCCGAAATACATAAGAAATGGAAAAAATCAAAACTACCCCAAAACTTTCCTGGTAAAAACACAAATTAACTGAATTATTATAGCATATTTTAACCTAATTATCAATAGAATGTGAGTATGGGATGAAAATATAAAGAGGAAAAGAGATCGCAGATTATAAAGGCAAAATCGCCATGCTCATTTGAAACAAATACGTATTAATGAAGATCATAAAATATAAAGAATAGTTGATTTTGGTTTAACTTGTCACCAAGCAGCTGTAAATGTTGTACTCTACCTGTTCATTCTCTTCTAGTATTTTGTGCCGTATGTTTTTGTGCTTCCTGTTATTTCCACCCTTATTTTTCTCCTTTTTGTGTTTTTGTGCCATCTGCTTGTTCATGTTTTCATTGTGCCTGTTAAAAATATAACAATAATAACTATCTTTTACAAATGTAGGTATTTATCCCATACACACTGGATTATAATTATAATGTAAAGGTGCGTTCACATTTTAAAAATCTGGCATTGTAACTAGCTAGGTATCTTGTTTTTTTTTCATGGGAATGGTCTGGCACATTGGCTCCTATATAAAAACAGCAAGGAGAGTTTATAAACATGAGCCAGAGACTTGATCAAATGGAAACTGAGTAAAGTAAAGATTCTTATTATCAGTACCGCTATTTCAAACAGATTTTCCAACCTCACTTGCTGGTATATTCAATTAACTTAATTATTGGTTGGAAATTATTTAAAATAGAAACAACATTGCTAGAGAAGAAAATGTGATGTTTTTGACACTGACTTGTAAAGCATTTCCTCAGTGAGTGGTCTGGAGTCGTATTCCTCTGCAGTCAAAGGTTTCTTGGCATTGGTCTCAACAGGTGGTTTGTTGTTACTGTTGTTGTTTGGTTTGTTGTTACTGTTGTTGTTGAGTTTGTTGTTACTGTTGTTGCTGGGTTTGTTGTTACCGTTGTTGTTGGGTTTGTTGTTACTGTTGTTGTTGGGTTTGTTGTTACTGCTGTTGTTGGGTTTGAGCCGAGCGCTGTTAGAGCTCAGACCGCTGCCACTTCCGTTGCCGCTGCCGTTGAGGCAACTGTCACTGAAAACATTACAAACATATATAACAGACTGGAATAACAAGAAATTAATCACTAGTATCCACTGTTGCGGCTCTACAGGACCCCCTTCAGGCAACTAGCTCCCTTCTTTATCCTACAACGTAAGCACTATAACCACTGGACTGCTCTGATTCAAACTTGGAAGACTCATAGTCATTGGGACTAACACAACCGGAGACTATGAGCATTCACTATTGGATACAGATGAAGACATCCCATCTATATGGATCAGCTGTAGCTAATTTTTTACTAAAAAAGAATGTAGTTGTGTGAGCCAGTCACAGATTGCACTAGTGTCTAAAACTCTATTTTGTACCTATTTTTTTTTGTTACTGACATAGTTGCAGGGTCACAACAGTTGCTTATAGCTCATAATAAGTCATTCCATTAGTTTGACTTGGTAAAAAACATTGTGTAATCGGCAGAAATCAGTAATTTAGATCAGCGCAATCTGTAGGTGGCTCAAATCAACTAAGTCAAATTTGATTAACCTGGCTACAACTTAAACATGGGGATGGAATGTCTGGTTGTTGAATCATAGTCAAAGCTATGAGGCATTCACATTAGGTAAACAGTCCAGTAGCATTGATTGATATAGGAAGTTCCTGGCTGGGTAGTTGTTGTTAAAGTGCTCGTCTAACATTAAAAAGTCGCAGGTTCGATCTTGAGAAAAGTTAATAGCTTTTTGATCGTTCCAAACTGGACCCAGCTGTCTCCTCATCATTAAATAAATGGGCTTTAAATAAATGAACCTGACTGATGAAACAGCTGATCTTAGTCAGTAACAAAGCAACACAGATCATTTCACACAATTACCTTCACTCATATTTGTTTAAAATACGCACCTAGATGGTGTCCCCATCTCAAATAACTAATTAAGAAAGAACATAAGGTTCGAGCTTCTAAGAACTTTGACATGGAGGCTACCTGTTGTAGGTGAATTAGTTACATTCTGATCTACAAGGAAATACAATTATGAATTGAAAGTTATTAGGAAATGGCATGCTAAGTAAATTCCCTAAGAGTACAGGTATTTTTTACCTATACTGTCCATTTCCAACCTTGGATCAGAGGGATTATTTAATGTACTTGTTGGAACTTGTTGGTGTACAAAATGGTCACAAAACTGGTAGATATCCACAATAAGAAACAAATTATTGAAAAAAATATTAAATATTCAAGAGAAAACACAACTGGGTGGTTGAAATACAATTAAACTTCGAAGTCTTGGCATGTAACAAAACAAAGGAACACAACTAAAATATCAGTCAAAGAGACTAAGATGTGCTGGTCGTGTTTCCAACTGACCTGTTTGAGTTGAAGCTAGAGTTGTTTGGTAGAGATTTCCCCTCCTCCCCTCCACTAGAGGACGACTGGTTCTGATCGGTTTTTGTATCCCTCGATTCCTCAGAACCAATAGTTTTTGGTTCACTTGCAAAAAATCTGGAAACAAAGACTTTTGGTAAAATTTTAAATCAAATTATAATATAGATTTTGGCGGAAACAGGGAAATTTTTCTTGATTGAGATTTCTACCTTTTTCTTTAGGCAGTTAGACCAATGAATACAAAAACCTTATGAAACGAAATGCCCATGTTAAAAATTCAGCCTGAGATTTGTGAATTTTGGCAAGTTTGGCGCAGCACCGTTCGGTAGGAAAGGCGCTGCTATCTATTAAAAAAATCCAGTCTAACTATTCCACATAAACATTTTGCTTCTTATAAGGTTTGTATTAATTGGTTAGACCTAAATTAACCTTTAGAGTCTTATACATCAATATATTTTTAATCGAGAGTGACATAAAGAAACCTTTAATCAATCAACATCGAGCAACATATGCTGCAGCACGGGGGTCAAGTGTAGAGATTACACTTGGGCATTGAATTTAACAGTATTGCTGTACTTCCAACCATCAAGTGAAGGCATCATAACAAGGATAAAAGACGCTGGTGATTGGTGGGATTCTAGTCTGAGCTTCGTACAGAACCTGTGTCTAATCTCAAGACCAGCCATTCTCAGGTATACAATTAAAGTCAGCTCTCATCTTGAGGTGTGAGCATAAGACAGAAACACTCACATGGTTGGGGAGAAGGTAATATGTTTCTGAAATAAAACATACTTTTAGCTCAAATATCCAAACAGATTATGTCCCTGCAAAGCAAACTTAGTAGCTGAGTATTTAAAATCACTTTGAATTTAAGAAATAGGGATTGTTGCAATTGGAAAAATGTCAATGCGCCCTAGCGTTCATAAAAAACTAGAAAACTAACCTTTGTATGTTCTCATTGTATGTAAGTTGGTTGTAGCTCGGAGTGTCGGAGGAGGATTTGTCAGAGTAAACGTGGTGAGGCGAAATCTCACCCAGCATTTCAGAAGCGGCCTGAAAGATAACACTGTTATTGTAAAGTTTTAATTTTTTGGATGGGGAGCTTAATTGAATTTCGAACTATTACTTAAAAGTTCTTTTATATTTAAAGGCTAGTTCTAGGTCTACAAATACAACAAAATTCATGCACGGTTAGTAATGAGGAAAGGTTTTGACTGTTGATCAACTACTTACTTTGATACTCACAGAAGGAACTGCGACAGGTGCACTTGAAAGTGCATCTTTCACATTGACTTGGTCTGAAGATATCTTCTCCAGAGATTCAACCAGTTGTGCCAACTGTTTTCTGCTTGGCTCAAAGCACCTCACTATCGGCTGCACCAGCAAATGTTACCATATCAATTTAGCACAATTTCAGAAAACTATAAGGGACAATTTGTTCAAAACTGTAATTATTTTATAAACTTGTAACATGAAACCTAGTCCTTCTAAGTTCCATCGATCTGAACTAATTGGGACCGTATCCTGTTCAGATTACTAAATAGTTAGGATAAGCTGGAAATACAATTGCATAAAAAATAAAAAAATGTATTTTCTTGAAAATATTTTTGACTATATTTTGATCTGGCGATTAGACAGGCACGTTTATAGTGCCAGTTTTGTCATAAGACAGGAACTGGTACAGGCTCTAATATTTGTTCTTCTTTGTGGCTTAAGTCTAAATTAATTTAAACGTCACATAGATTACTATGTAACTTAGTAGTATAGCAAGTAAATAGATTACTAATTAATTAAAACATTTTCAAACAATAAATTGTACATGTGAGAAGACTTACCTCAATGAGTAAAACTTTAATTTCTTCTTGGTAAGTCTTGCATTCGTTCTGTTCTTCTTCACTTTTCACAACCGGTTCAGGATCGAGAACCGGAGTAACAACATCAGGGTTGTGCGGGCCCTAAAAAATCAATACAAATTTAAATTAGTATAATAATTAATTACATGGCTTTTCGTGGAAGGAGTTTTCCAACAAAGAAAAAGTTTCTCTGACTTGGAACTCTACCCTTTTTGGTTTCCTAAGTAGGTGAAACTGAAGCTTACGGAGGGCTCTGTACCAACGGGTTTCAGTGTTATCGCGTAACTATATGAATCATTGGTGATTGGAAGGATTCGAACCTGGACCGTTCAATAGGAACTCATTTAATTTTGGTGAAGGATAACCAACATTGCATCATATCATTTGCTAAGGAGTAATATTACAAAACAAGTGTTGAATTATCTGTATCAAATTGAGAAGTTCCATTGACTAATAATATGCATACACAGTATGTTACTCACAGTCAAAACTCGATGACGTCCGATGATAAACTCCAACTTTTTCCCCCAAGGATTGATGAAGCTGGACCACTCAGTCTCCACCATTACACAGTCGCCATTTTGGCATCTGAACTTGTACGGACGACTTGTAAACAACTGTCCTTCCTCCATCAACACTGTTCACAGAAAAGAAGCGAATAACAATAATTGTTACTGAACAAAACATTAGGTTGGTAATAGTGATGTAGATTGAAAAAACAGCTGTTCCCTCGTGTTTCCCCCCCCACCACACCACCGATTGGTACAATAAATTGCTTTTATGTTCTTTGTTGGTAAGTCATTTTATTGCTCTCATTGTGGCACTATTTATTGAGTAACCATCACTCCACTGAATTCTTCAGAAGATATTAGAGGGCTAAAACATCACATTTTTTGCCTAGAACTCTTTCATTTTCCTTCGGTTATTTTGAGAGAGATAGGGAGAGAGAGGGAGAGAGAGAGAGAGAGAGGGAGAGGGAGGGAGAGGGAGAGAGAGAGAGAGAGAGGGAGAGAGATTTTCAAAGATCGTATCACTGAAAACCACCAATAGCATGTTGCCTATTTCCAAAATATAAATTGTTGAATAATGTTTTGTATTATAGTAAAGCCTCATTTTATTGCACGTATTCTTGCAAGAATCCAAATTATTTTTTTATAATGGAAAAACTTTCTGTTCATAATAATCCTTGAACAGATTGTTAGGGATTGAACAGATGGGGTGATATTGTACTACAAAATAAAGTAAATGTAGGTAATCTTGAGTCAGCTAGCCTAAACCCCATGATTCTGCTTACCGTTAGTATAAACATCTTTCAGATAAGGTAAGTCCTCGGTGTAGTAAAAGTCAAAGATGGATCTGCCGATCATGTCGTGAGGTACGTAGCCAAAGTGATGCACGACCTCATTGTCCACATGGCTGATGAGTGTGTTGGCCGTGTGACGAATGGTGAATGTTGGTGGGTTGCAAAAGGCCTCATCAGGAACTAAACACAAGACAAAACATAGCTTTATGAACAATGCAAAAGCCGTGGATAACTTTCTAGCTAGTACATCATAGGGATAGACCTTGCACTCCTGCTCCAGAATAACCAATTAAGTAAGACCTATGATTAGTCTTGCAAATGTGAAATAGAAACAGACAATATAGACAGACTTAATTTCATGTTAATCAGCACTAAAAGCAGACAAAAAACTAAAAAAAAAAAAAAACATCGATTATCAATGATTTGCCTGAAACCATCAATGTTTTTGGTACATCAATGATCATGTGCATAGATTCTCATCCCCAGTCTATCAGATAATTTGTATGTCAATTATGGTGCCTACGGGCACATATGTAAAGTACTGTATACAAATTTGAACAAACAGTGTTTTTTGGGTCCCAAGAATCCTAAAACAGAAAAGAATAAACCTGTCAAACCTCACTTTTGCTGTGAAAACTACTGTACTTAGCTCTACTTCCCTAAAGATATTTTTAAGAGATTGATATTTTTTGTGTGACGCAGTACCTAGATAATAACCAGATCACAGCACAGAGATTTGATTGGTACTCAAGTAAAATTGTAAACATAAATACTCTTAGGCGATTGCAATGCATCAAAAACAACAAGTTGTTGCAAATATTGTTCTTGCTAACATGGGAGATATCATCACCCAAAGAAAGTTTTGAGACGGAATATTTAAACTTAATTTCTTACCTTTATAAGAAGGATTGACAATATGTGCTGTAGCTACAAGAAATACTCCTTGTTCCGGAACTTCCTTAAAGGTCATCGACAGCTGACAAGGAAGGTATGTTGACTTCTTGTCGGCCACTTTGAAGCCTGATGTCATCAAACTGCTGTACTTCCTGATCCAGCAGTAAAAATACTCGGATTCATCTCCTTTCTCGCTCGAACTCATGTCTGAAAAACACAGTATTTCAATTTTGTTGAAAATGTATAAACATGTTTTGTATTTCACTTTGTCAAAAGAGGAATCAAATCAAATTCAGTACAGTGGAAGAACTCTAATACAAAGAAATTTGTCATTGCTGTAGAGACCTTCTCACAGGAGCTAGCTCCATGGGAGGGCCTCGGCCAAAAATAAATGGGGGTCAAACACCCTTGTGTGATACAAAAACTACAGTACTAATTAGCCTCTACAATTTGATGACGTTGTTTAGAATGAATATACTAACTACTTTTCCCTCTTACATTCACTACGATATGAATAATGGAGCTATTTGATCAAATAAATAATGTACCTACTAATCAACGTGGCTAGGTAATTGATAAAATTATTTTTAGTCTAAAATAGTTTAATAAAACAAAATTTAGTTCCAACAAATTAATTTGTTGTAAATTAAATTGATACTACAAAAATACAATTAATTGAAAAATCTTATCTTATCTTACTTCTTACTAATATTATAAATGTGAAAGTTTGTGTGTTTGTTTGTGTGTTTGAAGGTCAATCACGCATAAACCACTGGATGGATTGGGCTGAAAATTGGCATGATGATAGCTCACATTCCTTAACACATTCATTAACATATAGGCATATTCTTATCTCAAAAATCCCTTCGGGCTCCGCCCCAGTGGCTCTGTAGTTCCCCATGTTAACCTTATGAGTATTCATATTTAAAGGGAATTAAAGAATTTAGTCAACTGTTTCAACTAAAAAAGTTGGTTCTATGATATACAAAAGCATTAAAAAGTTATAAGATTTACCAACAGGGTGCAGCACTATATTTTTTTCCATTTATATAAACAGCTTATTTGAACTAAGCAGCAACAAACAACTGTGATACGCAATGAGAACTGTCAAAGTAGGATTGTTTACAGTTATGTTTATGTTTTTAATGTCATGAATAATTTGTGATTTTTTAAATTTGTAATACTTTATTTTTCATTATTGTTTAGGTGAAGAGGTAGAACATTATGGCTATGGTAGATGTGTAATACCATAGTATACCGTCAATTTAAAGAAGCAAATTTTATCAAACTTTGTCCTCCCCCATTGCAAACGCAAAGCTTGAGTATAACTGCAATAAGCAATTTAAACTTATGCCAACCCCGTACGAAGGACGGGTACTCTGCTAGTATCATCATATATCATAAGTACTAATAATACTAATAAGTTTACTGGTCAGTTCAGCTAGTTTTAGCAACTTCATTGTATCTCTTAAGGAAATGGAGATCATACAGTGGGTTCTTGATTTTACTTGGTTTTTTTCAGTAGGTATGGACAGGATTGTAATACTTTTTTTAATTCAGTTTGAGACGGGATTTTTCCTTCTGTGCAGCAAGGGAAGCTTTAGTTTGTTAAAAAAATCTTAAGTTGATATGATTGTTATTCGGGCAAACAATAAATTTTCAGTCTTTACTTCACTTTTCTATGTCATCTCTCCAGGATCGGGGCACTATGGTTATTATCACCCCCAATTGCAGGAACATGATCATACTCCAAATAAAACCAACAGGAATGAATATTTATAATTTTTATGAATGGAATTTGTGCAGTTAGTGAGTTGTTTGTTCGTTTCAAGTGAGTTACAAAAAGGTGTGTAATTATTTTTAGCAAATGGATAAAATAAACAACTTATAAATACTTGTCACCAAAGCAACCACTATTGGGCACAGGTTTAAACACAATTCCCTTGGAAATCATACCAAGGTTTTGTAGTTCTAGTTCTGAGTCTTTGATTTGTTGTGAGATCTTAGAAGGTGACATTTGCTGGCTGATATTAAGGCCCTGGGGGGTGTATGGAGTTCCTAGAAAAAAAGGCAACGTCATTGACAGAAACTACTACACAGTAAGGGGTTTATTTAGTGGTGAGTAGAAGCTACAAGAGCATCATTGATTTGATATAACTGCAGCATACAGAGGAAGTAATAAAATGTTTCTTACTCAGTGAAATGGTTTTGTGCAAATAGGGCGCGAAGTGGCACTTTCCTTTACATGAGAGATATCTTTACGAATGAGCCGCAGGAGAGTGTGGAAAGTTTCTCAAGTGCAGCAAAGGCACTTTGTGCTCGCGTTACACATTCTATTTTTCCTACAGTTACTATAAAGAAAATAAATAATTAGTCTGTCAAACACTAAACAAAACGTTTAAGGTTAGGTTAAATCCAAACCTTGAACAAAAATAGAATGTTAACACGAAACAACAGGTTAAGATGTAGTATAAATTCTCAAAGGCTGTGAAACGCTGCACCAGATAAAACTTGAGCTCAGCAAATAAAGTGGCTTGGACTCCAGTGTGACTGGTGTTTATACAGACCACTGCTAGCAGGTGATAATGAGGCAAGTAAATATCGGAAGATATATTAGTGCATCTAGCTTGAATGATTCATCAATTTAAATTTGCACTAAAAGTGATATGCTATTTGAGGTTTACTCACTCCATATTTTTGTGCCACTTGAGAGCAGTTATGTTTTGCACATCTACTACTTGTAAGTGAAGCTTATATCATTTACTCTAAAACCGTGTAAGCTACTCAACATTTCAAATAAATACCACACATTTCTAAAAAATATAACTCACTCGAATTGTTCTGCTTGAAATGGGAATGAGCCATTGCCGAAGTGATGTGGCTGGCAAACGGGATTCTGTCCTTCGGATGAAGAAAGTTGATGAGGGATCTTCCGACCCACATGTCTTTGGGAAAGCCGAGGACGTTTGTTAGGTTCGGTGAGGTACAGACGACAGTTCCATCGGACAGTGACACCACAACGCAGAACTCTTTCTGCAAACAACCAGAGATTTGTTCTCTTGTGAAGTAAGAATACAAGTTTAACATAAGAATACATGCAGTCTCATTTTAGACCGCTAAAAGTTTAGCTGGTAGACTTTGTAGAACCATACAATATTATTCCTTCCACACTACTTGATCTCAAGATTAATAGGGCATCTTCAATAGATGATAAATAGAGTTTAATTTTTAAAAGGTTTGATAAAAAGGATTAGAAATTAAATTTTGTAAACATACAATACGGCGAAGCAGTTATAAGTTTTATACAAAATAATCATGCGTGATATTTCATACGAGTGAAGGCTTTAGTCAGGTACCTAGACTAGACACTATAGTATTGTGATTTTAAATCAGATACTCTTCACTAAGGTGCTTCATGGACTTAAATAAAAAAGATTATATATTTAGTAGCTTATGGTCAGGAATCCATTTTATTAGTAGGACAGATATTTAACATTCTGTACCAGATATCAAACGCAATTTTCTCACTATGGGTTTTCTCATGTCACAAATGTAAATAAATATCAAAATACCATTTTGTGAAAATTCTCCAGCGTTTCTGGAGTATCGCTGGATCTCTTTAATATAGTTTATTTTAATAACTTTCAATAACCAAGACAACTCGGTCCCCAAATTAGTACAGACTGTTGCAAGTTTACTTTATATATAATTTAAACTTATTTTTAGATGTTACAAACCTCATGTTTGATGTCTTCCTTCAGTGCACTGATGATAAGCTCGGAACTCTGTAGCTCTTTAAGTGGAACAGGCTGCGGAGTTGCCATCTCCTGGTCATCTATAGTACCAACAGCGAAACATGAAATTAATAACACTGGCAACTACAATGGTCATCTGTGATACCAACAGCAAAACACAACATCAACTATTATTCCCACTATAATAATTGACATTTAGATAGAACTAAAGTAGACATACCACGTATGGACCAGATGTAGCAGATTTTTAAATTCAAGTATGGTTGAAAAGCTTCATAAAAATACTTGATAATTGAAAATTGATAGGCGTCAAAAATTGCTATAATTTACAGCAACTTTCAGTTTGGAATTTATTACAAATCACTTTGTTAATTTTTAGCAAAAATCTGGCTACAGCTTTGACATAAGAATGGGAAGTCTACTTAAAGGCAATGATCTAAGATTCCACCATTGAAAAAAAATTAGTAAAACTTGTAATAAACTGGTGGTTAAAAGATATTATAAGATGGTTACAAAAGTGTACATTGGCTAAACAACAAATTTTATATAGGATACGTTTGCTTTATTAATCACTTAAACACCAAACAAACATGGAAGTACAAAACCTCAAAAAAGGATGATAACATGATGGATGAAATCAGTTGCGTGAAGGCATACCAACACTGAGACCTGAAAAATAAATCATACTCTCTGGTTCATGATTAAGTAAGTGGTGGCTTTCACACTAGTTTTTCTAATACTCTTCCGCTAATTAATTCTAAATGTGATTATGTTTATGAAGGAATCAATTTTCAATTACTTAAGAAGATATTCAGGTATCAGAACCAAAGAATAAGTGAGACAATATGAATAACATAAATACTAATATTTTATCTAGAAGACAGTATAGTAGACGGTTTTCTTTTTTTTTTTCAAGAGATAAGACAAATTCAACCTTTTAATGAAATATTTTTCTTGGTCGATCACAGATTTTTCGCTTGCATATATAACCTATATTCATTATGAACAAAATTAATTTCATATCATAAAAGCCTTTCTGCAGTAATTAGCACTACCACTACCAGTAAAAACTAACCTCAAACAAGAAAAATATAATCAACCTAAAGATGTGGCAACCACTGCGACCTTAACAAATATCTGGAGGTAGCACTTCTCAAAGGGATTTTGTTGCCGGTAGCAGCCAATTTGGCAATCTTGAGACGGAATACTTCAATTTAGAAAAACGCTGGATGTGGGAAAAGTTAAATCACGCATATAAACATTTGTTAATTCATATCCAATCATGCATGGAATTCAACTGAATTCATTAGTAGCTGTTGGGAAAACTGTATAAGGTACAACAATGTGTGGACTATGACACTAACAACCTACTTTACAAACCAATGGCTTGATTAAAGGAGTCAAAACTCGTGCTACCTTCAAGTATTGTGACCAATTGGAGCAGTAATTAAAAATTGGCAAAATCAGCTGATCCTATATTTATTGTAGCGCATACTTGAATTGTGTGTGGTTGGTTACTTTTATTTCAACACATGCACTAGTGATTACACTACACATTACAGCGTTACGATTGTATCAAAGTACCGTTACCAAGGGGTTGTTCGGTGGTCTTGGTCTTGATGCAGCACAATGTCTGCGCCACGACCGCAACTTGAAGAGCTTCACTCTCAATAGTGGGGCTGGACATGTTGTCCAACACTGCAGGGTCCTACAAAACAATTACATCTATAGTGTTACATTAGGACCAATTCGGTCCATATTTCATTTAGAGATACCTATTGTATCGATGAGTGCAATTTGATTATCTTCTCCATTTGCAACTAGGAGCTTGGCTCCATCCCGTTTCCAACAATACATGTCACTTTAGGCTTAAGTGTCGGACAGAGTCAATAATTTTGCATTGTTGTTGACCGTCAAATGCCTATCTAAACAGTGGTTGTCCTAGCGCCGATCAGCAAAACCATGCGTTCACGTTGAATCATATTAATCATGACCGTAAGCTTGATTACCGAGCAGAAAATTGTATGCGATTCTAGAATATATTTTCCGTGTGAATTGATTTTTGGACTTTTTAAACTTTTGTTTTAGAGGTTGAAAAATATCACAGTTTAAGTAAATATATTTTTGTCGTTAGACAAAATAATAACAATTAAAATTAAAAAGTAGATAGCAAATCACATCCGCAGTTTCAATAGCTTTCAAATGAGATATTTTGCAACTTTTTATCTCAATAAACTATGCTGTAATATGCTTCAACCATTAACATTGCCGTTATGGGCAGAAAATCGAAGATGGCCGGCGGTCCTGCCGACTCTTAAACAGAGCTCTAACTTTCCGTAGAGCTTAAATACATTATTGATTGGAGGCATTTTAACCCGGAACCTTGGCGACTACTGTAAAGCCCCGTGCTCTTGAACAAGACCGACGTGCTATAGGTGTGTATTGCTGATTCTGTACACTTCACTATCTGTACAGCTGTGCAGCCTTAAACAGAGCTCTAACTTTCCGTAGAGCTTAAATACATTACTGATTGGAGGCATATTAACCCGGAACTTTGGGGACTAAAGTCCCGTGCTCTTGCACAAGACCGGCGTGCCATAGGTGTATTGCTGATTCTGTACACTTCACTATCTGTACAGCTGTGCAGCCTTAAACAGAGCTCTAACTTTCCGTAGAGCTTAAATACATTATTGATTGGAGGCATTTTAACCCAGAACCTTGAGGACTAAAGCTCTGATGTGCTCTTGCACAAGACCGGCGTGCCATAGGTGTATTGCTGATTCCATACACTTCACTATCTGTACAGCTGTGCAGCGTGCAGCCCTTCGTGATGTATAAAGGCAAACTATAGGACTTCCATAATGCTCTTCATTCAAGCCACGCATAGCAGCTGTATGACCAAAACATTCTTAAGTGGCATAAAATCTGCATTCTAAATCTATAACGTTGTGTTTTAAACTCAGCTTTTACATGTTTTTTTATATTTATTTTGTAATTGCAAAATCATAAAAATTCCTTTAATAGTAGAGTCTTTAAGTTTAGAGTCTTCTTTGTCCCTGCAAAAACAATAAAAACATGCCTTGGACGCCCCTCGCTCCGGATGGAATGTGTAAAGATATAATGTTAAAACTTTTTTCCTTACAGATTAATGTTGGTTCTAGAGACCCCTCTTACATGATATATCCAAGAAAATCAATAGTATAGGGATAATAAAATCGTAAAGTAACGTAAATTGAGTGAATTTTAAACACTGATATAACTAATAATTTTTTTAATTTTCAATTTTTTTTTAGGTATTAGAGCTCTAATATATAACTGTTCAACTACAGTTGCTATCAATAACGTTGAAATTAGTATGTATGCTGACGACACATCAGGTATATGCTGGGCTCAGTCTTTTGATGAACTCAAGCAGGGCATGGCCGATTTTGTACATAAAGCTAGCTCATATTTTGAAAATATTAATTTCAAAGTCAATCTTGATAAGACGGAAATTGTAGTTTTCGGATTGAGTAGTACAGGCATTCCTCTGATAGATTTTAGCTAAGGATGATGTGATCTTTGAAAGTAAAGAGTGCTGTAAGTTTTTAGGACTATATATAGAACAGACCTTAACTTTTAAGAATCATATATCACATGTAAGGTCAAGACTTTTAAGTGGAATCAGCCTCCTCAGAAGAATATCTTTTTATTTAGATACAGATACGTTAAAAAGAATTTATTTTGGTGTTATATTTCCTTTCTTGTCTTATGGCCTTATTTTCTGGGGAAGTTCTCCCGACTGTAATTTGCATAAAATTGTTGTTCTCCAGAAAAGAGCAATCAGACTGATAGCCAAAGTATGGTATAAAAGGTCTTGTAAAGATATTTTTGTTAACTTAAATCTCCTCACTTTGTATGGACTATACATTTATCAATTAATTATGCTTGTGAAAAATTATGTAAAGCACACTAGTAAAAATTGTCAACTCCGCAGGTACGACATGAGACGTAAGGATGATTTTCACCGTGTGAGGAGGAACTACAATAGAACTGGTCGAAGTCCTTATGTGATGGGGTCAATTTATTTCATTCACCTGCCAAACAATATAAAGGAATTAGAAGGCACTAAATTTAAAATTGCTTTGAAGAATTGGCTAATTTTATAAAGACTGTATTCATAAAAAATTTCAGATTTAAATCCCGATTCGGCATACAAATTTGGAAAACTACAGTTTTTAGTGATCTAATTTGATCCCAGGTATGTGCACTAAGAGGTAGCTCTTATTGTTTTTTTATGTACATTGAAATTGTATTCTTTTTTATTTTAGGCCATTTGAAACTGATGTTTGATGACTTTTATTTTGACACTTATGACTTTTTTTCTATGCATTGTATTTATGTTTATGGACAATAAATTATTTGATTTGATTTGATTTGACATTGATACCAAATTTCAATAAAATCTGTTGAAAAACGGCGTCTGAAACAGGGGACGAAATTAAGATGTTTTGTCGGAGGCTACTGCGCTACTAGCCTTTTAAAAAACTTGACTCAGGCCCAGTGACTTGATGAAACTTGATGGATCACCGATGTGTCGATTTAGTAGTCGTTTGTTTACGATGTTTTCAGAATGGCATGCATAATGACCCCGCGCTACCCGCCCGTCCACAACACCTTTCCCCCAAGGCCATATCCCCAAAACGCAACTACACCGAGGGTGATGAAGACTCTTAACTGAAATAACCTGGCATCAGCAAGGTGGGACAAGTAGAAAGGTTTGACAAAAGTATAATAATAGATTGGATAACACCCCTAAACAGGTTAAAAAATTAAATTCTATTGAGTTTTAGCCTCCTGATCACATTTAAACACAATAAATTAATGTAAATACCTACATTTATGTGATCTTTGATGTTGTGTTATGGCAAATAGTCAAGACACAACTTCTGTTCAATCATGTCGTGTCCTGCTTACCTACAGTATTATCTTCTTGTATTTGTCATTAAATGTTTGTGTTTTTTATGTCCGTGTGCGTATGCGATGTGTGTTATATTTATTACTAATGTTGACAACTTTCAAAGTGACAAAATAACATCTGTACTAGCCCGAAGATGACTCCAGTGTTGAGTCTAAGCTGGTTGCCACAACGCAACATAAAAGATCAGATAAATGCAGTTATTTACACTAATTTATAGTATTAAATTATAGTATTACAGTTTCTCCATTAAACAATTCAAGACTGTAAGATTGCTTTATATCAGAGCCATGAACGTTTTCTTGTTTTGAATCCATCATCCGGAAAAAACATGCATAATAACAGACAAAATAAAAACTACTGTAACTGTGAAGTATTAGATAAAGATACATACTAGCTCAGCCACAGGACTGTTTTTGCACTGCTCTAAGACATGGGAGGTGTGCAGGTAGTAGAATTTGATATATAATTCATATTCTACTATACACAAAGAGGTACTTTGGTATCATACAGACCACACCAATAAAACAACTTCCAAATAAGATTTTAATTATTTTAAATAACGGAATTTCCCGGTATTTACTCAGGGGAGGTACGGAAGAGGCTACGATGATAGCTGTGGGCTTCTTATTAGCTGAGGGAACGCTATTACCGTAACAATACGGTTTGTGGACAACGGCTACGGTGGTCTAGTGGTTAGCGTGCCGGGCTGGCGTGCAAGAGGTCCCGGGTTCGAATCTCGCTGGTTGCATTAACTTTTTGTCTCAGATTTTTTCATTATCAGCAAGTTTGGTTGGTTTGGTTCGGTTATGACAGTTTAATTTTATTATTAAGTCATTATAAAATTTTAATTGAGCAATTTCTAGTTTTATTTAATAAACATAATTATTTTTTCTATTACTAATCTTTTTTATATTATTTAATTATCAGCAAGTTTGATTAGTTCGGTTAGGTTATGATAGTTTAATTTTATAATTAAAAAATTATAAAATTGAATTTGAGGCATTTATAATTTTATTTTATGAACAGAACTATTTTTGCGAATAGTAAACCTTCATTGACAAAGTGCTCTCTACTACAGCGCTGTTCGCGGAGGAATTTTGAACTAAATGCCTCATTCGTACCTCCCCTAAGTCAGACCCGAATTTCCCTAACCTAACCTAATAACCCTTAGGTTAGGTTAGGTAAGGTTAGGTTAGGTTATAATTATTAGGTATGGTGATGGTCGGTATAATACCAAAGAGTATCCACAGAGACACTAAGTTCAACACTCACCACACAAGGTGCAATTTTCTTAGTCTCAGGTTTCTCGGCGTCCGCAGGATGTGGAGGGGTGAAAGCCGTTTCTGTTGTTGCCGTCTCCTCATCATGCTCAGCCATGTCTGCGATCGTGTTGACCTTTGATTTCTTATTTTTAAGGCTCTCATCTCCACTGAAAGAGGTAATACAAAATCAATTAACAATTTTGTGCCAATTGAGTTATCTAAACTACTAGCAAAAATGATTAGTACCTGCTGTTGCAATCTCTTTTTCTATCCCTTTGAGAAAGTCATGAATTCATTTAGACAATACATTTGCAATTATATTTTCTAAATATAAAGAAGGGAAATTGACTTGTCGATAAAACAATAAGAGTATGAAACAATTGTCAAATAAATTAATTAGTTGCTATTATCTATCAATATTTTTGACAATTGAAAGTGTTATTCTTTACAACTATAATTTTTAGAGTGATGTGGGTGATGTTATTAGTTTATTAAGGTATGTTTTAAAGTTATGTAACTTTAACTACTTACCGTGTATGGTAACAGACTTTTAAAATGTGCAATGAAATAGTTTGAGCTGTTTCATTAAAAACTAGAAAACCGACAGTTTTTGTCCTGTCTTTTGTATCAATATATGTTAATTTTAATTTATATGGATTAAATACAATCTGGAATAAAGATCAATAGAAAAAACACATCGCTTCGTTACTGCTAACATTGCGGCTTATTTTGAATTGAATGATTTCATCGTTGGAATTTTCAGGAGCAACTCCAAACACAGCCATGTCACTTCCTTTATTCACATACCTGCAAATATATTTGATAGATTTTATGGATTTGCAAAATTCTACATTTATGTGTCATTAGTGGATCGGCAGCGATAACGTGGATAAACATAATAATTCCCAGTAATAGTTTCCGGTATTAATAGTCTTAGATATAGCTTTGAACATTTGTTGTCAACCATACACAGAGAATTGGGATTTAATATTCCACAGGGATCAAGAATGATATATCTGATAACAACCTCATGTAAGAGTGGGTCTTCTTCGTTATCAGGAGTTGCTGCTGATATCACGTCATCAATTTCATTTGTATTAAAATGGTATAATATTACCTGTTTCCGTCTGTGATCCTATATTTGTTGTGGGAACTAGTTCCACACACGACGTGGCATGGGCAAACGTTTTGTCATGACTGGCTGAACGTTTGCCCATGCCGCGTCGTGTGTGGAACTAGTTCCCGAATTTATGTTAATTGTCTTCGTCTGTCAATGTCTCGTGTTTATTTATTTCAATGTTAGTGTTTTTGTGTGTTTATAAAACTCGACGATCTCGCAAGAGTGACAACAAGAGCCTGAAGATGAGGTTATAACCTTGAAACCGGTTGCTCTATACAACAAATATAGGATCACATACGGAAACAGGTAATATTGTGAAACACAATGAAATAAAAATATCAAAAATGCTTATTCAAGAAGTGATCCTGGGCCAAATAACATCAATATGAAATTTCATTTGGTCTTATTCTCTCAACCAACCAAATAAGGATGTGTGCATGAGGTAATCCACGTTTTAGCCACTCTATTGAATAAATCTCACCAAAAACACAATGCTTAACAATGCATGAGTGATTTTAGTTTTGTTTGAAAACCCTTGCTGTGATGTCATGACGATCAACGGATGATTGTCCATGAAATAGTTCTTGTAGGATTTCTGTCCACTTTGGATTGCATGTGAACGTTTAAGATTAATCCATGGTTCTACGCTACAATCACAGAGAAGTAAGGTACAAAGGAAACTGGCTTATGGGCCAAACATGTGCTTTCAGTTCTGTTATGTTGTGCGGGTAATATATACTTGTAACGAGCAAGGAAGAGGAGAGCGCCGAGCTCTGAGTGGATATTCCTATTGCACAGGGCACAGGGTCTTCCTCCAACGTGAGCTTGTAGTACATGTGGGCGAAGGGACAGTGTTGGACTTTGCTCTAGACACCACTTGAGTTCACCATTGAATGTTACCTCTCTGTGCTACAAAAGTTGTATTCAGATAACATACCTGGAGGACGGATGACCACAGTAGCCGCTGCTGCCACTGGAGGTGCTGTGGCGAGACTTGGAACTGTTACTGAAACATGAGGGATACAGTGAGTGACAGAAATAAAAAAGTAATGCAGTTATTCTACTCAAGCTAAATGAAGCACCAAGAGCCAGTGATGAAAATTAATATTAAAATTATAATGTTTATTTTTTCAACTTTTTTGATGACCACTTGTTTTTTTCTATTTTCACGTTTGAATATTGCAAGAATATGTGAAATGTTATTGTTGAATTTCGCCAATATTGCGAAATAGTATGCAATATTATAAATTGTGACTAAGAAAGTACTGGAGAAAGGCAAGAGAACTCTTTTGGAGGGTCTGGGACAATTATGAGAACTGCTGACAGAATCAGAGCAGATATTAGAATGTTTGAGAATGTCTGAGAAAAGTTGAACAGATATGAATATCTGGGATTTGCTGAAGAGACACTTGGAACAAACTGAAGAAATACCTGGAAAATTCTGAGGAAATTCTTGGAATTGGAACAAATTGAGGGCATTAAGCACAGGCTAAGAAGCTTGAGTGCGGCAGGAAAAGTTTTGGGACTGATAGAAGAGATTTTTTGTCTGAGAACATCAAAGGTGCGAAGAGAATTTTTTAAACTGGCTGAGACAACTGGAACTAATGGGCAAATTCATGGGGCTTACATAAGAAAAGTTAAGGGAAAGTCTGGTAAATAAATGCTCGGACTGTTTAAGGTAATTTTTGATCAGATTAAGGAGGTGCTTGGAGTTAATAGAAAAATTGTAAAAAAGTGTGGAGATGAATTAAAGTACCGTAATGCTTTAGAAAAAATACCTCGTTGTTACCTTAATGTTAATGCTGCACTAATGTTATTTTCATTATACACGTAGAGTATCTTTAGCACTGACCTGCGCTGGGACTGGCTGTTGCTGCAGCTGTTGGAATAGCCCGAGTCCGACACCTTTGTTTTATTCGTTTCCGTTTCTTCATTCTCTGATCTGTAATAGAAAGATATTGATTAGTTTTACTCAGCAACCAATTCCGTACAAAGAGGCAAAAATCCAAAAATCAATAAAACAACAGCTATAAGGTCTTTACCAGCAACTGCAGATTTTTCCAAGTAACAAGCCTAAAAATTTCAAAACATCACAATTTTAACTAGGACCACAGGGGGTTTTTTAATTAAAAATAAGTAAAAGAGAACTGATAATACATTAAGCAAACCAGAACTATTAATATATGTAAAAACCAATATACATTATTAAAGCCCTTTATGAAGTCAGCACCAGTAACATCTAGTGTCCGATTACATCTTATGTTTTTTTTTATTTGAGGGAGAGGAGAGAAAATGCTTACAACAATTTTTTTAAACTAACTTTTTCAATTCAATTTATAGAATTGAAAAGATTCACTTTACTGCATTGTTTACTTATACATCACCAGTGTGGTAAAGTAACTGATCAGTAAAGGTATGGTTCAAGGATTGAGAGAAAAGAGGTAAAATTGTTATGCTTCACCAACTTATCAGCTGGTAACAACCAATTGAATAGTTCATCTGCCGACTTCAAAATGGAAACTCACGCATTCTTTCCTTAACCTAAGTAAAACTAAACGGCTTGCTAACCAACGGTTGTAGGAATGTTTGTTGACAGATTTAGAAGATCTTGCAAACATAATTATAAAACAGTCGTAGGTAACAAAGTGTAAGCGACTTATGTTGAGCTTTATGACACCCTTTATCAAACTTCTATTTGTGTCGTGAAGACTACCTTTATGCGATCGATCGTTGTGTGAACTACTGTTACACACAGGTGGCCAGCCAAAAATACTCACTTTAAAACCCCCTCGGTTTGACACCCCCTCTACTCTGGGATAGTTTCACATTTTTTTCAGGTTTGGTCAACATGTGACCTAAGCCAAGCCCTCAGGGCTCACGCCATTTCTGGCTTTCAGTTGTTATAGGACATGGACCGCATCCCGGTCAAGGTTGAGCTACTTTGTGTGGAGAATACCCTAGACAAACTGTGACTAACAGGTCCAATTGTGTACACCCTCTGTCATCTGTCTACCAACAGCAGTCCTACATGGTGTTGAGCTTCTAGGTCGGGCATTTCCCAACACTGGCGATGGAAGGAAGTGTGTTCCGTGTTGTCAGGAATGCCCAGCCCGGTCAGTGCATTCAGTTGACATGTCCTTCCTCATCCTGAACAGGTCTGACTGTAAATTGCTGTGACCTGTCAAAACTGGGTGATGTATTAATCCACCTTCCTGTACTGTCAGTTAACCTAAGGTTGAACTTACTACATAAGTTGCCAGGTCTAGCATCCCCAGCTCTCCTGTCAGAGCTGGTAGATGCAAGTGCGCTCCTCTGTTCTTGCCTTGTTCTCCCATGCCACTGATAATTTGCCTTCCTCTTCCAATATCCACAATTTTGGCTCCAGTGACCACCAGGACAACGGGGTAGGCAGACGCTACCCTAAATGTGCTGCCTGATGCTGCACACTAGCGAGCCGCATCCTGTCCATCTTCTTGTTGAGCCCACAATTCCACACCATACAAGAGTATAGATTGGACTGCAGATATAAACAGCATTCTATGACCAGATTGAGGACCTTCGACATTAACCACCAGCCGCCTAAAGAAAGAAACCACCTTAGTGGCCTTGTTCACCACACCGATGATCTTGTCCCTCCAGCTAAGCTTACTGTTCACAATGATCCCATTACTTGGCGGCACAAATGTTTCTGATTTCCTATTCCCTGACCCACAACAACACTATGGTGTCAGTCCATTTCTTGGTCAGAAACACGATCTTGTTTTCTCTCAAAGTGAGCAAGAGACCGTATGGGCTGCTATCCATTCGTGTGATTGATGGTGCGCATGACGGTTTCAACTTCAGTTTCAACTTGGTCAGCTCAACGTTACGTGCAGCTATCACAGCCAAAATGTCATTGGGGTACCCAACTAAAATGGTTTCCTCGAGCATTTCAGACCCCAACGAGGCTGTCATCGGCAACTTTCCAGAGATCCAGGCCAAGTAGGGGAACTTCGAGCGGCACCAGAGTTGACTCTCGTCGTCCATGGGCCATCTGTAGTGTCATGATTGAGGTGGCATAACCAGAGGTAATCTCCTATGATGTGCATGAGGTATTTCCGGACATTGAAAGTGTTCTCTAGATCGTCCAGTATATCTCACCACCTTGTTGAATTTAATGTGTTTTGTACATTGCATCTAACGAGCAACTCAACCTTACAATAGTGGTGGTAGAAATCTTCAGCTCTCATCAATGCTCGCTTCACCTCCTCAATTGTGTCAACCTTTAATCACTCCCTTCCTGCAGCCGTGCTATTGGAAGGACGGGTTCCTACAGCAACCACAGCTGAACACAGTCGGAAACTTCTCATTGAAGGAACAGTATTACAGTAATTGCACTGTTATAGGCTTATAGGTACTTACAGTTGGATGTTGCGCAGGCTACCTTTTAGTGGTCACAATGTGTTTTTGATTAAACTTTAATTTTACTCACAATTATTGTCTTAATCAATTAACAAAATCTTTATTTACACATCCATTAAATAATGTAATGGTGTGAAGACCAGCAAATATAATGGTTATTGTAATATGAATGTAAATTGGCCTATAATGAATATGTAATGCTATGTGTCACGTGACCATATGTCTTGTTTGTTGGTCAATGTATAAAAAGGCAAAAATAACTTTTTAAAACTAATTGAACACATTTGTTTTTGCATTTGATCCTATAAAATTATTTATTTTTACTAAATAATAGTTTTTTTTAACTATTATTTAGTTTTAACTATTGTTTGCTACGAAAAACGTATCCGCCAAAACTTGCCACACACCTAAACTAAGCTCTCCTCAGAAAACCTGCGTTGGGAAACCCGTCGAAAGCTTGTGGTTGTGTACAAGCTTGCCAAGAAAAACTAGGTAATTCGTAATTCTTCGGTTCGGTTCTCCCCTGCAGCGCTAGTAGCGTAAATCGCCGTTCGGGTCAGGATGCCAAGGGAAAGGAAGCGAAGCGCCAATCGCCATTTTGTGAAAGGTTACACGGTTACAGCTACTTTACACCGCTCTGCTCTGTAATTATCTTGCTCTTTCGTTACTTATTCCTTGTTAAGTACGTGTTTGAGTTATTAGTTTTATTGTTTAGTTATTTGGTGTTAGGACGACTACCGTAATTTGTGCCCGCTGGTCGTGGACGATCTTACTTTTCGTTGTCGGCGCCAGTTGTCGATAAACAAGAAGAGGAAGCGGCAGTGCTCATTCAACGTCTCCGCGCGGGCTGGTACCTTCCTAGAGAACTCTCATTTATCTGTTGAGCAGATATTTGTCTTCGTATCTATTTTTCTACACCTGAAACCACCTCGTCAGGCCTTCATTCGTCGGGAGTTGGGGATTGCCAGCACGACCATTGTTGATTGGTACTCGTTCACCCGGGAGGTGTACGTCAATCACATGGTGGACCGTTCGGAGAGGATTGGTGGACCGTAGGTGGTTGTGCAAATTGACGAGGCGAAGTTCGGACGGCGGAAATATAATCGTGGGCGAGTTATAGAAGGACAGGTGAGGTTCGGTGGTATTGACGTGAACATGAAGAAGACCTTCCTTGTTCCTGTGGAATCGAGGGACTCTGCGACGTTGCTGGCATTGATTCGCGAGTGGATCCTTCCTGGCACAACAATCATCAGCGACTGCTGGCGGGCGTACGACTGTCTAGGCCAGGAGGGGTTCAGGCATCTTCAAGTCAACCACTCTGTGAACTTCGTTGATCCCGAGGCTGGTGCTCACACGAACAATATTGAGCGTGTTTGGAGGGAGGTGCGGGCAACCATCCTCCGGTATGGGATTCGGAAAAAACACTTCGTGGGATATTTGGCCGAATTCCAATTTAAGCAACGTTATTCGCCGCTTGAACGTATCCACCATTTTTTCAAAGCTGCTGGCCAGCTTTACCCTCCACAGTGCTGATGACGTCATCGACTGTTAGAAGGCATTGATTGCGTAAGTGTTTGTATGAGTTGTTTATTGTCCGTTAGGTTCTTAATTCACTTCCTGAAGTGTGGAATTGTGTAAATTGGTGTACTTATGATTTTTTGGACATACTTAGGAAATTAATATTTTCGGTCATATAATGACTTTTCCGCCCATCAGTAAAGTCCAAAACTTCATTAAATACACTTTTTACACAATTTCACACTTCAGGAAGTGCGTTTTAGGTGAGTTTATATAGTACTATTTTTGGGTAAACAATTATAATACAGTACCGTTCCTAAATACACTAACAACTTAGATGTTAGGCCAATTAATGTTCAAATGGCAAAGATATTCAAAACAAATATTCAATAATCTAAGCAAGCCTCCAGGCCCTCCTTGCTTACTTTTAGGAAGGAAAAACAACTTCACAATGATAAATGTTGATTAATTTAATTGCCTTTTATGAGTTTTACAATAAAATTGCAAGATCTGACAAAGTCATAATTAATTCATAATATTGCGTAAACCCTATAGTTTTCTAAAATTATTACCTACTTATTCTTACAATGTTACCGGTACAAGGAAAAACTTATCATTCAGTCTCATGTCAATTAAATAACTTAGGCCTACAAGCCCGATTCAAAAGACAAATGCAACTTAATGCTTGATAATAACACTGAATAATATTGAAATATTTGAGACTAAAAAATATAATAAATATATAACCTAACTTTAAAATACTTCCGATTGAACTGACGTTTGGTCTAAAAGATGTCTGTGAAAGGGGAGTCTACTGTACACAGTAGCCTTCGTTGCGAATGTTGATTACATATTAGGAACTCTATATTTTATTGATTGACCTTACTTAACAACACATATTATTTAGCTTCCAGGAACAGGAGGTCGGTGCTGGCTGAGAATGAAGAGGATGTTGGAGCAAATAATAAATTAACTTGTATATTAGAACATAAAAACATTAAAATTATTTTACTCAAATTTATA